GGGGAGGGGAGGGGAGGGGAGGGGATGGGAAGGGAAGTGGATAGGGCGGGCTTTGGAACGGGAGGGGGGGAAGGTGTCTGAGCTTGTAAGCGTATAGGGGAACTGGGGCATGTTTGAGCTGGTGGCGCTTTCAAGGCACGTTCTGGTAACGTGAAGGATGGAGTTGATGTCTTGCGATGTCGTTTTTGGTTATCTGGTATTCAGGGCGTCTGTGACGTAGTTTGAGGATTGAGAGTTTCCCTTTGGTTCATTGTAATGCCGTTTTCTACAACTCTCAGCTGCTCTCGGTTGGATTCCTGCAACTAACCTCTAATGCTAGTATCGTGGTGGCCTGCCCGCAGAGCCATCATGCCATTTGGCTTGTCCCTTGCCTCTGCCAAATGGAACGCCCATCGCTCTTTCTGTTCGACAGCCAGCTCTCCGAACTGCTTGCTTCTGTGGTCCAACCCCCCGTCAAAGGGTTTGTTATATATGCTCTATCAGCTGCCGAATCTACTCGCCATGATTGGGTACTTCCGGTGCGGACTTGGTCCGCCTCGGCGTCATCCATTGTCTTGCAGGTATCCTCGATGTATACTTTTCAAGAGCACCGGATTCGCTCGTAGGAAGTCGGGCTCATGTTGCCAAGCGCGTCCTTGATTCATCAAATGCGAATGACATGGCGCTCGAAGGCATAGAAGCTAGGGCGAACGGCAGGGATCTCGGTGGAAATGGCGTTGATCAAGGATTCTTGCACAAAAGTCGCCCAGAGCGAGGACACATGGTGCGACGTTAGCGAGAGAAGGCGCAGGTGAGGTGCGCGAGGGGCAGCGGGACAGCGCTAAGAGGGGCGGGACAATGAGTGGGAGGTGGCGGAGACGGCGGAGACGGCGGAGTTGAGCGAAGAGTGCGGAGCCGACTCTGTGATTAGGTCAGCCTCCTGTGACTGGTCCATGACGCGAGGCGAACTCGCTGGGCAGTAGGGCCACCACAGTGCAACAACTGCAGCCATGGCAGAGGCACTGTCCTCTCGAAGCTGCCCTAGAGGCGCGTAGGCCAATGGCTTGTGTTCCTAGCACCGGAAGTCGTTGGTCTCGCTATCTCCGGGATGGCCGTCTATAAGGCCCGTCAGCCCTCCGTCCGCGCATCGTCCGCATCGTCTGCACCGTCTCCAAACGTCGTCTGGACAGTCGCGGGCTTCTGGAAGGCAGCCCGAGGGCCGAAAGAAGCCTAGCGCCGATGCGATGGCCGAATCTCACTCGCTTGCATGCGCGAGCAAGCTATCAACCGCCACTTAGGACCCGCCGCTGACATCGCACGAGATCCAGTCTCCATCTCAGACAAACTCACCTATCACGTCCCGCAGAGTCAGCGGCGGAGCAGCCACGCGGGAAATTCGCCGGTCAACCCTCGGAATCCACCTGCAACCATCTTCTGTCGCCGAAATTTGCAGGATACCGCCCACGGAGTTACGCGCACCAGCATCGGAAGCAGGTCCTTGGGACGGGAATCATCAACCGGAGCCTGCGACCTCATGGCGGTGGGATTCTTGGCCGTGGCCCTGTGGGTGCCTTACCGCCCGGGACCCATGGTGGTCCATCGCCCTGGACGGCCCCCCCTCGAAATCCCGGAAACTTTTGCCGCCGTCTCTCCTATTCCGGAACTGCCACCACGACGTACTGTGTAGAGACGGCCAGTTCTGGCCTCTGCATCGCCGGCTGCCAAAGCTACCGCCGTGGCTCGCTGGCGTGCTTTCGCTTGGCTCTGCACTCCGGATTCCCCGTCGGCATCCCGCCCTCGGCGGCAAATGGACTGCGTCGGCCCGAGAGGAGATCTTAACCGCAAGAATCCATCATGTATAAAGATGCCCCGTTTTCCATCTATTCGGGTTAGACGGCATGTGGGCAAGACTCAGTCCAAATTGCACCGTTACTCTTGTCCCTCTTAAGCTTCCATGTCGACTCAGTCTGGCGTCGATCCGACCCGCAACGGTCCGTGTAGAAACGGCCGACGCCCCCCGGACCCTATCATCTCAGCTCCGAGAGAATTATCCAGCGTTTGCCCGCCAGCCTGCCCTACGCCGACGGCCTCAGATCAGCAAACGTCGCTCCAAAACCGGCTCAACCGTGGCCTCCCTGAAGCCCCCGCGCTGCCTCTGCCTTTATCTCGCGGCATCGGTAACCCTCATTTCTGCCTTCGCACGGGGGCCGCGGCCCGTTGGACTACCCCCCTCGTACGCGAATATTGACAAGCAAAGGCCACGGCCACGGCCTTGAGCCCTCCCTGCTCGCAAAAACTGCAGATAAATACGCTCTGGTCTCGCCGTGTTTTGTCTCGGCATCGAGCTTCTCGCAGTCCTTCGTTTGAACCCACCAACCAGTCCACTCATTTTCAACCACGACAAATCCAACCCGTCCAAAATCACAATGAAGTTCTCCACCGCTGTCGTTCTCGCCGCCTCGGCCTCCATGGCCGCCGCCTACACCCAGGCCGACATCCCCAAGTGCGCCATCCCCTGCATCCAGGCCGGTGCGCCCAAGGTCGGCTGCGAGGTCAAGGACGCCGCCTGCCAGTGCAAGAAGCAGGACGACCTTGCCGCCGAAGTCATCGGTTGCATCTCCGAGAAGTGCACGGCCGAGGAAGCCATGGGTACGTGCTGCTGCTTGCCCCTCTCCCTTCCCAGACCAACGAGCTGACAATGCACTCCAACAGAATCCTCCAAGGTCTCGGCCAGCATCTGCGAGGACCTGAACAGCGGCAAGACGTCCAACACCGGTGTCGTCGCCTCGTCCTCGGGCAGCAGCAACTCGTCGTCCAACGCCGTCTCCACCCCGAGCTCCGACTCCGGCTCCGCCTCCACCCCCAGCTCCACCCCCAGCGCCACCCCGTCCTCGACCAACGCCGCCGGCGTCCTGCAGGCGGGTGGTTTCGCCGCCGGCCTGTCTGCCGCCATGGGCGCCGTCATGCTCGCCCTCTAAACTGCGCGTCCATTGTTCGTTGAAGAAGAAGGGAAATCTTTGAAACGCTGGGATATGGTGCAAAAACACGAGCAGAGAGAGGCACGACGATCGAGATGCCACGACGGTTAGAAGAGTATTACCTATACAGCAGGAGACTTTAGTTCGCCAAGTGAACCGATAATGGATTAATTGTAATTGTTTTGCGCTGCCGAAAGCGCGGCAACAAGCCAAATTCTGTTCCAATGCCTTCTTTGCTCGTGAGCCCATGTCCAGGACGTACATGTCTTCTCCAGTGCTGGAGCGATGTTCCTCCCAAACTGCAACAGGCAGCCGGCGGCTACAGAATCTTTGCACTACCACCACCGCCACCGACCACGGAGCCAGTGATCCATCCAGCCTTCTCACTCACCAAGAGCCCGAACAAGATTCGCCGCATCCTCGGCCGTCCCCAACCTGCCCACCGACGTGCTTCCAATCATGTGGTCCGTGACAGCCTTCGCCTGCTCGGGCGACAGGCCTTTACAGAAGGCCTCGGTGTCGGTATAAGCTCCCACCAGCAGCGCGTTGACGGTCGTCCCTGCCATGGCCGCCTTGGTCGCCGCGAAAACCCCAAATGAACTGCATTGCACAACGATCGTTGGGGAGGGGGGGGGTCAATAATAGTGGACATGGCTTTTTTTTTTTTTTTTTTTGCAACACGACGACTTTCACAGCCAAGAAATGAATGACGGACTCACTCACTCGTGCGGCAAGGGCCTTCTCTCGTCAGCTGATCCGCCGAGACGTTGACGATATATGCGCGACCCCGGCCGGAAGACGGCAGACGCCCTCTCTCTCTGAACAGCAAGCAGGTCGACGGACAGGACAGGACCAGCGTCTGCGCGTTTGCCGAGCAAGGCTCCGCCCGCTGCACGTAGGTAGTCGGCGTCGAGCTCGGCCGATCGGCCGCAGCTCGTCGTCGTAGTTACGCGGCGTTGTTGACGAGCGAGCTACACGTCCAGCTTGCCGCCGTCGTCATTAAACTCGCGCTGCACGGCGGCGAGCAGGGGCGTTGTGGCGTGTCGGGCGACAAGAGGTTGGTTGGCCGGGACGCCGACGATTTTCGGGGCTGGATGGACGCCCGCTTTAAGGTACTATGCGGCGTTGGTTGCGTTGCTGATGTTTTCGATGTGGTGGAGGGAGGTTGGCGAGGAGCAGGTTCCGATGATTGAGGCGCCGCGGCTGGCTAGGTGGAGGGTGATGGCGTGGCCTGTGCCCCAGGATGCACCGTTGTTGGGGGGAGGTGTGCTTCGAGTCAGCTGCTGCTGTTTCCATCCTGGCAAATCGTCACCTTGAGTGCGTACGTCACGATGGCGGTTTTGCCGGCGAGGTCCTGGTGGATGACCTGCAGCTGAGCTCCGTTTTCCGGCTTTGCAGCGGACATGATTTGGCAATGAGATGGGATGGAAGTGGATGTGCGTTGCATTCATGCTTGACCCGTCTTTCTGGGTCTGCCTTTTGAACCCCCTCGAGCAGCGTTCAATGGCAAGAATGGTGATGCAATCAGACATCTGAGACAAGCACCGGGCAGGCATGGCCGTCTCGGATTCCGAGTTTCCGACTCCTCCGAGTAATCCAATCACATTCCTCACTCACTCGGCCAATGGCACCGCTCGGTCCCGAGATATCGCTGTTTCCGAGAATTTCAATTAAGCACATTCCTGCAAGCCTCGAGATAACTGTATAGGGCTGGCGGTGAATGACCGGACTTGAAAGCTACTACATCGAGTTGGATATAACTTTTGATCCTCACTCCAAATATCGCCAACGGTGATGGGACGTTGTTTGAGAAGACCATCAAAAAATGCTGAAACCGCGTGCACGTTTACAGAATCAAGAAGCCATTCACCAACACTGCCACCGTCCTCGTTATGCACGTCTCAACCTCGAATTTCTCACCATCCGCTTTACCCTGCTTCACCAGTGCGGGTGGAACTACCATCTCCACCGCCCTTTGCCCGTGCATGGTAGCTTCGTTGTCCTCCTTGTCGTCCGCCCGATCGCTTTCCATGTACGTAGCATTGTACGGCAGAATGCCGCCCGGCACTGAAGTTTCCGCCCTCATCATTTGCGGGAAACGAACTGCTCAAGAGGTCCACTGTTGGCTGAGCACCTGAGAGAACTTCATGACTTCCTCGAAGATTGTGATGAGGCCATTTTCGGCCTCGTCCGCTTCCCTTGACTGTTCTCAAGGCCCTATGACCAACAGCACGCCTCTGCACTTATTCCGCACCAGAGTTGAGGCCCAGTCGGGGACTTCGCCGTTTCTGTTGGCCTGAGAGAAGAGCACGAGTGTGAAAGCTCTCCAATCGCTCATTTTCTCAGGTTTCATCACTTAAAGAAGGTCAGTACATGACTGCATCTGGCGCAGTCGGACTCACCCTCTGATAATATCCTCCCACGTTCTAATGGTTTCCGACGACAGCATGTCCCCAAAGCAATTCAAGGCCTTGGATCCGGGATGCGTTTCCCTTTGGAAAGTACGGAAAACTGCATCGCACATGGCGTATGCCGCCCAGCCTCTCACAAAGAGCTTGCGGTGCTTCTTCTCTTGGAACGCGTTGTGCAGCGAATCAAGGGTGCCGGTGGCGCCGAGGATCATGGCCTTCCTGTAGAGGGGGCGATGCTCTTCCCGCAACGCAGCGGGAGCGACGGGTCCTACACATGCAAACGCGCCCGACCATGCCGTGATGGATGATGTGAGTGCGCCGAATTTCGACCTGACGACGTCGTCTGGCAGCTGTTCTCCAAAGAAGAGATCCTTCTTGCTCATGGGCAAATGAAGCTTGTATGCTCCCAGTTGCATCTGCTCGTTTGCTTCACTGAGGGGAGAAAGCTCCTGAACCAGCTCGGTTGCTTCAGGATGGGGCAGAGATCAAGCATTTCTTCTTCAGAAATGTCCTCGTTGGCCTTTTCTCCACCGGAGCGGAGAGCTTCCCCGAGCAGCTGCTCATATGCGATGACGAAGTGCCGCCCACCCGGCGTGGAAACAGCAAGTTGATGCTACCGGTAAACACACAGCACGCGAAATCAAACTCGAACAGCACAAATCAAAGAGGGTTGGCAAAACGTGTGAACATGATCAATCAAAATCCAATCATACAGAAAAATTTTCAAACACTAGGGGGGGTATCCATCCATCATGCGGGCAAGCAGCTCAACAGGCCCTGCAGCTTGTTCAGCACCACGGCCTGCACATCGGCCGTGGCCGTCGTCTTGTCCTTTGCGTTGCCGACGCTCACGCTGACCCAGCAGCCGTCCGTCTTGACGACCGACCTCTCAGTAGGCAAGCTCTCGTTGCCGCACGTCTCGACGTCGCCGGTGGACAGCACCGGGGTGTCCAAGTTGATCCTGCTGAGCACGAACGAAAACTTGGCGGCGTCGTTGCACGTGGCGGCGTCGACCTCGCCGAAGTTGACGTTGAGGAAGGTGTCGGCGGGCAGGTAGGGGGCGCCCGAGTCGATGATGGCCGTCGTCAGGTTGAGGGCGAGGTCGGCGTAGACCTGGGCGGACAGCGGGGGCGGGGAGGTGGTCCAGGCGGTGCGGTCGCTGGTGAGGCCCGAGAAGGCGAGGGCGGGGATGCCCTGCTCGACGGCGTAGACGGCGGAGCCGACGGTGCCCGAGAAGGGGACTTGGATGTCGAGGTTGGAGCCGACGTTGGGGCCCGTCACGGCGAGCTCGGGCGGCTGGTTGTCGAAGAACTGCGGGGCGAAGTCGGAGATGCCGTAGCGGATGGCGGTGACGGGGTACGAGTTGACCCAGTTGAGGCGCGCGTCGGTCGCGTTGTGGCCGGACGGCCCGCTGCCGGCGGCGCAGCTGTCGTACTCGCAGGCGTCGGCGCGGTCTTCGGGGTCGCTGTCGAGGGAGCCTGTTGGGGCGCGTGTCAGTGGGAGGTGTTTTTTTTGTGTTTTTTTTTTTAAAGAAAGAAAAGAACTCACCCCTTCCGGATTGGTTGTCGGCCGGGCAGGACAGAACGACGTTGTGGCCGGCGGCGTTCAGGGCGTCGTTGACCAGGCGCACGTTCATTTCGGCCCAGCCATCGTCGTTGCCCTGGATGATGCGGATGCCGTTTGCGGCAAGCGGGAGAGCGGCGGCGGCAGCGGCGGCAACGGCGAAACGCATGATGGCAACAATTGGAGGCGAGAAAGCCGAATGAGAGTGGGATAGGCAAAAAGACAGCGGGGAGCAGCGGGTGGATATATTTGTAGTGCCCGGCGACGAGGAGAGGTGTGGAGCGAAGGCTGGCTACACCGGCTCCACGTGCAAATGCGTACCTGATGGCCATGAAGTCGGTTGGGGTCGGCAGCGAATCAGCAGGCGAGACGGACGGAGCTTCATTTCTCGCGGGCAGGATCGGCGGTTAGACGAGATGGATGGGGGAAAAGGAGGCTCGGGAGCTAGACACCATCGGGCAGGAGCCGGCCAGTTTCACGCTGCCACCCCGCGACCCTTGGCTGTCTTGGACGAAACATCGTCGCCTGCCCGCTCTCGCCACGCCCGTGTGTGGTGCTCGCTACGCCCATTGGCCGGCACCGCCACGCCTCATTACTGGACCCGCGGCGCAGCGAAACGGAGCCGAAACCGGCCAAGAACGGAAGCCACCAGGAGTGGGCTCGCTTCCACACCTCCATGCATTGCAGTTGCACGCGCATGACTTTGGGGCCGGAGAAGCCGTCAATGTTTTCCACTGCTTTTCGCACGTGTGGCACGCCTCGATTTGACGTCTGTGGCCCGACAGCGGGCGGCCATGTACCTGCCTATCGTCGGCAGCCAAGAGGATCAGCATCTGCGCTCGCGATACCCGCCTTCACAATATTGAATCGTGCGCGCACATCAACAGCCGAGGAGTCAAGACAGCACACAACCATCGAGAACAACCCGTGTAACGTGGCATGCAAGGTTCGAAACAACACACCTTTAAATTGACGACTGTCCAAGTCAGCACAACAGCACTGCCGAGTCTCACTCTGGAACTGTCTGTGCTGTGCACTTCGTGAATTCATGCAACCCCTCTACGACAGCCTGCAACTACGCTCCGCATCTCCTAAGATACATTTCAACACACGTGCACCACGGCAAAGCCGCGTGCACCACCGAAAACCTTGTTCCGACTGCGGCGCGCCAAGGGCTACTAAATCATGGTCGGCCTGGTAGTGCTACCTTGTTGTTTTGGCTCTGACTCGGGGTCGCCAGACCATGATTCCCGAGCTGGATGACGACTCTGCGACTGACCGACACGTGTGCCGCACAAGACGACGCATCTACACCACGCTTCATCCATTCACTTGATCACATGAGAAAAACCGCACCTTGGTTGGCATATATACTGCCTTCCCAACTACAGCAATTCAACATGTCCAGGAAACACCTTACCAAACTCACTCAACAGCTCAACCTAAGCAAGCAACATGGATTTCTGGGGCTGCTGTCGGTGTGCCTGCACCAACGATCCAAGCTTTTTGTATTGTTGGAGGTGCCATCACTGCCGTTGCCTTAATTGCTACTGGTACGACCCCTGGGGTTAGCATGTAGAGATGCCTTTCCAAAGGAGCCCAGAGTGGCTATCATGAATGAACCCTTCTTACACTTCCAATCACAGGAACGGACCAACCATTCATTGACCTGATCACTCACTGTACGAGGACATTTGGACTGATTCTGCATCTCCGCAAGTCGTGAATTCTTCTCTACATGACCAAAGACAAATCTCCCTCTTAGCTTCCAGGCACTTCTACTATCCTCTCTCTCTTTCTTCTCTCCTTCATTCCAAAAACCCCCCGTTCTCAATATCAACCATGCCCGACAATCTACAAAGTCTTGGACGCCCACCCAATCTGGTTGGTGCCAGCATTGAACACCACAAACGCCGCCTTGAGCGCAATGTCGCCAAAGATGGTGAAGCCGATGTCGCTGTTGGACTGAATGCCGCCATAGCACGACGACGAGCTGACGGGGGCGTAGTTGATGTACGAGCCCGGGATGACGATGCGGGCGGAGCCGACGCCGAAGGTGAAGCTGGGCAGCGTGGCGGAGCAGGGAAACACGTAGCCGGCCTGGCTGGACGAGTACGACGAGCCGCTGACCTGCGCGTAGTAGGCGCTGACGACGCTGTCGGGCAGCAGCAGCAGCGTGGTGCCCGTGTCGGCGATGCCGTTGATCGACGTCGACTTGAACGTCGAGGACCCGACCGCGTAGCCCGACGACGTCCACTGCCACCACCCGTTGGCCGAGGAGATGGACGCGTACGTGATGGAGCCCGTGTACGAGGTCGTGTCGATGTAGCCGAACTTGTAGGAGCCGGCTGTTGTTGTTGTGTTAGCAAGGTGCTTTTAACGGCATGTATATGATATATGCTTACCCTTGTTGTGCTTGAGATCGGCGGTGAAGAGCGGCGAGGTCAGCGAGCTCTTGGCGTTGTCGAAAAAGGTCTTCTGCTGGGTGGGCGAGACGGTGTTGAGGCTGCTGAAGGCGAGGCCGAGCAGGCCGTCGTTGTCCGTGTCGGCGGTGAACTCGGACGACACGGCCTTGGCCGCCTCGACGGCCTGGCTGGTGACGCTGAGGCCGCCGACGGTGACCTTGTCCTTCCACACGTCGCCGCTCGACGAGCTGCCGTCGCCGTACGAGATCTTCCACGTGGCGCCCGACAGCTTGCTCGCCGTGCTGCTCTTGCTCGGGTCGTACTTGGCCTGCCCGTTGACCTCGTTGCTGGGCGTCTCGCTGCTGAAGACCCACAGGTCCGACGAGCCCGTGTCGAAGTCGAGGTTGAGCACCTGCGCCGGCGTGCCGATGGACACGGGCGTGAGGTACTCCGAGTCGTACTCGGTCGGCGTGGTGACGACGTTGCCCGTCGCCCGCTTGGACACGGCGTCGGTCGAGTTGGTGAGGGCCGACTCGAGCTCGGCGCTGATGGGGATGCCGTACTTGACGTACGCCTTGGCCAGCGCGCGGGGGCCGCTCCTGACGTGCTTGGTGTTGCGGACCTGGACCATGGACGCGGTGCCCGTGCCGTCCGAGGTGGGGACGCCGATGCGCGGGGGGATGGCCGTGGCAGTGCTGGCCGTCGCGAGGAGCGCGGCCAGGGCGAGGTGGGAAAAGCTGGGCATGGTGAGGGATGGGATGGAGGACGGGTCAGATCAGACAAGGCCGAGAGAGCGGAGCGATGGTGGGTGCTGCTGGAGAGAGAAGCTGGGTGGTGGTGTCGGACAGTGGGATTTATATCTGTTTCTCGGCGCCGAGCAGGTGCCAGCTTAGCAGTGCTTGATAGTCCGAAGTTGCAAGCTTAAGCAAAGGCTTAAACCAAGCGAAGGCCAGAAGGGGAAGGTCTGAGCGTGTCCAGTGACAGCATCTGCAGCCTCGATGGCATCACTAGCCAATGCTAACAGATCCTCGGAAGGGGGTGGCGACCACCTTCCTTGAGCATCATCATGGCCGACTGCTTGACTTGAGAATGACCAGATAACGGCCGTCGGCCGCAGTAGTCTCGTATTGGCCGTCCAAGCGTCTCTCTCCACGGCTGAATGGGAGATTGACAGAGGGGATTCCCTGCTGCCGTGCAACATGGCCCAGCACAGGGAGATAACGGCGATGATGGTAAGTAGGTAGTCTGCGACACGACTCATCCTCCCCGATCCTTCGCGTGCGAGGACACAGGCTGCGGGCGGCGGTTGGCGCCGCTTTTCAGGCGCGAGGAAAGGCCAGTGCCTGCCTAATGCAGATAAGCTTAAGTGCGCTGGGCAAGCCTTAGCCAACATGCCTGTTGTTCCTGCAGCATTAGGCGACGATGGAAATACGACCAATGGTCGTATTACCGCCGTCAATGCGGAGGCGTGGGTGGCGGCAGGGTCTAGCCAGTGTGGATGGTCCGCTTCTCACGCACGAAGCGGGCCGAGGGACGGCGCTGGAGGCATCCAAAGACAAGCCGGAGTCAGCCTTATGTCTATTCTTGCTGCCCACAGAATTTCTCGGAGAAATTCATGCATGGCGATCAAGCTGGGCAAAAGCTTGACGATAGCGGCGAAGACTCCATCGAAGCAGAGGCCGGAGGGCCAGAGGCAGCAGAGGTTCGGAGTCGAGGCGATAAGATGGGGGACTCGGGGTGGTCCGAAAGCTTGGCGAGAGCGGGGGCGCTAGGCCCGGGGCGGAAGGTGGAATTCCCATGGCGACGGTCTAGGCATCGTCTAGGCATCTGCTCCGACCCGGGCGCTTGGAGCACACCACTCCAGCTTCCAATCATGCTCCTCTACCAATCAACCACCCACGCTAACTGCCCACCCCGACCCCGGAAAAAGCAGGCGGCGCAGCTTCATAGACGGTGGAGATATGGGCTAGCCAATCCCTTGACCAACCCGTGTGTCCGCCCGATCTTTCGGCTCTCCACGAGTAGTAGTGACGGGAAGCACGGTGACACGGCCAGGCCGGCGCATGACATCCGAAATACCGACGTCCCAGACAGTTGCGAAACACTTTTGTTCTTTTGCGTCATCCGTCACTGATCACCGCATCATCGACTACTTTCCATCGAAGTAATTCTCAGTTTTCCCACGCCGGGAACTTTTAGCGCGCGTGCACTCATGGCCGAATGTTCCCAAATGCGTTAGTGCCACCTTCCCGAATGAACTTCACCATCATCATCCTCATTGTTATTTAGGCGTATGACTGTGTCTCAGAGAGAAGAGAGCCATCGCCATGGTACACACATGATCCACTACTTGCGGCCCAGCTGCGGTCCCAGCTGCGGTCCCACCTGTGGGCCTTCCCCGGCGACAGACTGGGTGCTGTCCAGATGACTAACATGTCCAGCTGCTTCATCCTTCATTGACTTGACGAAAGCCCAGGATCATCAACCAGCAGCCCGTGACGCCAAACACAGACACACAAGACCTTGGCGTGCGCTACACCTGGAAGAATCATTGTGTCGACATGATTGAATTAGAAAACACCGCTTGTGTATACGACACAGACGTGTATCTTCTCGAGGATACACAGTGGCTATTATTGCATCGCACAGAGCTGTCCGAGCCTTTTCCAGTTTTTGTGTGTTGCATGTCGGTCTACGCATATATACTGTCCTGTGCATTTTGGCATTCGAGGGCACATCTGTTCGTTAACAAGGGCGCCAGCACCACGACAGGAAGTTCATCATCTGGAGGAGAGGAAGGACCGAGTTGTACTTGGGAACATGACTACATACTATCGTCATCGCCCCCCTGCATTCCACCCCGCAGCCTTGGCGCATTTCGCATCTCAAATAATCTCAAGCCTGCCATATATTCGGTACGCGATCATCTACGAGTACCCATGTTGACTTGAGTCTTTCGCGCCTACTACGCAGGCCCGTCGATCACTGCTTGGCGAGCCAGATGGAATGACGACAATGCTGTCATCGTCATCATCATCATCATCATCAGAATTGAAGATTCTCAACTTTGTTACCGTTCGAGTTCTCCATATATCAGCTCCCCATCCATGACCCCGTAAATCAGGCATTCTCCGACAAACTCGTAGTGATCCCCCTTTTTTACGAATAGCCATTGGTGTTTTCGCACCGAAAAAGATGCACATGTCATCGCCCGCACAAGCGTACAGTGGCGCGAATCCAATGTATCCACCTTCTGATACAAAGGTTTTTCGGACGAACTCGTGACCATCGGTATATGCCGTTGACTTCTCAAGAAAAGAAATGGCGTACTCGCTCGGATATGACGAGTCATCTACGTATCATGCGAGCCCTTTGGCTTCTTTTTTGATACGACAGGGGTATCTGGGTACCTTTTCCTTTTGCAAGCCGTCATAAGTTCCCTGATCGCTGGGCGATGCCAGCAATCCGCAGTTCCCCAAAGCGCACACCACGTGCACGGAGCGTGGGTACCTCGCCATGTCCGTCATGGACCAACTTGATAAATGTTGCAACGGCAGACCCTCTAGAAGCGCAGAAAGCCCCTCTTTGGTTGTGATCGTACGGTCTTTTGGTGAGCATGCCTGGTAACCGGCAGCAGGTTCCTCAGCAATGGTCGAAGCAGCTCTGGACATTATAATTGCGCTTATTGCTATACGAAGCAGACATTGTGCTGCTCTTCTTTAAACATGAGCCTACGCGTGCCATGTAAATGAGGGGCTTAATGATATTCATCTTTAAGAGACAGCTCCGGGTCATTGCGGCGTGCGGAGGTTCTAATTGGCTCACTCCAACCCATCGCTTCAGATAAGTATATTGATCCCCATAAACTCGCGTGTTATCCGATAAGCTCCGTGAAATAGTAGGTCATAACTTGTATGTGACGAATTGGCTCAAGACCATGATGTTTGTGCCTACATGTCATAATATATGCCATGAAACAACCATGGAAAGTCCCAACAGGGCCCCGCACCTCAATCCGAGCCTCCCCCGGTTTTGGTCGAGCACTGTCTGCAAAGACACATCCACTCGATTACCATTCTCTCGACGGAAGATGCACTGTAAAATGCCTTCAACTCGAAGCTGCAGCATATGCTTTTGTGAAGGTTGATCGAGAGGATGCTTTAAGCCGATTGATACCGACATACTCGAGATATCCCTACGAGCACACACACTGTCGGGGCTAGCATGCATTGCGTTATCTCCACTCAGTCGATCGCTACCTGATTCACACAAAGCGTCGCCTACGTATCGCATAAGGACTATAAACATCCGGGGTAAACAACTATGTCCGGAATGTGTTCCGGACTGCGTGCGGGGTTTGCCTCAGGTGGAGAAACGCCAAGTAGGGACGGACCGATATCCACTATATATAACTAGCCGTGTTGACCTCAACTGTAGTATGTACATTCAATTGAAAATGGCACCAACTACTTCTATAGCTCTTTCGAGCGGCTTCCCGGCAACAAATGGCTCATGTTCCAGGGTCCAAAAGTAGGCAAACCAGGACTCTCGAGAGACATCATTGACTCTTCATGTAGCTCAAATTCCTCGAATGCCAGCAGTAATGTCAACTGGCATATCCCCGTGGAGTCCTGGGATACGCATGTGCATGTTTTCGATCCCCGGTACCCATACTCGCCTGATCGACAATACACGCCAGAGTCGGCGTTATACGACGAACTGCTGGCATTCAATGACAAACTGACGGTAACAAACTCAACTGAAAATATCGTGCTGGTTCAGCCATCGCCTTACGGAACTGACAACTCCCTGATTCTGGACCTCCTCCGCAACCATTCTGCTTCTCAGCAAGACAACCTGCTTCGCGCCATTTCCGTCATTGATCCCGAAAACGTGACGGATGAAGAGCTCCAGGAGATGAACTCGCTCGGCGTCAGAGGCATCCGCATCAATACGCAAGGAGCGGACTCGGAAGAGACAGCAAAGGATCTCCGCAAAAACATCACATCAGCGGTGGAAAGAGTCAGAGCATTCAGCAATTGGAAGTGTCAATTGCTGGTTTCCGGGATCAGCTGGGACTGTGAGCGGCCAGCCGATCATAATCCCGCTTTACCCTGCTAATCAAACATCCCCAGACATCCACGATGTTGTCCGTGATCTCCCCATCCCCGTCATTGCAGATCACCAGGGTGGGATGGGAGGTCTCACGAAGCTTGCGAACGGCAGCACCGACGTGACCGCACAGCCGGGCTTCGCATCCCTTCTGGACCTGGCTAAGCGAGGGAAGGTCTTTGTCAAGATATCTGCGCTGTACCGCTCGTCGAAGCTCACCGAGGGGGGGTATGACGATGTGGAGCAGCTTGTCAAAACCTTCGCTCGGGAAGTGCCGCAGCAGCTTATTTGGGGGTCAGATTGGCCTCACACTGGGTCGAACCGCAGCGAGGCGACAAAGTACGTACCGGAACCTTTTAGGAAAGTGGATGACGAGGCTGTTTTGAAGAATATCAGGAAGTGGGTAGGGCCTGAGCTGTGGCATCAGATGACGGTGGTCACCCCGGGGAAAATCTATATTTAGTATGGCCTGACTCGAGAGTTTTTGTTTTGGCCATTATCAATTTATCCAAGTCTTTTCACTCATCAGGTATACTTTAACATCTCTTAATGAACCATCGCTGGCTCGCTATTCATAAAACGGCCGTGTTGCCCCTCCGCTTCGGCTCGGGCGAGAGACTTCATGAGGGCTCATCTGTATATCCGGTCATGCAACGTCTCATGTGCAGGAACAGACACATGCCATATTAGAATCCTCTGATAGTGGAGTTAGTTGACTTTTCAATAGCTTGCCGTCGCTTGCTTGGGTATACCCGGGTCAACAAGGCAACGTATTTGTTCCACCAACAACGGCCCCCACCCTCTCCCTGTACCTTGCCTTGTCTATAATTGTCAGCTGTGGGCATTAACCGGCATTATCCGATAAGCAAGACGCCCGAGTGGGTCGCAGTGATCCGCACAGCCCTTTAAAGGCAGCGCCCTACTCACAGCATGAGTCCTTCCTCGGGGGTTGGAAGCAACCATAACCACAACAACCGACGCACTTCTTCCGATGGCTTCTGACGCACCTTCCTCACCATACCAGGATTCGATCCTTCAGTCAGATCTGGACATCGTACCAGATGATGATGCAACATCTCCTCTCGATCCCGAAGGTTCTGTCGATGAGGTCACCTTTGAAGAGGATTTCGACATGGATATCGGGGCTCTTGATCTCAATGCTGAAATCATCCAAAAACTGAAAAGTGCCGGCTTGTTCACACAGCACGAAGTCCTCAGCAAGCTTTGCCACTATTGCGCAAACATAACACATGAAGCGATATCCACTCCTGAGAGTTACAAGCACACTCCCAACGTGTGGAAGCTTCTCCAATCCGCGGAAGAATGCGAGCTTTGTGCGCTAGTGGTGGAGCAGATCACCGCGGACGGTGCAATCTTCCTCGACATGGATTTTGAAGGTGGCGAACGCGAAAGGAACCGGGACGAAGAGTTCGAAACTTCCCTCATGTACCTCGGCATCAGCAGAGATGAGCCTCGTCCGGTGAGGGTGGAATTACGCTCGCATGGTATGGCTTTCCAAGTGGACAAGGGCGCCGATGAAGCAGAATGGATGAGATGGCACAGGCTGGTAGAACTAAAAGCCTTTACCGACTCAAGTATGGTTTTCCTCCATTAGTCCCGCAGTACAGAAAGATTTTTCAGCTTACACTGGCAGGTACACATTCGCAGCGTGAGGGGTCTGACCTCCCGCTCAGGCTCGCTCTGACCGAACAGCCGAGTCTCGAGATTCTCTCAGTTCTTATTCGGGAATGGATTGCCAGCTGCCAACAAAGCCACCGTCGGTGCAATTTTCCGTCCCAAGGAGATGCAATTCCACGACTACCGACGCGAGTTCTCGACCTCAGGGATGTGAAATCAAAGGGACGGGTACGAATCTGGCCCACGCAAGGATCACGCGCTCGGTATATTGCTTTGAGCCATTGCTGGGGCGGCAAGCAGCCGGTCAAGACGGAGAAAGGAAATCTAAGCCAGAGGATCGAGGGATTTCCCTATACAGATCTGCCTCCGTTGTTCCGAGACGCAGTCGATACTGCCCTGGCTATCGGTATCGACTATCTGTGGATCGACTCCCTGTGCATCGTCCAGGATGACAAGGAAGACTGGGCATTCGAAGCGGCGAGGATGGCAGACGTCTACATGAATTCGTCCCTCACAATCGCTGCATCCGCGGCGCCCAATAGCTCTGGGCGCCTGCTTGGACCAAGGCAGACGGCACCCAAAGCTGTTCGGATTCCCCAAAGAGCGGCCAGCAGCACCGAGGAGAATTGGTCCATTTACGTGGATGGCCTACAGGAGCGCTTCTTTTCGCGCGACGCGCATGGATCGCCGCTGAACAAGCGTGCCTGGGTGTTACAGGAACGACTGTTGTCACCTCGGACTCTGCATTTCACCGGGACGCAGGTCTACTGGGAATGCTGGCGCGACATCCAGCACGAAAGCCTGCAATACGAAATGGGAGACTACCACAAAAGCCGCGTCTTTCCCGGATCCTTGTCGCCCTGTAAGCTTGGGGCAAAGGATAAGGTGGGCGCTTACCTGGAGCAGTGGTTCAAGGTGCTCGAGATATACACCGGCTGCCAGTTGACGTTTGCGTCGGACAAGCTGATTGCGATCTCGGGAATCGTGGATCGAATCCAATCGGGAGACACCAATCCCTGCTTCAAGGGCATCTTCTACGACAGCGCTCTGCATCAACAGTTGTTGTGGATAGTAGATGACAATTCCCGCTGTGAGTTCCTCCCGGAAACCGGAGCACCAAGCTGGAGCTGGGCAAGCAGAAACGGAAAGATCCATTTTTCCGCCAACATGCCAGGACTCGAGCCACATAACTCCACCCGAGTAGCGTGGCGCGAAAATTCAGAGGACCAGATCCTGGACTTGAGAGCCGATCTCTTCACTCTCGACGCGAGCGTCATTGTCGGGGAGCTGAGAGAAAAGGAACGCGTCGACTCGTACCGAAGAAAACAAGGAGTTGTTGCCCGGAACCTTCTCATGGTGGAAGATGGGGATATCCACTTCCGGTTCATTCATGAAGACAGAAGTGCGATAGCCGAGGATGACGATGCCGATAATGACGACTCCAGAAGCGATGGCTCCGGTTGGGTGCCCAAATTCACCGGTCTTGAGGACGAAAGTGACTTTGAAGACGACGATACCGTTGCAGGGGTTTTATTGGATCGTGAGAAGGGAGGTGAGCTGAACTTTGGCTCCATCTTCTGGGTGTTGGTTGGACACGTGCCGTACGTATTGACCCAGACTCTGATTTGCTAGCGCGATTGCTGACACAAGTCACAAAACTAGCCGCGGAGAGAGAAGTGAGTATCATTGTCTACTCGTGCAAGAAGGTGAAGAGTCAAAGTATGTGCGAGTGGGTGTGGCTCTACTGTTTGACGACAAATGGCTTCATCTGCACCGGAATGATGTTACGATTGTCTAGGCAAGAGATTTAGTTTCTAAGGCCGGTGGTCGGTGGCCGGTGAGGCTGGTGGCTGGTGGCCGGTGAGGCTGGTAGGTGGTGAGGCTGATGGGTGGTGAGGCTGATGGGTGGCGAGGCTGGTGGGTGGTGAGGCTGGTGGGTGGTGAGGCTGGTGGCCGGTGAGGCTAGGTAGGTGGTGAGGCTGATAGGTGGTGAGGCTGGGTGGGTGGTGAGGCTGGTGGGTGGTAAGGCTGGTGGGCGGTGGGCCATATGGCGTAGGCAGACATGGTTGACTTATAAGGGTATCCAGCACTTTTTACTGCCAGAAGATGCCTCTAGTATGTATTCATGTGCTGCGTAGTACCGCTGGACTAGTTGCATTAGTTAGGATCTTGAGACTTAGGACTCTGGAGACGACGGATGTTCGAATCCCACCCTGGTTCCTGATACTTAACTTTTTGCAACCCGTGACTCCAGAACCAACCTCCGGTGATCTCCCGGCCGATGAGCAGGTATTGGTAGATTGTTGGAAGGTCATTTTTGTCGCTGTGGGACATTAAGCGAGTCATCGCTCTGATCATATGCAGTCAACATGTAGCAGTCAGGCGTGGACCCTAACCGAGTCCCATACGCACCGCTTTGCAGAAGAACCAGTCTGGGTCTGAAACTGAATCCAAGCCGCCGTGAGGAGGTTCAGCATCGTGGCCAGCCCAGTCGATCTGACCCCAGGGCAATCTTATATGCTTCACTGTCCATACGCACATGTCGCGGCGAGCCATCAGTGCTCCATCAAATTGGGTCTCCATCACATGCGCTTACATCTCACATTTTGCTTTCGGTATTACGGTGAAAGCATGTAGTCAAATGTAGCATGGGTATCGGCTGTTGTGAGGCAAAGTTTCCTTTTTTGCTACCAGAATGATGATCTATCATACAATGGCCTAGGTGTCAGACATGACGGAAAAAACAACTAGCAATTCTCTTTTTGGTTTGCGAAGACAGCACGCAGCCAATCGGATGGCCGCCGAGGTACTTGAATTGATGTCGACCAAAGCTGCTCACTCATAAACCCTCACCATCACATCCAACGCCGCCTCAGCCGATGTCCCTCCTCATGAAGACTGTCTTGATATCCCAAATGTTGCCCTCGGCATCTGGCTCCCGATAGAAGTTCTGCACCACTTTGATTTCACGGTATCCTCTCCGCCTATACCATTCGTGGTTGCTCATCTGCCCACCTGGAGTCATCAAACTGTCACAGCACTACAGACCCTGGGAATTCTCACCTTGCGCTGCGGCAACCCCTGCGCTGTAAAGAACCCGGCGTTGAGAACTTGGTCATCGACGTGCACCGTATCGAGAGCCAGTGTTTTGGCACAAAGCGGCTCTTCAACCGCCATGGCTTCGATCATGTCCATGGCCGCCCGCCCAACGCCTCCGCTCTGAAGTACGTTGGATATGTAGAAGTTTTTGATCCAGTAGACGCCGCTGTCGGGCAGATCCAGGTTCAGGTCAGCTGCGTCAGAGTTTCCTTGGTCAAGAGAGATGTGGCCAATCGGATGGATGTCGGCCATGGAAGGCGTCCTGGGGACGCCCCTGATTGAGGCGCCGGTATCACGTAAGGCATCTTTTTCCTGTCAAGGGTCAGAGGCGGGGTATCCGAGGAGCCAGGTTATTGAGCGTGTACCTTTGGGTATGCGTCTCGATGGCGGCGAAGCTTTTCTTCTAGCTCAGGATCGCCGGGTGAGAAGCACTGGTCAGGTTCTGGTTAGGTGATATGGATTCATGCCTGTATGGTTGAAACTTACGATCCAGTAAAGGCATCTGACACCAGACCTTTGCTCGTCGCGCCATTTTGAGGCGACCCTCAGCTGATGCCATCCGCACTGCACCCTCTGCTCAACAAGTCTTTGTATATGGTCGGGCGACTCGGGGTCCCACGGGATTAGCTGGATTTTGGATCTTGATATCATGATGATGGCCAAGGTTTTTGATCGTCGAGGTCGGGCTGTCCCTGGAATATTGATGTATTAAGTAGCATGCATGCGGAATGATGAGTCATTGTTGATTAATTAGCGAGGCGGGGTTCCTGATCCTGCGCGCCCTTTGAATGGCATCAAAAGTGGGGGCCAATGAGTAGTGGATTTCCATTATCCAAATCCATCATTGGACATACTTCATGCGCCTACTCGAATGGTTTATCGGTAAGCTGAGGCAAATGACCTACCGCATCGCCGACATGTTTAACACAATAACCTCTTGTCCGGAGAATTCGTAATCGGCACCCCAAGGAGCATGTGGCTTCAAGATGCATGCGCCATCTCCGGATAAACAGCTAGGCTGCAACATTCTGTCGCAACAGTAGGAAAATTCATAGGCACTCTCGGTTTTCATACCATGGTCACTTTCAACGCACTTGTCCTCCACATTCCATGATACGAGTATGTAGCCTTGGAAGTTGATGTTCCCACTCTCCGTCGAGAATGCATGCCCATCCAGCTTGTCGACTCGGATACACTGGATGAGGATGTGGTGGAGCAGTGTATCCGTGTAGCCATGTCAGACTGTGGCGTTGCGCGTGCATTTTTCACTGCATGCCTGCATCTTCTGGAAGCCTCCATTTCTGATCATCCAAAAGAGCGCTACAAATAAAGCTCAGTCACAGTAACACTGGAAATAGTTTAGTTGGTCGAGGCGATGCTCGAAATTACCTATACGGGTAACAAGGCGGGCACGGTCCAGCTCGACTCCAAGCCCATGTCTCGCCCTTGGATCCAACACACACCGACTACGGCAAGCAGCAATGCGCGGAACTTCCAGAGCTCCAAGAGAACAGCGACTTACCCTGCGATCCCCAAAGTGGCAAAAAATAACTTGAACGCGAGTTCTCAGGCCAGCCAACAGACTTTAGCTTGGTGACAGAAGGATGGAACAACAAAAAAGCTCCATGGGCAGCGGAGCACGATGCAATCGCGGAACGGTGCAGAGCAGCACGTGTCTGGTTGAGGGATTTGGCGGGCGAGGACGGCCAAGTTGTCGTTGTAACTCACGGTGGACTCCTGCACAGCTTTACCCAAGAATGGTCAGAATTCGATGAAGATGGTAAGTCATCACTTCAGACCCATGGTCTACGTGAAATTGTTTTGCTGACTGGATGCGCACAAGGCACGGGATGGATGAACACCGAGTTCAGGAGCTACACTTTCGTCCCCAATGGCAGCGAACAAGCACCTATCATCGAGACCGAAGACTTCATCAAGCGCCGTCGAGGTACCCGCTTGAACAAGGAGGACCAACTGGAACTGAAGGCGAGAGCCGAGAAAGCGTGGGCCGCCGTAGGATAGCAGCTCCCCAGCAAAATTTGTGCACAAGTCATCATAGCGAGGGATGTTCAAGGCGGCTGTATTGTCAAGTAGCGACCTGGATACATCAAGGATTTTGAACCATATCAAATCCGTAAATCTGTACACACTTCCTGGTGAAATCATGTTTCAACTCTCAGCATCCAACAGGTGGCCTCTGGACTCCTGACATATCATGTCTGGCGTTGCTTGCGAAGCAGAAAAGTGCCAATGGCATACCTGTGCGTAAAGAGGCGGGCACTAAAGATGAAATTCAATGAATATAACGTAAGCATAGCGGCATTCCCGTTAGCCTACTTTCATTCGGGACACACATTGAGTCTTGGCTGCCTCATATGGTTTAGCGGCGGCTGCGGCGCTGCAAGCCTCGTGCAAGACGGCGCTATATCACTAACCCGAACCAAAGTAGGTGAGGACGTGTCGGTGGGCTGTCCACTCACCGCGATGTCTGTAGGCCAAACTGTTAATGACAAAGCACTCCCTTTCGATTCTGTACCACTGTTCACCACCGACGACAGTCTTTAATGCGGGTTGATCCCGTGAGCCACGCCGAACGTCAACGATACATAATTGCTTCAAGATGGTCTTCCACATCACCCTACCGCATCCGCTCCCTCCTATAATCAATAATGTTTGGGAAGCCTCGGATGTCCTTGTCCCTGGACAAATCGAGTTCTCCTCTGGTTTAGACAGCACCGTTACCTCACTCACCCTCTCTCTCGTCCAAACAGTAAAGTTCGAAACACATCAGCCCGAGCCCTCCACCAGCTTCACATGTTTCGGGTTCAGCAAAGCAAAAGAACCCCACGCCGAAGAAAGACGAGAAATCGACCGCTGGTCCCTTCCATACCCCCCAACATCCACACTCTCATCGACTCTCAAAGGAATCCCCTTCACCATAGTCATACCGGGCCATCTTCCCGCCACCACCTCGACGCCAACCGTCGACCTCTCCTACCACATCTCCGCCACCGTCACCACCAGCACCGCCACCTCCACCACCTCAAACACCACCGCCTCAAAACCGCTCCACATCCGCCGCCTCCTCGCCCTCCCAGTCGGCCTCACCACCCTCGACCACCGCCGCCGCTTCCCCGCCTGCGCCGTCAAAACCTCTCTCTCCATCCCCGCCATCTTCCAGCCCCTCGACACCACCCGCACCGCGCGCCTGACCCTCCTCAACACCGCCGAACACTGGCTCCGCGTGCACAAACTCCACTGGCGGGTGGAAGAGCACACCAGGATCCCACATCCACACACCGACCTCGAAGGGTACAACAGCGACGACAGCTCATCCGGGAAGCGGCGGCAACGGCAGCAGCGCGAACGCCGCACAATCAGCCGCGCCGGGCCGCACGTTCGCACCATCGCGTCGGGCGAGCACCACGTGGCGCCCGCGAGCGCCATGGGCGCGCTCTACGGCGCCCACGTGTCGGAGCTGCGGCTCGACGAGATCGAGTTCGACGTCGGCGTCCCGGAGGAGGCGCGGCGGGCGTGCTCGTTGATGGTGCAGCGGCGGCAGCCCGGGCGCGGGAGCGGGCGCGGGCGGGACGGCGACGGCGACGACGACGACGACGACGTGCTGTTGATGGCGGGGGAGGAGGAGGAGGAGGAGCGGCAGCGGCAGCAGCCGCCGGAATATGCGTGGTGTAGCCGGTTTGGGGAGGGGCTTGTTGGGCCGCATGGGGATGGGGATGAGGATGAGGATGAGGGCGAGGAGGATGACTGCGGTGGTGGGATGCGAGCGGTGACGGGGGGTTCGGTTGCAGCGGGGATATCGGTTTCGCATACGTTGGTGCTGGAGATTACGGGGAAGGAGATTCGGTTTGACGGCGTGACTGGCGAGCTGCTCAGCTTGGGGCCGATATTTCCGAAGGTGTATGGTGCGAGGTACGACATCGTGGTGGCGGAGTGGAGCCACTGTAATGATGTTGATAGTGGGGAGGTTGGGGTATGCCCGCTGCTGGACGGAGACTTTAGTGCTACCAGCGTAGTTGCGCCCCCTTCATATGAGTCGGTTATCGGGATTTGACTGAAAAGTTATGCATAGTCCTTCAGATATTACGAAGTAGTGAGCAGTCATATGTCATCTGGAATGGTATATCGACTGAACCACGAGCCATCTTCGCGCGCGAGAGAGAGAAAGAGAGTAGTGACAAGAAAGTGATGGGGACAGCACTGAGTGTATGATAATGCTAAACGAGCCGGAAAGGATCGTGCTTCGGATTTGTGCTTGTAGGTAGTTGGTAGAAATGCGGAGGCGGGCGGTGACTTCTTTATACGGGTGGTCTGTGCGGCGGGAGGCTCGGCGGGCGGGCTTGGCAGCCGCGATCGCGACGCGCGCGCGAACACCTTCGTCACCACTGCCGTTTTCCTCGGCCTCGCACTCGCCGCATCTTATCACCTCTCCACCCATCGCCGTCCACCACCCTTCCTGCAACGCGCACTCAGACTTCCTTCCCGCCAGAGAGACGGACCGCCATGCGCCGTTAGCGCCGCCCACCCCGAAGACCCTCCAGTCCATCATAACACGCCTCCACTACTTGCCCGAACCGCCGATCGCCCTCTTATCCACAAACCATGTCGGTCTGGAACCCCGACAACATCAAAGATGTCGCCGAGTCGGTGGGAATCGCCTCGCTGAGCGACGACGTGGCCGAGGACCTGGCCCGCGACGTCGAGTTCAGGATCGGCCAGGTGCTGGAGGAAGCTCTGAAGTTCATGCGCCATTCCAAGCGGACCACTCTGAGTACACAGGACGTGTCGCAGGCCCTGCGCGTCTTGGATGTCGAGCCGCTCTATGGCTACGAATCAACACGCCCGCTGCGCTTTGGCGAGGCATCCATGGGGCCCGGCCAGCCGCTCTTCTACGTCGAAGACGAGGAAGTCGACTTTGAGAAGCTCATCAACGCCCCGCTACCCAAGGTGCCTCGCGAAATATCCTTCACAGGTGAGCTTGCAGGCGCACGTCGCGTCTCGCGCCGCCCCACGCTGACGCTCTGCAGCACATTGGCTCGCACTCGAAGGCGTCCAGCCTGCCATTGCCCAAAATCCGACGTCGGCCGATTCGCGCCATCAGGACCTCCTCCCCAAGGGACCGGGCGCAAACCCACACCTCGCCGCGGTCAATGGATACGACAATGTGGCAGTCAAGCCCTTGGTCAAGCATGTCATTTCCAAAGAGCTGCAGCTGTACTTTGACCGCATCGTCAGCGCCCTTGGCGATGCCGATAACGAAGAGTGGCGGGCGCAGGCATTGGGCAGCCTCCGGACAGATCCCGGCCTCCACCAGCTGGTGCCGTACTTTGTGCAGTACATAGCCGAGAAGGTGACGCATAACATGAAGGACCTGTTCATCCTCACGCAGATGATGCATATGACGTCGGCGCTGCTCACCAATCCCAGCCTCTACATGGACGCCTATATCACAGGACTGGTCGCCCCGGTGCTGACGTGTCTGATGGGCAAGCGGTTAGGCACGGGCTCCGAGGGCAACCCTCTGGCCCACTTCGACCTGCGCGACCTGGCCGGCACCATCATCATCGAGATCGCGAAGCGGTACGGCAACTCGTCGCAGACGCTCAAGAAGCGGCTGGCAGGCACGCTATGCAAAAACTTCCTGGACGATAAGAAGCCGTGTGGGACGCACTACGGGGCGATTCTGGGGCTACAGGGCATCATGGGCCCAGACGGGGCCAAGTTCCTCGTTCTGCCGAACCTCAAGCTCTTCGACGCGGTGCTAAAGGAGCGGCTGGCGGATGAGGCGACCAAGGCAGAGGCGGAGATGGTGGTGGCGGTGATCCTGCGCGGGCTGCAGTCGATGGAGCGCGGGGCAGCGCCATTGACCAATGGGGTTGCATCGGACGAGGCAACAAAAGAAAAGCTGGTGGACAAGGTCGGAACGGTGGTTGGGACTAAGGTGCTGGAGCTGGGGCGGCCGCGGCTGATCGCTCAGATCCTCGAGACAGACGTGTCGCTGTAACGAGCGAGGACTACTGGGCTGGGGCGTTCAGGAGGGGGGCAATGGGCAAAAGGAGGCTGGAAGCTGGGCGACTATCTTACTGCGGCAACGGCGTTTGGCGAGAGCTCAGGGTTTTCCGTTTGGAACACATGTAGATAACCGGCCGGCGCGAGTGGGCAGCTACGCCGGAGCCAGCTAGACAGCATCAAGAGCTGCATAATGCAATGCGGGGGCACGCAACGGCGGCGGGCTGTGGGCGGTGGGCTGTGGGCTGTGGGCTGTTAGCGCGACGTCTGGGTCAACGGCAGCAGCATGGGCGCATGGGCGCGTCGGCGGCGCACAACGTCTGCGCCGTGTCGCGTTTGGCCCGTCAACAACACCAGGCGGGCGCGGGCAGGGCCAGTGGACCCGGCGGCGCGAGCTCTGGGCTGCATGGCGCGCAGCGGATCACGCAGTCGCGGGCGGTTAGTGGCCGGTCGCGACGCCTCCCCGCGTCCTGCTCCTCGACAACGCATCGGCGCAGCTGCCCGCCCAACCAGCAACGAGCCGCACGCGATGACAACGCATGCGCTGCAGGTCACTGGACTGGCGGCGCCGTGAGACGACCGCGCAATCTTGGCCCGCGCTGACTCGCCAGCCCGCGCCCGTGCCCATGCCCCAGCCCAGCTCCGCAACGCGACCTCGCCGCCGCCCGCCGCCGCCCAAGCCGACATGAGTGACCAGTCTACTTGTCGTCGAAACACCGATGCCCGCCGACAGGCCCTTCATCTGCCCGCCGGCCTCTGGGGCCCGTCGCCGTCCTCGTCCACCACCGCCGTCTCGCAAGGCCCCTCTCCGTCCACCGCCGCCAACGACGCCTCGTCGACCGCCGCCCAGCGCTTCCCCGGCCTCCGCCAGCTCTACAGCGGTGCCGCATCCTGGCGCGCTTCGCTTCGCGGCAGGCCCAAGTCCACCACTACCGAGACTTCCGTCTCGTCGCGCCCCGTCATCGTCAGGACCTACTCCGGCGGCTCCTCGTCTCGCCCCCGCCGCCCCTCGTCGCACATGCCTCAGCGTCCTGTGACGCTGCCGCCTGCAGCCGACTTCTCTTTCGATGGCATCCTGCATGCCGTCGAGCCCGAGATCTCGGGTGCAATTGATGCCATTGCCGCCATCTGCGCCCGCAGCAAACTCAGCCTGGCCGACGAGTATGCTGCCCACCGTCCCCCGCACGAGGTCCTCGACCCAGCAATACCGCTCGAGCTTCAGCAGCGCCAACGCTGGTGGAGCGTTGTGAGGGACACCGCCCTGTCGGCTGTGCCTGAGGCCAGCAGCAGCAGCGAGCGTCTGGTCGGCAGCAGGACTGCCTCGCGCGCCTCCGTCTCGTCCGCTGCTGGCCACAGCTCCCGCGGCAAGAAGAACTCCGCCTACGGAAGCCTGAAAAGCATCGTGTCTGGGGATAGCAACGCTCGCAAGGGACTGTCTGCCCTGTTCGGCTCCAACGACGGCCGTGCCGATGCCGATGACTACCATGACCCTCCGTCGCCCAGTGGCTTCAATCATACCGCCCATTGGATGGTGTCGGACTCTACCCGCCCGTCCATTACCTTGTCCTCTGGTCCCGCCGCCCGAGCTGCATCCCCGCGTGTATCTCTGGCCACTTCCGAGGAACCCATGGGGACGGGGGCATCTTCAAGTCTCAATGGCGGTGCCACAACACATCATCATCCACCTCGTCCGCGCCCTGTGGCCCTTTCGACGTGGCTTCCATCTCATCCTACTGATCGTGGTCCTCAACCTGCTCTGCATGATCCAAGTGCCGGTACCGCAGCGGAAAAAAGCCTGAAGGACCTCCTTCGAACAACATCATCATCTGGTGAGGGACGCAAACCAATTGGTGCTACAGAATAACGTCCACTTCTTGCCCATGGGGGGTCGTGGGTATATGTCGAGCGCTTAGGTCCAAGGCCTTCCATGCCGGTTGGCACGTGACCAAGGAACCGACCAGCGTTCAGATACCCCATGCCCCCGTAGCCATCGTTCCGGTGTGGACTTACCTAACCTTGACGCCCTCCCCCGCCAACTGATAGGCTAACCTCCCTTGGTATCTTCTCCATTCTCATCCTGGCTGTGTACAATTGACCTCCACCGGCGGCTCCATTCTGCTTTGAACGATCCCCCTGTGCCACCACATTGACTGGTTTTTTACTTGATCCGATTCCATTACCGGACCCTAAAACATGCTATGAGCTACGGCCTCCGATTTTTAGCGCCAACGCGGACGATGAACCCAAAAAAGACTGCTTTTCCAAGGCGCTTTGCTTCATGGCTCCAGTCACTTTACAGCTTGGACGGCGGTTCCCGCCAGTTTACGACAGCGACTTTTTCTCTTTTGACCACCTGCTTATGAGTTTCCTTGGCACAATCTTGTGTCTTCTTTCTTTTCGACGAGTCGGTAATACGAATCAACTCGGCTGAGTAGATGGTGGTGGTCCATTCTTGATTGACCCATTCCTTTTGTTCAATGGGTCGGAGGGACTTTTGCAGCGTTTTTTGCGGATGACATACGACTTATGATTGATATGACGAAATGAACCATGCCCGATAGATTTTGTATGTGCGCCGGTGAGCAACACTCGAGACCACCTTTATAAATTTATCGTTACCACTCAATCGTTGTGGGGGTGAAGACACCATGGAAGCGGATCAAACAAGAAATCACGCCGCCATGGTCCGTCGTTACAAGAGCGCAAGCGTGGCGGACTACTTACAGCCTCGGACCACACTTCAAAGCCCGCAAGTATCGAAGATCATTACACGCACCGTAGCAGGGCGCAGCTGGGTTGCTACATGATAGGCCGAGAAGTGTTCCTACCTCAAGCTATTGGATATATAATTCAGAGCTGAGCACAGACGCAGCAAGGCAAACTTGGAGAACCCCTTCCGCAGAATGAATTCTGGAGGTCATAACCCTCGCAGCTGCGTTTCTATTTATGGAGCATAGTAAGTGACAGGTCATTAGGTGCTGTCCGTAGTCTGCAATTATTGCATTCGAGGTGAAACGACCCACCAGGTCGCGAACGCCCTCGTTCCTCATGCCACCTATCCTACATCATTTATTGCAGCAGAATTTGACCCATAACCTATTGAGAATGGAGCGCATCAACACATACAAAGCGAGCTCACCATCTGTCGAATGTTTCTCTCGTATATCTTGTTAGTATAAGTATTTCCAACTTCGCAGATGGTATCCGGCAAAGCGGAGTTCAGCTGGCTTCTGGGTTGACCGGGAATTGAGCCGCGTTTTTTGAACTATGATCATACTCACGAACCGAGACGGCGTTTCCTCATTTCTTATCTCTTATTCTTTTTGGCTCTCTTTACGAGCGTGATCGGAATCCGCCTTCCAAAGATCTTCTGCTTTACTCTACATCACACCAACTCTACCGACGCCGCCCAAGATGCTGACCACCATCAGCGTCAATTCATACTACGCAAGACGGGAGACGACAATTTTCTACAATGCATTCAATTAGGTAGATTGGAATACGTCCTGCCTGTCCAACCCAGCGGTATGCCGACTAAAAGAGGACAACATCATGTTTGACTGTGGTCACCGGGATAGCCACCATCGCCTGGGCATGAACACCTCACCTGAAGACCGAGTCCAATTTTGCAGAGCCACAAGTTGCGCTCCGTTAAATACTAAATCCTATAAGAGATCAGTGTAGGAAACATCGTCTGGATCCAGCTTTTACTTACTACTCCTACAGGCGCATATACCGCGATACGTACAAGGAAGTTCCGGCGAACGTGAGGTGCGTGCATGTATTCCGAGCTACCCAGAAAAGTAGTCGACTCAGAACGGCTTGAAGTTGGAGGTAAGGGTTATATCATATAAGTTGAGGTTTCAGTTGGTCCGAGTTTGAGCTTTGTTTGATGTTGCGCCAGGTCCGAATATCACTACGTTTTCGACAGAACGACAGTTGCTGGTTCTACATTTAAGCCACTGCCGGGATTGGCAAGCCCCAGCGCTGATACTGCCATTCTATTCCTATACGCAAAAAAGATCGATTGCGTATCGAACGTCAGTGGTCCATAGTATCCACCACACCAGGAGACGGTTAACATAGCGTTGATGGTTGACAGGAAAGAAACAAGTGGCTATCTGAAACGTATCGTTGCAGATGAGGCAGCATATCATTTTTATTGCAAAATACAAAAACAGATATGCAACCCGAGCCTTCCCGGAACATCCCGCCGTACGTCACTGAGCGGCTTTTACGAAGCCGGGAATGTGGACTGAGGGCTTACAGTGTGGAGATCAAAAGAGAAGATCGCGAATTCGATCGCAACCATGTTCAGAGGATCTCCACCCGTGCCCTTTGGTATTGCTACACTCATGAACCAGGTCTTGCTTTCCAGGTCTTTCATGGCGGCATGGACTCAGGGACCACTTCCGGACACCCAGTGCCAGCTTGAAGTCGAGCATTGGCATAACACATCCATGGCTTTCCTACAAAGAACCGCTGTTTCGCCAGCACAGTGCCCCTCGACCGAACAACACAGAGAAACAGAACCTTTGCGGGGGAAAACAAAAGCCAAGCAAGCAGCATACACACAACCGCTCAAAAAGGCCGTCATACGAACTTCGTCACTGATCTTCCTAAACAGAAAGCATACTCCCACTCCCACCTCAAAGCTTTCCATCCTCCAGCACCCATCCACCCTCGTCCCCAACACCATCATCGCCGTCTCCTTCTACACCCTCGAAGCGCGTCCATCTGCCATAATATCCAGCGCACGCCGCTTCTTCTCGTCATCACGATAATACCTACTCCCGTCTCGACAGTGGGTCCTGGGACCACCAACGAGCCGCCGCTCCCAGCCCCACCCGTCCTCGCGAGCGAACGAACGAAGAGCTCTAGCATCGACGTGCTGGGACGGGGCTGCTGGTGCTGCGAAGAACGAGAAGAACGGAGAAAGCGGGGGTTGCAACAGCAGCAGCAGTACGGGGAGAGAGGAGGAGGAGGAGGAGGCGGCGGACGACGAGGACGAGGGCCGTATGAGTAGGGACGGTGGGAATGCCGGCGGAGGCTTCGGAGAGACGCTAGCTGCCACTGTTTGTGTCGGAGTCGGTAAGCTGCCGGCAATTCTGAGGGGTTGGGTTGGGTTGGGTTGGGTGGCTATATTGGGGAAACGGGGAATTGTTAGGTACCTATCTACCTACGACTTACGGCCGGACCGATGGTTTACGATTTCGGTGATTTCGCTGTCTCTTGGCCTGCCCGAACCACCTGTCTTGCTATCCATGACGCCCTCCTCCAAGAAGTGAGTGGTGCAAACTTTGGGTGGATCTCATCTCCCGCTTTCTCTGCGCTCTTTGGGCTGCGAACGTTGGAGAAAGCAATATCGTATTGCTGCAGGTTCTTCGCGTGAATGCGCCTTTCCTCGTGACTATCGGATCAGCACAGACCTTACGAGAATAGCTGTAAGCTGGGAAAGACGGCAATGTCGGTGTTCACCGCCGAGCTGCTTTTCGAGGTCGTCGGAATCTTTTCCGGCTCGCGTACGTTGCGGTTGTGATGGTGCAGGCGACACTGCAGCTGCGGCCCTGTGGCAACGACGAGTCCTCCAAGGAAATCACTCCTCCGCGACGATCATTGCCTTTGTCGATGCAACGTTTCATCAGTTGGGGTGAGCTAGAACTTGAGCCGCCTAACAGCGAAGTCGAGGGTTCCACGGCGTGGAGATGCAAAGGCTTGATTGAGTACCTTCTGCATTCGGGGCACAGCCCATGCATTCATGCCTAACAGCGTATTCCGGCAATGTGTCAGCAGGTGGTCGGAAGAAAAACATCTCCGGACCAGGAAAGCCGAGCCGTGCGATGCTGACCGTAAAGTGGGCAGTCACATGAGAGGAATAGGTCATTGGAGCGACTACCCCGCCGAAACACAAAACTGCAGGGGGCTCGTAGTTCTGACTGTAATGAGCAAGTGTGACCGCGCCTCCGTGTATGTGAGTGTGGATGCTTTGTAATATTGTGTTTGTTCATGAGGCAAGGCGGCCCCACCATCATCCATTTCAACTTGGACAAAGTGGTTACGCTGTGTTTTTGAGACAAAGCTCTGTTGAGCCGAGGTAGTAAAGCCGAGCTGAAGAGGGAGGGGCTGAGTTTCCGAATACCACAATGATCCAAAATCGAGATGATTTCTTTTAGTATATTCAGTGTCTGGTCGTGAACTTCTGTCAGCCCTGTCCAAACAGCCCCTCGGGAGTAAAAAAAACCACACATTTCCATTTCCACTTACCGCCTCCTTTCACCGACGGCAGCCTCATCATAGACTCAATATAGATGCCACGGGAATAACCCATTTCTCCCTAACAACAGGCGCCCTCGCCACCGCTGCCATCACCGCGTGAGCATACACAGCCTCATTCTTTTTTATTATTATTATTCCCGAAGCTGTAAGTGACACAACGTCACTTCACTGTGGCACGCCGTGTGCGGAGAGAGAGAGAGAGAGAGAGAGAGAGAGAGAGATAGAGAAAGTACAAAGCCCAACCCAAACTTTACCCCATGTCGAAGCCGGGCGGGAAGGGGAAGGGGAAGCGGCGAACCCCTGTTCCCTACAGGAGGATCGGTTTCTTACATGGCGAAGTGAGAGCGACGTCGACGCGTATTTCCGCATGACAGGCGCATTCCAGCGCAGCGGGGCAAGGGGACACCAGGATGAACCCCGCGTGCGCCACCACCACCGTCCACCACCACCACCAAGGACCCTGACTGACGAGGTATGTAGATCCCCCTGGTTTATGTTCATTGTTTTTTCCCGCCACTATCTCGATCTTGCGTGGAAGGGATGCAGGTGATGAATGGGACGAGATGGAAAAAAACAAGTTGCAGCGTTGCTTGCTGATCGCTTGCGCAAGGCTGCCATGTCGCATGGTCCATGGTTCCTTCGGAAAAGGAAAACAACGGGTGAGATAAAGTCAAAAGAATGGGTTTTTTTATATTGCCGGCCCCCACAGAACGTACCCGGTACCTTGCTGCCTGCAGCAGGCTGGCTGATTGATGTACAGTACATACATAAGTGGTGGTGGGTCTCGAACGGAGGATTTGATGTTGCATATTGTTGGAGCCTGACAAAATTACTTTCCTTAAGTTTGTGTGTACATGCAATCTAACACGCGCCACCGCAGAAGACGCCATCTCGGGACCGACCACCCGGCCGTTGGTGTTGTGAAAAGTGGCGTGGGAGGCCTTGGTGGAGGATGATGTGCGCGGCTGGGGGAAGCAGATGCTGAGGGGAAACAGGCTGGGTGCTTCGTAAATAGACAGGCAATGGAGCCGAGGCGACCGACATTCTCGACCATTCATTGGGGGCCCGGGAGGCTGATCAAGCAACGTCGCTGGCTGGCGGCCATATGCGTCGAGGTGCATGTCACCCCCTCCCAAGCCACCGTTACACAGAAGCAAGGCCGCCCACCAGTCCCCGAGAAGACCCTGAGCTGGACTAGTCTTCTTTTTTTCTCGCTAGTTTCGCCACGTTTACCCCACAAGTTTGTTTGTCTAGGGACAAGATGGCGAAGTTGGGGCGCAGGCGCCATTTCGCGGCAATGGCTTGTTTCTTCTGCTGCTTAAACAGACCTGCACAGCCCTCGGACTTAGCGGGCAGGGCATCGTATCGCACCTCTCCTCGTGAAAGGCCGTCGATCGGGTGGGCTGCTTTGGCCACGCTTTTCCGAGGACCAAAGCACGAAGCCAGCCATGGTTGAGCTCTGCTGTCTTGCAAGGCCAGCCTGAAAGACTCGGTGCTGCAGGTTCTGACAGGCTCCAAGACTGTGTTTCCTGTGTGTGTGCGCGCGTGTGTGGCAGGCATGCGCTGTTCTTGTGTTGCCACCAGATGCTGCACCCGTCCGACTGCGCGACAGAGGTAATCAGCGTCGTGCAGTACCGAGCTGGCGCCTAGGCGCGGGGAGCAGCCCAAACGAGCCCCCCTTTGGCCACTGAGGAGAGAGTGATTCGAGCCGGGGACTTGCTGACTGCAGCCAAACCCCCTCCCCCCATGCTCTGCGACGGCCCGATCCTTTCGAGTCCAGGGGAAATCCCTGGGAGAGGGAAAATCACTTGCAGTCGATGTGAGCCTCGGCTAGAGACATGATGGTTTATCGTCCGAGGGAATACGTACCGCAGCACTTTCGACGCAATGTGTGCGCGTCACACGTGGTGGCTCGGTTTCGGCCCCTCCATCCTATCGTCCATACTGTAGTGGCCGCGCGGCGGACGGAAGAAAGCTATCAGGTAATGCCATCGGCACCTGGACGCAGAGAGGTCCAGAAGGAGTCGGAAAGTGAGGCTTTGCCGGGCAATCTGCACGTTCTTGGGTGCGGGCAGTGACCGGGGGGCCCAGCAAGCAAGCGGCGGACCGACTGGACGGCCAATGGCCTTCGCTCCAGGGCAGCAGAAGGCGGACGGTGATGCTGAAGAGGAGCAGGAGGAGGACCAGGAAGGGGCGGTGGCGCCAAGTCCAGGAAGCACGCAACGTATGACCCGCGTCGGGAGCCTTCCGGCGCGGGTGGTCGCAGAGACAAAGCAGAGGTCAATATGCTGGCAGCCCTTGTGCGGCGCCGCCCTTCCACCCGTCGTCGCTTCTCCATTGCCGCTTGCCGCATGGCGGCCCGACTGCAGTCGCACCAGGTACGCGCGCCCTTCCCCGTTGTGCCCGGCCTGGTCCTTCCTGCCTCACCACCACCGACAATGGAAAAGCGGGCACGGTACTTCTGCGGAAACGAACGGACCACCCCTGGCGGTGCAGAATTGCAATCGCAAAAGGCGTTCCCCCGGACTCTCGATCCCCGGCCCCTCTGGCCTGCGCTTGTGCGGTTTGCGGCGATCTTCCGCTGCACGGCCACCCGGCGATCCCGCCAACAGCCCCGCCCCCTCGTTCGGCCTCCCGTCGCACGCGAGACGAGAGTCCGACTCACTAGCTACCTATACTCGTGACAGTCGACTCGGGGCGGTGACGACAAGGCACCTTCCTCTAGGGCTTACGCCGAACCTGCTGACCGAATCGAAAAGGCGGCGTAGAAGTGACGTAGACGACGGAGCGCAGGGCACTACCTACGGCACGGGGACACCGTTGGCAAGAGGGGCCTTGCAGATAATCTCACAAAGACGGTCGATGCTATGTGATACACTCCATTCCAGCTAACTGCATTAAGGAACGATCCCGCCCGAGGAGACAACCAAGTAAACCGACCCTCAAGAGTCCGGAAATAAGGGAAAGAATTCAAGTCCACCACTGCCGCCGCCTTCGCTTCCCCTTCGCCTCGCATGATCAAACTCGTCCATGCCGCCAAGCAGCAGCTGCATCGGTTGCCACTGGGCCCCCCGGCGGCGCCCCTCAGTCTTGCCTTTGATGCTTGTCCTAGATAAGTCGTCGTCGTCGTCGTCGTCGTTTGCACCACGGCTGGGCTCGCCCGCGTCCATTGTCCGCGGCGACAAGCTCACTTGTGGTTCTGGTGGTTGTTGTGCTGGCGTAGCGACGGGTCGTCCCACTGGTCCTGGCCGGGGTTGGCCTCCTCGTAGCGCATGTGCTTCAGAGTCTTGTACAGGCCCGCCGCGATGGTGGCACCCACGCCAGGTCCAACCCCTGCAACACAAAAAAAAGTCAGCATCTCATCAGCTTTCCTCCGCCAAATGCAACAACAACAACAAAACTCACAGTAGATCCAGTGCTTGGTCCAGGTGCCGCTGATGACGGCGGGCCCGAAGCTGCGGCAGGGGTTGAGGCTGGCGCCGGTCCACTGCACGCCGACGAGGTGGGCGGAGAACAGGGCCATGCCGATGCAGACGGGGGCCATGAAGCGGCCCTTGTGGTTCTCGCCCGCGAGCATGAAGATGGACATGCAGAGGTACGCCGTCAGGATGAGCTCGATGCACACGGCCTGCGCCGTCGTCGCCCCGTTGGACGGCTGCGTCACGACCCCGAACTTGGTCGGGATCAGCACGTCGACGATGACCGATGCGAACATGCAGGCCAGCATCTGCGCGAGGAAGAGCACCAGGCACCGCATTGGCGGGATCGAGCTGGTCAGGAACATGGCGAGCGTGACCTGATTAAAGCCGCCACTGTCAGAAGAAGAAGTCCTGTTCCTTGTAAAGTGGAGACGGGGGGTGGGCCGGCGCTTACTGCTGGGTTGAAGAGGCCTCCGGACACCCGGAAGAAGATGAAGACGTTGACCATCAGAGACAGGCCGAAACACAGGGAGATGTACAGGACGGTGGCAGGGTCGAAGGTGGTGTTGTCCGGGTCTTGCAGCGCGCCCCATTGAGCGACCTCGGTGCCTGCAAAGGCGAAGAAGAGGAAGGATGCTGTGCCCACGCATTCACCAGCGAAGGCAATCGAGTCTTTCTTGCGTAAGTCTTCAGAGTCCTCCCGAGGGGCAGGTCAGGTATACTTACGGTTCTTCCATTGAGACCGTCCGAACCCGCTGTCCATGATCCTGTTGAAAGGAAATGGCAGCGGCTTGTATTCCGTGTTGACCTGGAGGCCGACCTCATCGACCTCGGGCGTCGTCCGGTTGTCGGTAGTGGCCGTGTTCTCCGAGTGACGCGGAGCCTTTGTGTCTCCACTGCTCCAGCGGTGGCCGGCCTCAGTGGAGGGACCATTGTTGTAGGCGGAGGATGACATGGTGAAGGAGTTCCAGGAGCCGATGGCACAGGTACCTCTCTGAGTGCAGACGGAGTGAGAACGAGTTCGGGCTGAGGAGTGAAGTCTGATAGGGAAGAAACTGGAGGCAGCGTAGCTCCACGGCGCCTTTTAAGTGTGTCCATGAGCTCCTCCCCCGGGTTTTGCTTCTACGAGCCACTGAGAGCACATCCCAGCTCGCTGGTGGCGATGTCAATCAGTGCCGTCCCCACGTCATGCCTTGGGCAGCTTCGAGCAATAGGACCTGCAGTCTTCTGAGCCGGGTCTTACAGCAGCGTTCCAGCGGAGGCCGGCGTCTTGGGCACCATCGCGGCGTCTCAAGAAGATCGGAGATCCCTGGCCGGCGGTTTTCAAGCGTAGGGATGGCAGCCGCCATGCTGTTGGTCAGCGTGGCAGGAGCTCGACATCGGCTTGTCCTACAAAAAAGCAGCCCGGCGCAGTCCCTACGGGGGAAAAGAAACGTCGGCTCGCTGGACAGGTGGAGAGACGCGGTGGCAGGCGCATGAGGGCTCGGACGGCACAGGGAGCTCCCCAGTCGGGATTATGGCGAGACGCCGTACCGACGCGGAGGTGTGCAGTGCGCGGTGCTCAGAGACCTGGGGGGCAGCCGCGCGCTGCAGCCTGGCGGCGACATACGATACGTCTCCCGAGCAGCTTGCTCTGTGGCCCCGCCAAACAGGGCAACCGCACGCTGGCCGCGGCACAGAGGAGCAGTCGGCTGTCCGGGCAAGGCTCGAGGGAGAGGTGTACAGGTGCAGGCTTTGCGCCATCCAGCACCGGCGCCGGGGAACCCACACACACGCCAGCAGGCCTCGCTTCCCCACGAGCACACAGAGTCGGCCTCCCCTTCGCAATCCGGCACGAACTGTCAAAACGTCGTGGCCGTGGTACGTGACGGGCCGGCTGGTTGCACGGCGTCGCGCTGCGACGTGTGGCAGGAAAAAGCAAAGTGGACGACGCAGCTCGACCAGGCGGCCAGGATCGGACGGCGTCTTTAGCTTGACCGCAGCTTCCCCTGCTGCACGGCGGCGAGGGCGAGAGGGGTGAAGAAGTGAATGCCCAGCGGCGTTGTCGGCGAGCATGCGGCGGCGGCGACAGGGAGGCCCCCGGGGAGGCCAGGGATGTGATAGGGCAGCCATGCAAGGTCTTCCTTTTGTGGCCGGCTGCTCGACGAACGGTGCTTGGCGCCTTTGGTTGGGTGCCATTGCAGCGGCGGCTGGCCATGTCTGCGGAGCTAGGCGGGGTTGCTGCTCTCTCTCTCCACAACGGCCTCCGGCTGTGGCGGCGACAATTCGCGCAGAGGGCTGCCAAAAGGAAAAACCCCACGAAGCCACTCGCCCAGCCGGCGCGCCGCGGGGAAGCTGGTCGTGTCGCAAGGCGCCCTTATCGATTGCCCCCGGCACACCCTCAGGCGAATTGCCTTTTCGGGCAGTGCGGGCTCGTGCGTCATCATCGCGCTGCCTCCAGCACGCCCCGTGCTCCATGACGAGCAGCTGTCTCAGCCGCCGGGACAGGGCCTGGCCCCGGACGCCATGGTCAGAGTAAATCGTTCCGCTGGATCCCGGCCTTATCGCCCGCCTGGTCCCAGCCGCCTGCCAGCGCTCATTCCGTGTTCCCAGCGCCATTGCGCATCCGGACTCGGGCCCCCTGCTCCGGGACCGCTGGTCGAGTGTCGTCCGTTGCCTGCCTTGGCATCCCATGAGATTGCGTTTGTGGCGGCTATGGGTAGTCAGCCCACGCCGGCTCCTGCGGACCTTGGCCCCTCTCACATCAGATCACTTTTCTCGACACTTTAGATGCCGTTCAGATGACCTGATTCGCCCGGTGGAACCATTAGCTGGCCATGGTGTGACAACGTTGGGCTGTCACGGTTGCTCCACTGTCGCCAGGTTCCCTGTAGTCGCGGACCTCCTGCAATGGCCCGTCGGGTCGAGGCAGAATAGAATAACAAGCGGCACCTTCACGACATGATGAAGGCAGCCTCCAGTGTATCAAGAAATGAGGACCTTTCTAGGACGGCCGTGGATTGAGTGTACTGGACGAGGTATAGTTCTTCAAAATAAAAGAGGCGGGGCCACCAGTGGGTTGTTCCGAGCGAATGCATTGGGAATGGCCTTCATCTTGATACACCACAGTGGAGTGACAGTCACTTTCCCATCTACCGACACCTCCTGGGGGCAGACTAAGGGGGCCACGGCCAGCCAGTTCAGACGTAGAGGTCAGGCATCTCGTAAAATCCACTTGAGTCTCATCCTTGGGTTCTCCTCCCCCGTAAAATCTGGAACTCTGAGGGCCATGGGTCGTGTCAGAGCTAGTACAAGCGGAAGTGGCAAGCAGGCTTGTCTACGTGGCCATGCTGTCTCTCTGCAAATGGATGTTTACTCAGCTGTATCCTCAATGCCGGCTTGCCTTGGGCGAGAGCCTACCGTGGTGGCGAACGGGATGGGACAAGCTTGGACGTTCGGCCAAGCCGCGTGTGAAGAACTTGTTCACTGAAGCCCAGTGAAGGCAGAAGCTCTCAATTCACAACAAGCCATAATCCAGTGTCCTTGAGTGCGGTTTGTAGTGTGTTCGGTGCTTGAAACGTGGCCGAAACTATACCTCTCGTCTCGTTCCCAGTGCGTGCCGTAAGCCACAATGCTAGTACTTGACTTAGAGAAGTGTGTGTGGGGGGCAGTTGCGTTTCGTCTCTGGCAGGCTTCAGGCCGTTGCTTTGAGCATCGTCGGTCGCAGATTGACGGCACCTGCTGTGAGCGTCAGAGAGCGCCAGTTTGACGACGGTGCGCCATGATTTATATGGAGCACCCACAAGATCAGAGGGTGGTGGATTATCCTCGCTGGCTGACTGTCGAGGCGGCGCACGCTCAGGATCCGTCGAGTGAGGGCATCTCTGCCGACGTTGCCCGCGGGTGAAAACACCTGTGAAGGTGTCGATTGCTCACCATAGGAGTGGTGCTCGAGGTTTGGGTCATGAAGAGGGATATCAAGCAGTGTGGGGAAGGTCCCGAAATTTGCAAAGGCCAGTTGGAGCTGGGAGGCTGGGAATGTCGGATTTCTTGTAGGGAGCGGCCACGGTGCGGAGAGGCGTTTACTTTTTCGGCGATGGTTGCGCAAGGCGAAGCGCCCGATTCATCGGTGAGGGAAAAAGCAACGACGATTCTGCGATTGATGAACTCGAGCTCTGACTTGACCCGACGACCAGAAATGGCCTCATACGGCGGACAAGGGACCCAGCCGAAGATCAAGCTGAGTTTCCCGGTCGTTGGAAGGGAGTGTGATGCGTGTTTCGAGCGAGTGCCGTCGGACGCGACGATCACGGTGCGGGTGGAGAAGACTGGTCACGTTTTGCGGCCATGCTTATTGCGGCAATCCCACCGCCGATCGACACGCCCGCACCAAAGCCCTCACGAGCACGTGCGGCGTGCCTTTACAAACGAACATCCATGAAGTTCATGAAAGCTTCTGCTTGATCCAAACCCACCACCAAAAGTGAGACTGCGAAGCTTGCGGTAAGATGCTTGAACGCCATAGAGCCCAAGTGGCGGCGCACGACTCACTGGATTGGCCAAACAAACAGTACAAGCCGAGTGTTCCCGCGACATGCATATTCAGCTTGACATGCTACAAAGAGTCCTGCATTTGCCAATCAGCTGTACGCATACTAGTCCCGGAACCATCAGAAGCGCAAACGTCACGCACCGAAGCCACCAAGCCGGAGAGGAAAAAGCTAAAAGCTCGCAGCAAGCGCAAGCGCTTACTCCGCTACCACTGTGGCGTTTTGTGGGCCGTATATTGCATTATCCTAGATTCGGAGCAGCCGCTAGGTGTTGACAAAGCGCTCACCGGCTCGTTGGGTCTGCTTGTAAGCACTCAGTAAGTTTACCTACCAGACCTAGCTTCTGTTACCTTCTGGGTAGCATCTTAGCGGATAAGAGTCCGCCTGCAGTCGAACTCGAATCATTATTATCGGCAGACCGAGCCCGATGAACATCAACAACGGCATACCTTTATCTAGCTGAGCCTTCCGTAGCCTTGATCCAATCCGCGTGGGTCGTACCTGTCATTTGCTGTTCTGACCGAACCCTCCCGACCTTCTGCGAGATATCTCCATCGAGGCCATCGCTCAAACCTCCGGGCTATCCGCAATGTCGCTGGATAAGCCCATCTAAGCAGGCCATGTTGAGGACTATGACGACATCGGTGACGTATCCGAGTGGGCCGGCCGACGTTAGATAAAGACCGCTGAAAGCCAAAACCTCAACATAAGCAACACAAGCCTTCCGAGACAAGGAGAGATCCTCGCATCATGGCCCAGAACACGCAAGCCGATCCTATCGCCTACGAGCAGTCCGTTTTCCAGGCCGGCCTCCACTCGACCCGCCCGCCTTTCACCTTCCAGCCGTCACGATGGGAAGAGATGGCCCGCAATGTTCTCTCAGCCAATTCTTGGGGTTACATCCATGGAAATGCGGGCGCCGGCCAGACTTACCAGAAGAATTTGGCATCCTTCTCTCGTTGGTCCATCGTCCCGAACCGTCTCGTGCCGAGCCGTAAGGACGACAATGGCAACGACCTCTTCAGCGACACAGCCACCACGGTCCTGGGCCAGGAACTTAGGTTTCCCATCGCAATCGCCCCCATTGGAGTCCAAAAGATCTTTAATCCCGAGGGTGAGAGTGCTGCAGCAAAGGCTGCAGCTTCGGTGGACATTCCTTACACCCTCAGCACGGCAAGCAGCACAAGCATCGAGGACGTTGCCAAGGCCAACGGAAACGGAGTACGCTGGTACCAACTGTACTGGCCGAGCCGGGAGCACGACGACATTACCATCTCTCTGTTGAACCGGGCGAAAGCAGCAGGATACACGGCCCTCTTCGTCACCCTGGATACTTACGTGCTGGGCTGGCGGCCCTCTGATATGGACAATGGCTACAATCCCTTCATCCACGCCGACAGAATCGGAGTGGAGTTGGGCTTCACCGACCCTGTTTTCCGGAAGAAATTCAAGGAGAAGCACGGTTACGAGATCGGTGAGACCACGGACCATGAACCTTCAGACATGGGCCGTAGCGTCTCTCAAGCGGCACAAGAGTGGACAAAGATTGTGTTCCCCGGACACTCGCACAGCTGGGAGGACCTTGAGTTTTTGAAGGAGCACTGGGATGGCCCCATTGTGCTCAAGGGCATTCAGAGCGTTGGCGATGCCAAGAAGGCCGCTGAGTCAGGGGTTCGGGGGATTGTGGTCAGTAATCACGGAGGCCGACAGCAAGATGGAGGTAACAGCAGCCTGGGTGTCCTGCCACGCATCGTGGATGCAGTGGGAGACAAGTTGGACGTCATGTTCGATAGCGGGATCCGATGTGGAGCCGATGTTATGAAGGCGCTCGCCCTAGGGGCCAAGTGCGTCTTCGTCGGCCGGCCATATGCATACGGGCTCGCCATTGGGGGCGAAGAGGGCGTCAGACACGTTCTTCGAGCAATGTGCGGCGATCTGCTCATGAACATGCATCTCGCCGGCGTGCGTGGCCTTGACGAATTGACAAGAGACAATTTGGTGAAGGAGGACGACTTGTTCTAATGCAAGGGCTGATAGATGACGAAGCCTCCCTCGGAAACGGCGGGCTGATTACTAATGTCTCTAGTAAGTGGTTTATATAGCAGGGGAGGAAGGAATAATGGTGTTGTGAGTTCCTGGGCGCACTGGTTGGGTGAAGGTGACAGAAATATCAAACCGTGTTAAAGAAGTTGGACTTTGTTGGCAAGCTGTGATAAGCAGCCTTATGGTCAGGCTCGCTGTATGGAGCTGCGAACGCTACGGTCAGACGCCAATTTCGTGGATAGGCAAACTGCAACAGTGGCCCTGAAACTTTGTCTGCTTTCTAGCATATTAGTACAGTGACAGTGTCGCGGGACGGAGACTATTGGCTGAAGATGCAGTCGATCGAGCGAAAGAGAGCTGGACAAATCAGGTCAGGACTCGTGTACGGTGACGGATGCAAGCATCGTATTGGCCCCCAATGGGAAGAGGTGCCGGCCACCCCGCAATGACTGGCAGCAGGATGCACAAGAGAAGGGCCGGGCCGCTGGGCGACGATTGCTTCCCACACAGGCTGACCGGACGTGGCTCGGATGCGACTCGACAGAAGGGGATCGTGAGCTCAAGCCGGCTGGTGGTGAGAGGGCGGATGACTTGCATTGCATGGCGGGCAGCGGTGCGGGAGGAGCGGCGATCGAGATAGTGGCTTCGCGGCCGGAGAAAGCGAGTTGTGAGGACAGGTGAGATGGGCGGTGAGCGACGAGGCACTGGAACAGGTGAGGGCGAGACACGGAAGGGGGGCCAAGTGGCAGCAACGGGCAGGCCGCGAGACAAGGCTGAGAGGGCTAAGTGGCTAACGGCTTACAGGAGTTGGATCGACGGCGGCAAGAGCGACCGAAGAGGCGCGCCCGCCGAGCGGCTAGCCAGTGGGAGGCATCGCAGAGGGGGTTGGAGTACGTGGGCTCCGGCCAGAGGGAAGCGCGATTACGTGCGAATCGACGCGTCGACGGGCGGACCGCGTTGTAGCTGCTCCGCCGGCGCAACAGCGATGCAATCCCGTACGGAGCCAGCCCAGGTCGTACAGAACGAGCAGGCGGCAGGCGGCAGGCGGCAGGCGCGCGCACCACCGGCAGTCAGTCGCGTGGGTGCCGGGCTGCACTGCGCCAATCAGCCCTGTCGCACCCGCCTCCCCGACTCGCGCCAGCACAAACACCGCGCCGGATGCCGGCCCTGCGCTTCACGACTTCCGCGCGCTGCCGACACTGGGCTTCCCGATGGCCGAATCGCCGATGTTCGAGGGCGCCGGCGCAACACTTAGCCTCGCGCTCGCCGTTGCGCTTTCGATGGAGCCCCTGCAGATCGCACCGCACAACAAGCCTCCCGCCGGCCCACCGCTGGCCCTGCCTCGATCAACTGGCAGCTGGCAGCTGGCCACCGGCCGCCGCTAGGGGCCTTCTGTCTCCGCACGCACGCCGCTGGCCGGGGCGCCTCCATGAAACCGGCATGTGCGGCTCGCAGCGTGGGGCCCGCTGCGGCACTGCTCCCGCTGGGCTCCTGCCGTCACAGAAGCTTATTCATGTTGGGCCTCCGCCCAGTCTGCGCGAGTCCCAATGCGCGATGCTCTCTCCACCACCGCCTGGACAGCAACCGGGGCCACCTGCCAGCCCGGAAGCCCTCAGACCTCGAACCCCTCCGACTATATAACCTCGCCCGCCGAGCCTGTCGCACGAACTGCCCTCGTCAGCTCGCATTCACCCCTCGATCCCTCGCCATGTGCACCCAAATCATCCACTCGTACGGCTGCGGCCACCAGATCATCGAGAAGGCTCCCTGCGCCGCCTCGCGAGCCTCGGCCTGCGGCGTCCTCAACACCAAGAATTTAACTCATGGCGGCAATTGCGACAAGTGCGACCAATAACACGTACGCCGCCCTCCTCGCTCCTGCGACTCAAGTGCTCATGCTTGCCCAGCCCGCGCTGCGCTGCCCCGTCACACCGCTCGGGATTGTAAGCCAGCAGCAGCATACATCTTCGAGTCATGGCCCTGTCCGTTCCAAGCCTCCGCGAGCACCCGCTCCGCTCCAAGTCGCCGGACCTTCTCCTTTGCGGCCGCCCGCGACGCTCCAGGCCACCCTCGCCATCACCTTTAGCCGCACCACCTACCCCACCAAGCCAGACGACCGACCGTTAGACTAACCGCGCCTCTCTTGACGGCTACCCGCCGAGCTAAGCTTTTTCGGAACCTCGGAATTACGGAACCGCCCGTCGAATCAACCAGCGTCGCACACAAAACACTTTCCAGACCCCGGCCAACTTTTTTTTTCCCTCGCCAAGTGGATCTTGTCCGTCTTTCGATTTTGCGCAGCTGTGCCGCAGGACCATCCCACACGCCAGACAGCCCCCGACTGTGGCTTGCGGGTGGATTGAGCACGACGTTCAGGCTGCAGGCCCATCTGCACCGACGGCACGTCTCAGCAATGCAGGACGACTCGCGCCGCCAACCCTATCACCAACCATCTATTGCCCTAAACATGGTCACAAGCCGACAATCGTCACTTTGCTGTGGAGACGCCTGTGGTACAGCTCATCGATCGCCCTTCTCTCGTCATTGCCAACGCACGCCTGTGTTCGCGAGGACCTTTGCTGTCCGGCCTTCCCTTTCTGCAGAACCGCGCGTCCCATGCGATGCGCGTTTGCGGCGGCAAGAGAAAGAGCTGGCAGAAAAGGCTATAACGCGAAGCCGATAATACCCCACCGGCAAGCAGGCTTTTCCCTGCCAGAAAACCTTTCCGTCCCCACCTCCCGACCTCCCCCCTTCATTCCGCATATGCACGTCACCTACTATAATCGTTCCCCACATTCAAGGCCTACTACATACCTACGATCTTGGACATTGAATTGAACAAACCACAGAGACGCTTGGAAAAAGTCACGGCCGTTGTTTAGAGCACAGGAAGTGGAAGTTTTTCTTTATACCCGTTGTTTATCTATTGTCGGTTAGCGGTTCATGTAGGATAGGGATCAAAAGTATATTGTTTTGAGTCTCCGATTCTTCAGGCCCTGAGCCTACTCCGCAATTGCCTCCCGCATGCGTCTTGATAATGAATGGTTGGGCCTTTTCGTGATTCCAGAGATCTGCAGGCAGCAATCAGTGTGGGGCGCATTCTTCATTCCATCAGGATGCCTCCACCCTACCCGCATCCGACGCTAGGTACTCGCGCTCGTCCCGATTGCGTACAATTGCAAAGCCAACCAACAGGTAGCAACCGAAGTTGGTTGTTGGCAAACACCATTGTTTCAGAGCTCGAGACAACAGCAGCGCCTTCCCTCGGTCAGATCTGCCGGGTGGGGCGGGAAAGGCAGGCGGGCCGAGTCAAGGCATCGAATGATGCAGAAAATAGACGATGGTTGGGCATCCATCGAAAGTAATTGCGTATGTGCACACCTCCCATCACGTTCACATGCGCCATAAATGAGAGAGTGGACTGGATCAGGCAGTGCTGCTGTGCCACGTGCCGGGTTTCTTCTCTCGTCGTGACATGCAGGACTTTTTTTTTTTTCTCTTTCTTTCTCTCTCTCTCTCGATCTCTCTTTCTCGCTCTCTTCCCTCTCCCCACCTCACCGTAGATCAGTCCACGACCAACAGTAAAAAAAAGGACACCATGCCCTGTCGAGCACTGCGCGTCATTCGTTTATGCCGCAAACCTGCTTTTCGTTGTTGTTGTTCGTTTCGATTGGGGGCCAGTGTGCAAGGTGTAGGACGGGTGAAACGAGAAGCCAGAGCGCAGGGGAGAGGGGCGGGAAGAAAAAAAATCGGAGCGAGGGGAGATGGCACCGAACGAGTGGGGACGTGAGAATGGAATCACCGGCGCGTAACGTGCTGGGACCGATCGCCGGTGAGCTTGTTCAGCGGCACAGGCTCGCTTCCAGGGCAGTAGGGGTGTAGCCCTCACTGCGTCTTTTCAGCACCATGACGTCGTGGCTTCGATGATACTTGTGGAGAACTGGGTGTTGTTGTCGTCCCTTGTCGCGGCAAAATCACTTGTGGAGTACTACATGGCCTTGCGAGTGAGAGAGGGGGTGCAAGCTGTGAGGATGGTTTGCGGCCGGCTCCGGCCCTGATTTGTCATGTGGCGAGCGCGGCGAATTGCTGAGCAGGGGAGCGAGACCAACGTGTGGATTTCGAGAAGGTGGGACGGGAATACGTGTCGAACTGAGTTGATCATGCAAAGTGACTGTTGCTGCCTGGCAAGGCTTCGGTCGACGGAAGTGTCTGGATGAGAAAGGGGCAGTCGACTTCCAACCCAGTTGCGTAGCTGGACGCACGTGTATGATTCGAGCGATGTGCGTGGGCTTTGGCAGTGCCCGGAGCCGTCGAGTTGCTAAAGGCTCGCCAGCTATTGACGAAAGGATCGTGAGCAGCGCTCCACATCTGGTGTGTCAACAGCCGAAGAGCATCGCGGCAACCGCTTCACTCTGTACCACGATGCTGATCTCATTGCAGATCTGCACCTGAAGATTGACAGGCTTACACATTCGTTCGCGATCCTCGGTTCTGAAGTTCTACCAGCCGAACTTTGTCCAGGTTGATTAGTTATGGTGGAGCCCACACCAAGGCAGACCACGTGGCCCACAGGACCTGCATGCACACTCGGCATGCAGCTTCAGGACTTGGCTGGCACCTGATGTCCTGCAATTGGCAGGTCCCGAAGAGATGAAGTCGTCTCTTAACGATGAGCACACACCAATGAAGCTCTCGTCCCCCGACCAGACTTCCAGAAAGGAGTCCTATCAAAGCCATGGTGCCCAACAAGTCGAATAGCAGCGGTTTGAACTCGAGTGAGGCATTCGAGTCAGCTCGGTGCGCATGGCGACAGCCACAGAGCGTTTGGTGCCTCGTGCGAAATGCACTTGTGGCACAGTGTGAGCCCGCATCACGTCCGACCATATCGGCGTTCACTATTGATTTTTGCAACACCGAGAACACGTCGGTCCTTTTTGGAAAAAGCAAACGCCATTTTCTTGTCTATGCAATACGCAGATGGGCGGCGAAATACATTGACGAAGTCTAAATTTACCGCTTTCGATGCGTCGCGGGCCAGCAAAACGACGCACCACTGCGCAATTCCATGGCAATGTTTGGACTTGGCGCTCCCCGTGGCGCATGCCGCATCACACTCCAGGGGGTGTCTTGTTATTACAGGCTTTGCTCGCTCCGGGCAATAGCACGCAGTCAGAAAGAGATGATCGACGTCTAACCAAAGCTGCCAACGCTAATGGCCTTGGGGCGGAGCGAAGGGTCCGGTCGGGCAGCAAAGGGCTGGCGGCTATATTTCTATGCCGCAGGCGCAGCTTGGACGGACCACGGTGTCTCAGATACGGGTTGCATATACAGGACCGCCCCCGGCGTCGCAATCCGCCGCGCGGTCTCCAATAGATGAACGGAAGCCGAGGCGGCTCCTTCCGGCGGGAGGCGGCTGCCGCGTCCAGTATCGGCCTCGTAGCGCCACTGTCACGCGACAAGGCGTCGAGGCAACGAAGCAACGCGCGTATCTCGTTCCGCTGTGTTGGTGGCGGAAAGCCGCGGAGGAGAGGGCGGGAAAGGGGCCTAAATGCCAGGTAGGGAAAGCGCGCCCCCAGATTCCGCTCCCCGCCCGCCGACAAGGCCCCGCCCTCGCTCCAATTCCGCACCGATCCCGCCCGATAAGCCCGCCCGACACTACATCTGGCAGACATGTCGCCCATCCGCCTCCGCCGGATGCGCATATTTCAGGCTGGCCATTTCCTGACGCTTCCTGTCAGACCGGCGTGCTTCGACATGGCGGCATTAGACACATGGAGCCTATCTGGGCAAGTGCTGCGAGAAGGACATGCATATAAGCACCAGAAGGTAGCCACGCCAGGAGGCTGACTCCACTACCCCGCATCATCGTCCCAATCCCTACATAAGCTGCCGCTTCCTTGCGCATCAAACACAGCATCCGTGCTTCTCCCGGACCGACAATGGCTAGTTCCCCTTCGACCATCAAAGTTGCCGTCACTCAGGCCGAGCCCGAATGGCTTGACCTCGAGAAGGCAGTGCAGAAGACGTGCGCTCTCATCAAAGAGGCCGCCGCCAATGGTGCCAAGATCATTGCCTTCCCCGAATGTTGGATCACCGGGTATCCAGCATGGATTTGGTCAGACCCCCTCCCCTCCTCACACTTTTCTCCCAACCGACTTCTCAATCCCACCCACCATGAGTTCTTGCAATCCAATTCTCCCCCCGTCTGCTCACTCTGCGTTCCCCAAATGAAATCAAAAGGAAAAAGGAAGAAAAAAAAAGTTAAGAAAGAAAAAGCCCACCATCTAACATATCAAACAACACCACAGGTCCCGCCCCGTCGACTTCGACCTCGCCAACACGTACGCCAAGCAGAGCCTGCGCATCCCCTCGCCCGACTTCTCCGCCATCCGCGCCGCCGCCGCCGCCCACGCCATCGCCGTCGTCCTCGGCTTCAGCGAAAACGACGGCGGCTCGCTCTACATCGCCCAGGCCATCGTCGGCCCGGACGGCGCCCTGCTCGCCCGCCGCCGCAAGATCAAGCCCACCCACATGGAGCGCACCGTCTTCGGCGACGCCGCCGGCGGCCCGGACACGCTGCGCAACTGCGTCCCCGTGCCCATCCTACCGCCGCCATCATCACCAATCGACGCCGACGCCGACGCCGACGCCGCCGCTCCCGCCCCCGCCGCTGCTACGTCGCCCCAGCAAACCGTCAACGTCTCCGCCCTCGCCTGCTGGGAGCACGCCCAACCGCTCCTCAAATACCACACCGCTCTCGGCCGACCCGCCATCCACGCCGCCGCCTGGCCGCCCGTCTACGCGCACGGCAGCGACAGCGCCGACAGCGCCACCCCCGACCCGACGCTCTGGAGCATGTCGCGCGACGGGTGCCGCAACCTGTCGCGGACGTTCGCGATCGAGGCGCAGGCGTTCGTGCTGCACGCGACGGCGGTGCTGAGCGCCAAAGGGATCGAGCGGATGGGCACGGGCGGGAGTCCGATCATGGGGAGGCCCGGGGGCGGGAGCTCGGCCGTGTTCGGGCCGGATGGGAGGAAGTTGACGGGGGAGATGGACGAGTGCGTCGAGGGCGTGTTGTATGCCGAGTGCGATTTGGATGAGGTGGTCAAGGCGAAGGGGTTTTTGGACTTGGGCGGGCATTATAGTCGGCCGGATGTTTTGTGGTTGGGCGTGGATGGGGGGGAGAGGAGGCATGTGGTTGGTGGGGAGGAGCGGGGGCAGGGGCGGGAGGTGGGTGCTTGATGGTTTAAGGGGGGAGGGAAAGGAGAAGGTGGTGGCGGCGCTGTGGGTTGTAAAAGAGATGGAGCTATGGCGACGCTTTGCGTGGGCAGTTGACAGCCTGGTATGGAGGGAGGAGAGGCGAGGTGGCAGTGGTGATGAAACAAGTAATATAACCCTCGTCTATAGTAGTGATATTAGTCTAGTTGGAACATTGCTCCGAAAGGTATCTAAGTGAGGCCGTGATTTAAAGCAATCAGGAAGGAAAAAGAAAAGAAAAAGGCCAAACCGCTTCTATGATATCAACCCCAAACGAGAATCCGAAAATCTTTCAATCCCAGCACCTGTCAACGCGGGTATTTCCAAAACAGTACTTTTTCCCATCCATCCAAAACCGAAACACTTCGAAAGGTTACCCTCTCAGTGCGCCATGACTGGGCCGCCAGCGGCCTTTCCAACGTTCTTTACGCCAAACATGCTGGCAACCATGCCGATGGCGGCAAGGCCAACGCAACACCAGAGGCCAGTGGCATATTGCTGCATGGCACCATGGCCCTTGCTGGTGTCAACAGCCTGAACGACAGCACTTGCAAGTGCCAGGCCCACACCGCTACCGATCTGGAAAGCTGTGTTGATCATGCCGCCGCACAGACTCTTGACGTTGACAGGAACGGAAGCCAGGAGCGCAACGGTGATGGTGCAGTAGACGATGGTGGTGCCGGCGACGCTGAGGACACTGCTGGGGAAGACGTGCTTCCAGAAGTTGATGTCCCCCTCCTTGATCAACGCAGATGGAATCGGGGCGATGGCGCAGATGGTCATGCCAACGATCAGAAGGTGCTTGGTGTTGAATATCTCGAGCATGCGGGACATGCCGAGAGAGCACGTGAAACCAGTAACACCCATGGGCAGGAAGCGAAGGGCGGTCTGACCCGCGCTGAGGTGCATGACCTCCTGGGCAATAAGAGTCGTGTAGTAGACTATCGTCTGGTATCCGCCGTACATCACTGGAACAATGTCAGTCGCCACTCTTTCAGAAAATGTGGAATATAACACTTACCGAACCCGCCAATCCAAAGTGCAGCAAAATTCTCCAGCTTCCAGAGCGAAAGTGGCATGATGGGGTTGGGGACCTTCTTTTCCACCCAGACGAAAGAAATGAGCATGGCAATGCTGACTAGAAGCAGCACGATGATGAATGCCTTGCCCCAGCCGTATTCACCGCCACTCGACAAGACAAAGCTGAGCAGAATCAGGCCGGCAGTGGACAGGCCGGCGCCAACGAAGTCCAGCTTGGGGCGCGTGTTCCCTTCCATCCTATCCTTGGGGAGGCAGAACCAGGAAAGGGAACCCAAGGCGCCGGTGATGGAGACGGAGATGAAGAACAGATAGCGCCATCCAAGAGAACCCGTCAGGAAGCCACCGAAGATGAGACCCATGCAGAATCCCACGGCTCCGGAAGCGCCGAAAATGGTCAGAGCAAGCGTGCGGTCCTTGGCGATAAAGTAGTTGCTGATGATGCCGACAGCAGATGGCACGGTCATGGCGGCACCAATGCCTTGAATGGCGCGGAAAATGGCCAGTTGGATGAATGATGTAGCCAGGCCATCAGCGAGGGTCCAGACACTCAGGGTCGCCATTCCACAGCAGAAGATCAACTTCCGGCCGAATCTGTCAGCCATGACGCCGGACAACAGAAGGAAGCCTCCGAAGGTAAGGGTGTAGGCGGAGATCAACCACTGCAAGTCGCTGCCGTCAACGTCGAAGTTCTTCTGGATGGCAGGCAGGGCAATGTTGACGCCGGTCATGAAGACGTTGTCCATGAGCTGGGCGCCGCAGGTGCAGAGCAGGACCAGAGCGCCTCGCCACGAGGCAATGGTTCCAATCTCGGGATAAGCCTGGTTGACGCCGTTTTCATACTCGGCAGGGGTGCGAGTTCCAGAAGATGATCCAGGCGACGGCGGGCGCGAGATGTGGTAATTGGATGCGGGCGACGGAGGGCGAGTGGAGAGGGGCGTGTTGACGTTCGAGGGCAATTCACGAATGGTGCTGAAGGCGCCGGGCTTCGCAGGCTTCGGCCTCTGGATAGAGGGAAGCTCGAAGACATTGTCCAGCGACTCGCGCCTGTACTGCGAGTGGTGGCCGCTGATGGCCGAGGCGCTCCTTGCTAGAGCCTCAAGACCCTCTGGGCGCTCGTCGTCGAAGGTAACACGCGAGGTGGTGCTCGTGCGACGAATGGGGATGCCGGGAAGACCGGCAGGCGGCACGAGCGTTGGTGCTTCCTCGAGGGCAGAGGTGCGGCGAGTAAGAGGCTCGCCGTTGCCGTCGTGCGACTGGCGCTTCTCGTCGTGGTGGTCGTGGTGTGGCATGGTTGCAGGCACTGCGCTCCGGACGCGGGAAGAATATGTACAAGTGCGCAACAAGCGGTGGTCGAGCCCAAGGATGCAGTGGCACCGGGTGGTATTTAAAGCAAAATGAGCTCAGGCAGCGGTGGTGGTGGAGGGACCACATTGGGCCGTGGCGACGACGATAAGGCCATGCTGCGCGGGCTAGCACGCGTGCAGGAAAAAATCTGCTCAGGCGAGGATTGTATCAGCAGCCCCACTGATGGCAACGGGCGTGATGTCAAGGACGCGGATTGGTGTTGAGTTATGGGGTCTGGCTGCGACCACGGCGTTAGTCAGCAGCCCTACCGCCTGCCGCCCGGGCTCTGTTTCCCGACGCGCTGCTGTCCGCTGCTGTCCGCTGCTGCGCTCCTTCCCTGCCCGCGCCCCTTGGAGCAATGATTCCCGCCGCCCGTCTGCTCCTCTCAACCCATCTGCAGAGCACGCTCCTCGTCCGCCATGCTGAACCCAACCGCAGACTTTTTCGGCCCCTGCAGCGGCCCATTGTTCGAACCGGCTGCCGCACACCGGTGTGCCGTCGGGAAAGAGTTCCCGCACCGCCACCACAATAAAAATTACCCTGCGCCCGCAGCCTGCGCCGTCGTGTACCTGATAAACAGCCCATTCTAGCTCTCCCGCTCACCCGCCCTCTATCTGTGGGCCCAGGATTGGACCAAAATCTCCGCAAGAGCCCCATATCTGCGTCCGCAATCGCTCTCCATCCCGCCGCCAGTCGCCCTTCACGTGCAAAATGCCCATTGTCGCACCCACCACCGCGCCAGCTGTGACTCACGGCATGGTTCACCGGTCGGCGCTGCACCTCTGGACCGCGCCCTGATCGGCGCCGGAATCACGGCCCTGCATCAGGTTGGCATCATCGATAAGGATTACATTACTGCATCAGGTCCGCATGAGGGCCTCCCCGCCTCTACTCTTGGAAGCTCAAGCCCAGGATCTCCGGCTTCCGTTCCTCCAGATCCAGGATCATCTGCCCGAAAAGCCCGTTCGCCCACGAAAACCTGCAAAGCCACGCAGTCAGTCATGCGCCCGGAAAAGACAAAAGTCAAAAAACACCGCAAAAAAAAAAGCAACGCGGTCACCAGGGACGAAAATCGAAGCGGTAACGCGGAAGACGGAGCGAATTACCGCAAGGAGAAAGGGATCAAATCACTCACCATTGTCGCGTCCAGTCGCTCTGGTTCCAGCTGTTGATGCTCTCGTGAATCAGCCCCAGGCCGTCGGTGCTGCTCACAATCTCCTTCAGCGCGGCCACGATCTCCGCTTCGTCGTCCGTCGTCAAGATGCGCACGATGCTGGCCATGGGCCACGCCATGCCGGGCCCGGCGTGCGGCCCGCCGACGGCGTTGATGACGGGCCCGCGCATAAAGTACGGGTTGCCCGCGCTCAGCACCAGCGCACGCGTGTTCTGGTAGACCTCGTCGCCGACGTCCGTGTAGCCCAGGAACGGCGCCGCGAGCAGGGACGGGATGTTGGCGTCGTCCATGAGGTTGGCCGAGCCGTAGCCGTCGACCTCGAAGGCGTAGACGGGCCGCCCGCCCGGGCCGGCGACGACGCCGTGCTGCTCGACGGCGGCGCGGACCGAGCTCGCGAGCGTGCCCATCTCCACGGCCAGGCCGGCGGGCGCGTTCTCCAGCTGCCGCATGATGGCGGTCGCCGTCTCCAGGTAGCGCGCGAACATCATGTTGGCCGGGATGAAGAGCTGGAAGATGGTCGAGTCGTCGCTGGGCCGGAAGGCGGACCGGATGAGGCCGGTGCCGTTGTTGACGGGGTTGCCCAGCCCGTCGTTGGCGAGCGTCTCGGTTGCCCGGGTCGTCTGTCTGGTGAAGGTGTAGGGAGAGTCCAGGACCTGGCCGTCGGCGGCGTAGGTGGGCGTCTGCATGTCCTTGGCGACTTTCATGACGGCCTGGATGGCCGAGATCCACTGGAATCGGCCAAAGAAATCCAGGTCGTTGGTTGCGTTGTAGTAGTTGTCGGATACCTCGAGGAAGGCGGCCAAGGAGTCCAGCTCGTACTTGCACTCGAAGACGCTGGTGTTGCTGTAGGGAGGGTTGACGGTGTCGTCGCTGGCCGAGGGGTTCGTGTCGGGAGCAATGTTGGACTCGACGGGCGGCTGGAACGAATTGCAGTAGGGAGAGGTCAGCAGGTAGCGGGCTTGGAGATTGACGACGCCGCGGTAGAGCGAGGCGATGCTGTCAGGTGAGTCGGAGGCATTGAGCACCGGGAGGTAAGACTGCATCTGGTTGGCCGAGTCGCGTAGCCACATGGCATTGATATCGCCGGTGATGACGAAGGTAAGTTCCTCGTCCGAGTTGTTCGCGGCCACGCCTTTCCACTTGATGGCCGTGTCGAGCGTGTTGGGGTAGGCATTCTCGAAGAGCCGGTAAAGGTCGGGGTCGGCGATGACGTTCCCCATGCGGTCCACCAGCTCCTCGACGCCTGAGCTGTTGAAGGTACGGCATGCCGGAGCCGGGCGCTGGAAGGGCAATTGGTAGGTGCCGTTTGTGAAAGGCTCGTGCCTTTGAGCCGCGTAGTCGATGTAGTCGGGACACTCCTGGCCGGCCACGCCGCCCAGCAAGAGCGGGACAGCGGGTAGCAACAAGGCGGATTGGCGCATGGTTTAAGTGATCGACGAGGGCTGCAAAGACGGGAGATGTCTTGCAGCTGGCAGCAGACCGGGACTGGCGATCACTGGAGACGAACAGCCGCTGGGGACAAGGTCGCATTTTGTAGCTAGCTGCACGACACGATTGTCTTCGATGCTCTAGCACCAGCCGGGGTGTGGAGCATGTGAGGCCGGGCGAGGCTACCCCGCCGCCACGGGCTGGGATTGTTGACGGCGGATGCTACCTTCCCCGCATATTCAATCGGTTTCTGGCATCGGTCCAGGAACCAACGGGCTCTGGTCACCGCCAGACGGACACTCCTGACGTCAGCCGCGCCCGCCTCGGTGGAAGGTTTTCCGAAAGTGAAACAATAAGTACAGACACGACGCCGCCTTGACATGCTGTGGTCAAGCATGATGCTCCAGCACACTCTCACTTCAACCCGAGGCTCATACCAGATACGAGGTCTGCGAGAAGAGCTGAATTTCTTGTACGACAACGCTGCATTGACGCTCGTAAGCGGCTTCTACGCTCATGACTACGACATTCGGTCAGTGCTCCTGCGTTTTCCTTGACCTTTCTAGCCATCGCGTCGCTCTGCATTGCTGGATATGGGCCTTTAGCCGACAGAGGGAAGCACTGGCGCCCGCCGTCTTCACCGCGACTCGTTAGCCGGCTAGCTTTCTGCTCTTCTGCCCGACCGCCGAAAGTCTGTTGACTGTGCGCTGGTCACGCCGAGGGAAGAAAAACCAGAAATGCGAAAAAAAAGGCCTGAGGTCGGACCTCGGGAAGAGATGGGGTCACACTACCAAGGCATTGAGCGGGATCACAGTGCATTGGGAAACGGGCGGAGAGGCTGCACACAGCAACAAAAAGCCAAAGTTTACTCGACCGTGTGAGAATATTGCTCCTACCACCACTCAATATATGGCCAGCATTGTTTGGTTTCCGACTTTCCAACCCACAGCCGGAGATCACCGTTATCTTCAACAACGCGGTCTCTTATATATTTAGATGAAGCTATCGTTTGCGGCGCCAAGGATCCGCATAAAGATCAGAAGGACAGCGACGCGACTTGACGGCGAAGCGACGTTCTGATGGTTTCGAATCGAAACGCGCACGTGGAGACTCGTCGGCCCCATCCTGGCTCTTGCAGCAGCGGGAGAGCCCGAGACTGTGTACGATACATCGTATTGGCTCCGCCAGATAGATTGACGGCCGTCTTCGAGCTGCGCGGTACACAGTAGAGCGACGGACAATCGAACGGCTGCTAGCGGCCGCTTGCCGCTTGCCGCCTGCCGCAACGGAATCATCGTCGCCTAGCATCGTGGGATTCGATTGACAGCGGGCGCCTTAGCGGAGCTGTGCGAGCGCGCTGCTCCGTCGTGTCCCTCCAAAATTGCCTGTTGTGGCCTGTGTGCCGCCGCCGACACGGCACAACGTGCGACAGCAATCAATTGGTGACACAATAATGCACCCAACCACCCCGGCCATCGTCTTCACAATCCGCTGGGCTGCCAACTGCAGATTCTGTTCAAAATGACGTGGGAGCGAAGAAGGCGTAGGATCAGGATGCAAATCATCTCGCCCAAGGCCGCCCAGCACCCGAGCTCTGATGCATCCTCCGCCCATTCCAGAAGCCCGACTAGAACGATCCGCCAGATCTAGCAGCCTTACCAGCGTCGCAACTTACGGCTGAAGCACGATATCTTTCCAAATCCAGCATCCGAACCGAAGATCGCTGGCGTTGTAAAATTGGAACCACCATCTGCCTTGCGGACAACTTACTCGTTGCAGCAAGCCGCCTCCGCCCTTCCTGACAGCCTCACCCTACACTACTATGGGAATCCCCGTTGGCATTTATGCATACCCATGGCCGGCCCGCTCATTACACTGCCTACGCTTCGCTTCATCATCCAGCCTCTTTTCTGGGGTTGGCCACCCCAATGCTTGATCTTCCCGCCTACTCTTGCCGCCGCTCCCTCTTTATGCGTTGCCACTCGAAACGATGGCCCTCACTGACGACCTGGGTCCTCTGAGCTGGATCATCTCTGTTTCTTTCTTTGCGATATGCGCCATATCATTTGTCTTGCGCCTGTGTGCGCGTGTCTTCGTCGCCAGAGCATTCACCTGGGATGATCGGCTCATGGCAATTGCTTTTGTATGACAGCTGCATGACCTTCAGCCCAGTTGGAAGCTAATAACGGAGCAGGTGACACTCATCGCTGAAATGTACATCTGCTGGGAATGGCTTGTCTTGGGGGGTGGAAAGTCAGTCGAGAAGAACACTTCTACACCATCACGACCGAGTGCTGACATGTACCAGGCACGTCAGATTGGTCAGCTCCGAAAACTTGAGGAAGATCAGACTGGTCCGTAAATCTGCAGCAATCGCCTTCCTTGATTCTTCACTTACACGCAGCGCACAGTACGAGCTCATCGAGCAGTTCTGCTATCTTCTCGTCCACCTCTTCCTCAAGCTCTCCTTCCTTCTCTACTTCTATCGCACCCTGTACACCCCACGACTCTCGACGGTCATACGCATCACCGCCGTCATCGTCGCCGTCCAGACAGTGGCTTCGTGGATCTTTTATGCACTTCAGTGCCGACCCCTCGGCGCCTATATTGACCCAGAGGACTATCCGGATGCCACCTGTTATCCTGACGGCATCGCCTACTACGCGCCTGTCGCCGTCGTACGTTTCCCTTCGATCCGCAGTCACCAGAACGGCCGTCCGTCCCCGCTAACCAAAACAAACAGAACGTCGCCACCATCGTCCTCATCTACATCCTCCCCATCCCAACGCTCACCCAACGACCCCATCAGGACAGACAAGCCATCACGACCCCCCCTCCCCCGCGATCCAACACCGCCCCAACACCAAGCAATTACGCCAGCGACCCAGAACGACACCCGTCAGAAACCCAACCCCGACCCTCCTCCTCCTCCCCCTCCTCCTCCCCTCGCAACAGCAGCAACAGCAACAGCAACAACAGCAGCACCACCGGCAGCACCCTCGCCCTCTTCCTCCTCGCCGGCGCCGGCGTCGTCGTGTCGGGCCTGCGCGTCGTCGCCCAGTACCAGCAAGCCGCCACCACGACCAGCGCGTCCTACTCGCACCCCTCGTCCAACGACCGCACCTACAACCTCGCCCTGCTGGCCATGGCGACCGCCGTCGAGTTCGCCGTCTACGTGCTGGTGGGCAACGCGCCCGCCGTGCGCGCCTTGCTGCTGTCGCTGCTGCCGCTGCTGAGGAGGAGGAGGGGGGGAGGGTGGGGAGCTGGGAGGCGGGGGGGATGTGGTGATGGGCAGGAGGGGGATGGGGATGAGGATGGGTTGTGGGGGGAGGAAGGAGGTGAAGGCGGCGGGAAGATTACCATCACGTCGAGGGTTAGCATTTCGATTACGGAGGCGCTGAGGGTCAGGGACGGCCCTGCGTATTATCCGCGGAAGTACTTCAAGTTCGCGCGGCCCGGGGCGCAGAGCCCGACGCCGAATTTTTTGAAGGAGGTGTGAGGCAGCTCGCTTGCGGGCAGAGGGAGGGAGGGAGTGGGGACGAGGGAAAGTGGAGAGAGTGGTGGAGAGACGGGGCGGAGTACTGGGGGGAGGCTGTGATGCATGCATGCACGCACGCACGCACTGCTGCCGGGCCCCTCCCCCAACTTGCCTGCCTGGAACTGGTGTTGATCACCAGTTTTTTCCAACGACATTGACGACCGTCCGAAGTTTAGCAAGTCTTTCTTTCTCGCCATCTCCTTTTTGGGTTTTTCTTCGTCCGCTTTCCTTCTCATTTCCTACGTAGCACCCGACGCGAAGCCCTGTTCGATCTTCCGCGTTTTTGTTGTTCGGATGTTCTGCCGGTCGATTCCCCACATATAGCTATCTCCGTATATTGCGCTGAAGATCTCCTGATGAGGCTCAGCGCCGCACGTTTGGGGGCCAAAATGTTTATCCTTTCCCGTTTCTTCTCCTGCTTCTCCACTCCAGGGCAGCCGAGCCACCGTTTTCTTCTGTGCCAGTGAGTAAGGCGATGCTCGGCCCTTCGTGGACGTTGTTCGGGAATTCCGGTCTCCCGCGTGGTTTGATGGATCGACCCTGTATGCCTTCTTTCAGTCATACGTGTGACGTCAGGCATCCTCGATACAACATAGCCACTGGCTCGTGCGGCAAAGGGTGGTTAGTTAGGGCTATTGCCGTCTCGTATACTGTGTAGTTGCAAGATATAAGTAGTAGGCGTGTGGCAGCTCCAATGAGGTCTAGCAGAAGAGGACTATACACACACTACACTTGAATCAGAACCCTTCATTATCGCCTGTTATCAAATCAAACAACCATGCCGGATTTCATCAAGTTTGCGAGTAAGTCATCCATAAATACTAGCATGCTGGCTTATCATTGACATTATTAGTGTACGGCGCCATCAAGCCGCCTGCGGACTACAACCCAGACAACTACTATGTCGACAAGGAGGACAAGAAAAGCAAGAGAAACAAGAAGAGCAAAGACGCCAACGGCAACGATGACCGCTCGTCCGTCAGAAGCTTCGAGGGCTCGGATGAAACAGTCGTAGACAAGGACGGCAAGACCACCACGCGCCATGGGGGGAGAGAAACGAAGGATACCTTGCAGGCACCGGAAGGATCATCTCGCTCAAAGTCCAGGTCCAGGTCGAGAAGGAGGGTGAAGGTTCACGACGCCGGTCCAGGGGGTGCGAAAGGCGTGTTCAACAGCGTTTTCGGACAACACGGCTACGCCAATGGTTGGGCCAGCCTCAAATGGTGATGTCCGACTTTTTCATGTTGTGGGCTCGAAGCGGGAGGGACGGTCGTTAATGATGGAGGTCTACTGGTCAACGAACCCAAGTGGTGTTGGTGCTTCTTGAGCCCTGGAGAAGGTCAATGGACGTTTGTGGCTCTCTTTGGTCGGGAGAGTTATTTGGCCCGCGCTGTGTAGCATCATCTACGATGTAACGAATCGTGTTGGCAGGGGCGTCTCTTTTCTCACACAGCGGCATCGAAATTGATACCCGGCGGCCGAGGACGAATTATGGTTTGGTCAAGCAAGATTACATTTCACATTATTCTCTGAATCGCAATAAAGCCCAGTCAAACGTCAAGAGAAAGCACAGTGTCGAGCATGATGGTTTGCAAAGGGACACATAAGGTGCACGGAAATAGCGGCACAACATGCCCCTCTCGACAGCCAAGTCACCGCCTATCCCTTCCACTTTTGGGCTCGTTACCAGTGAAACCCCGCCAGCCTGATCAATGACGTAATAATAAGTAAAGAAGGGCAGGATCCTTCGGCGGCGCAGCCGCAGCCGCATCGGCGTCTGTGCGACGAATAAGCCTCGCGCTTACTATAAATATCGTCGCCAGGGATCGCGGGGATTAAAATAAGTACAGAAAGCTGACAACAACCACCACAGCCTTTATCATAGCAATCCCTTCCGACCTTCACCCTTGGTTTTGCCTCGAAAAAGGAAAACATGGTCGAGAAAACATTCTTGCAGTGGCGTACGGTTCCCTCTTCCCAAACCCCAGCCTTTTGACCTTATTCGCTCATGCTTTGTTTTGAGCAGTCTTCAGAGTCCCAGTGGCGCCCGTCGAAACCAACATCCACAAGAAGGACGACTTCTCCTGGCTGCGACCCTCTGAGGACACCATCAGCAGCATCGGCAGCGACGGCAGCAGCGGAACGCCAGAAGTCTCGCACCCGATCAAAGGCGACGACGATCCGTACACGCATCCTTACGACCGAGAGGTCAAGTCAGGCAAGAGGAAGAAGGACAAGCGATCCGACTTTGCCACGCTTCACCCGGAACAGGAAAACCAATAGTCACGCCCTGGAGACGGGCAGACGAGAAGCCCGCTTGCCTTTGGACAACAACCGGTGGCAGAACATGGCCCACACATGCTTGTTGCAGCAAACAAGCCCGGCTACCAGTTGGCCCCGGATTCTACAGAATGATGGGTTATGAGTGATTGAGCGATGGAAGGCCGGACAGAGCTACCGCTCGCGGCGAGGACGAAGATTGATACCAGGCGAAATCAGAGCCAGTACTTGAGTGTCAGCAGGCGGCACTCCTCCTTGTAAATATGCACATTATCTATGCTCCCACTCATCTGAAACAGATGGGTCTACAGCTTATAACTTGCTCTTCGAACTCCGCGTCCGCTCAATCAACACCAACCCACCGTTTTCCACCGCGTAGTGCCTCCCCTTCGTCCACCCCATCAGCCTTGCCAGCATCTCCTCCCCGCCCTCGCCAGGCGCCAACCCCTTCTCCTCCCACCCCTCGCCCTCGACGCCGATGCCCTGGCCCTCAGCAGCCGGCCTCGTGTCCGGTTCCCCGTCGGCAATGGCCAGACCTGGCGAGCTCCTAAGCGTGACAGGAGGCCGCTGATCGAATCCCAGCTGCCTCAGTTCCTGCTGCTCCAGCACCGGCGTGACGCACGCGTCCGTCCCGTCGAACACGCGCTCCCACTCCTCCCTCGTCTTGCTCTTAAACTTTGCCGTAAACAGCATCCTCAGATGCGGCCAGACCCTCCTGTCCTCCCTCGGGCCCGGGAACTTGGCCGGCTCCACCCCCAAGCCCTCGCACAGCTTCTCAAAAAACCGCTCCTCCAACGCGCCCACCGCGACCCACCTCCCATCCTTCGTCTCGTACGTATCATACCACGGACACCCGCCATCCAGAAGATTCTCGCCCCTCGCCCTGCCCCACACCCCTTCCCTCTCCTCCATCACCTCTCCAGCAGTACTCCCATCCGCCGCCGCCTTCGCCTTAGCCACCGGCACCCTGACCTTCCCCATGCCCAGCCGCAAAAAGCTCGCCAGATACGCGCTCCCGTCCACCATGTTCGCCTCGACCACCTGGCCCCACCCGCCGTTGCGCTCGCGCTCCAGCAGCGCCAGCACGACGCCAAACGCGGCCATGGCGCCGCCGCCCGCGAAATCCGCGAGCACGTTCCCCGGCGCGTACGGCTTGCCCGCCTTGCGCCCCAGCATGCCCAGCACCCCCGACACGGCCAGGTAGTTGATGTCGTGTCCGGCCATGTTGGCGTAGCGGTCCTGCTGCGCCGCCTTACTGCTCTCCCCCTCCTTCTCGCCCTTTTCCTCATCGCGCCGCTGCTGCTCCCGCCGCTCCGGCCTGAACCCCGTCAGCCGCGCGACGACGAGGCGCGGGTTGCGCCGGCGCAGGACGCGCGTCGGGTCCAGCCCGGCTTTTTCGAGCACCCCCGGCCGGAAGGGGTCGATGAGGACGTCGAAGGCGGGGAGGAGCGCGAGGAGGAGCGCGCGCCCGCCGGCGGACTTGAGGTCGATGGCGATGGAGGTTTTGCGGCGGGTGAGGAGGTCGGCGGTCGGCGGGGGTGGGGGTAGTGCGGCGGGCGGTGCGGAGGAGGACGACGACGACGAAGTGGGGTCGGCGTGGCGGGAGGAGGGGTGGGCGCGGTCGACGCGGATGACGGTGGCGCCGTAGTCGGCGAGCATCATGCCGGCGAATGGGCCTGGAGGGATGGTGGGGCGTGATCAGTCATGTAGGATGGAGAGAGAGAGAACTTGCTGAGCGGCGTGCATTGCATACATACCTGGTGCCAGGCCGGCCAACTCGAGGACGCGGATGCCTGTTAACGGTGGTGGTGAGTGCGCCATTGCGAAGTGAAACGGTACAGAGAGGCGGGAAAAAGGTGGAGTTGTAGGCAAGCACTTGATTGACTATGTACAGAGCCGGGGCGGGTATGTCTGGCAAGGGAAATGGAATCTGGGGAAAGCTTCGCGGGTGGGGAGGTGTGGAGAAGCTAGAGCCGAGGTACGAGCAGACCGAGGCCGATTCGCTGGGTCATCGTTGTGCGCTCGTCAGATTGTATGACACCCTAGTTCATGCGCTTCCCCTGCACTTTCCGCCCACGCCTATGTTCCGCGCAGTGCGGAATTTGGGATCTTGCATGTTTCAAGCGTGGTTCTGTCATTAATGTAACATGCTGGGTCAACGTATTTGTACCCGTCTAACCATACAGCCGGCCATTATGTTAACGGCACCGTTCTATCGCCTCAGCAACAAAATTAGTGTCATGTCCAACCGAGCATAGTATTCTTTCACAGTTGATAGACCACTTATTCCAAAAAAAAAAAAAATAGAGAATAAGAACAGTGGCCCTATCTATGGGCTTCGATAGGCTGTCTGCGCCTAACAGGCACTCCGTACTGCGTTCTTAAAGCGCATGTGAATGGATAGAATATTTATGTTTGAGACCTCTAAATGCTTAATGACTTGAGCATCCTCTGACTCTATAAGCTCCACGCAAAGACCCAGCCTCCCTACGGCCAAATGCTCTCGTATGCAGCCAACACCATACAAAACAACAAAAAGTATACAAGAAAACGCATCAAATGAATTCCCGCCATCCGGTCCCGATCCGACCGGCCCACCTAGTCAAGCAGGTCCGTCCCATCTCTCGACTTCCTACTACTGATACCGTACAAAAACGTACACATACAGGATATACAACCGCCCCTCAGACCCCTCCCTCCCTCCCTCTCTCTCCCCTCCCTCTCCTTCACGCCACCAACCCATCCAGCGCCCTCTTCGCCCTCCCCACCGCCTCCCTCGCCCTCCTCCTCTCCTCCGCCCCCACCGCGTCGCTCTCCGGCCGACCCCTCACACTCACCACCTCCCTGACATTCTCCTCCGTCTCCTTCAACACCTGCCTGCCGTCCTCCCTGACGTCCGCCTCCCACCTCCCCCGCGCGCCCTCCCAGACGCTCTGCATCCGCTTCAATCCCCACGCCGCGCCCAGCGCCGCCACGGCGCCGGCCTCGAACAGGCCGGTGCCGGGAAACGCGTACACGAGCAGCGCCGACAGCGCCGACGTCGCCGAGACGGTCGACAGCGTCTGCACGACGAGCCGCTGCGCGAGGGCCTCGAGCGGCGGCACGGTCGCGGCCGCGAGGTGCGTGCGCGCCAGGGGGATCTGCTGCGGCCACGGCTTGGGCGGCGGCGGGAGCAGCGCGAGCGCTGCGTTGTCCGACGCGGCCGCCGCGCGGCGCGCGGCGTCTAGTTTTTGGAGGGCGCGGGGGTGCGGCGCGTCGGGGACGGCGCCGATGCGGCCGGGCTGCCTCGATGATGATGGAGGAGGAGGCTGGACGAGTGTGGCGCGTTCGGGGAGGTGGGCGGCGTCCGGGTCGTTGGCGAAGAAGCCGGCTTGCTCGATGCGGCCGGCCACCCAGATGATGTCCTTTTCGGCCGACACCAGCCAGCGCCTTTCCAGCAGCTCGGACAGGATCATGCCTACGTCGTCGACGCGCCAGAAGAGCTTCCACCATGCGAGCTTGCGCCACGACTTGCACGAGAAAGCGATGTCTAGCTGGTCACGGAGCTCCGTGTGTGCGTACTCGGCCCAGTTGGCGAGACTGGAGAGGATGGCGGTTCTGGTCGATTCGGAAATGGATGAGTCCAGCAGTTCTTGCAGGCGCTGCGTGTCCTCGACAGTGATGGCTTCGTCGGCGTCTGCTAGAATCGAGTCCACGAGGTCGCGAATAGCGGGTTTAAGTCCTGCAGGCACGTTGCTGCTCGAACCATGTGCCAGCCAGGCCGTGAGAACGGGCAGACCACTCCTATGCCATCCCCGCTCGTAGAAGACTGAATGGGTGATCGACTCCCGAAACTTGTCGAGCGCCTTAGCACCAATGTTCACATCAATTGCAACATATCGGTCCGAGGCATCCTGCTTCAGTTCTGTGCTTGGCGCCGGGATACCCATAGCAACCTTAACCGTCTCGGGCGGTAGCTCCTGTTCCGACTGCCCCGCAGTAAAGCGTCCGTAGTTGACGCAACTCCTGACGCCTTCGCCGAACACGATAGCCCGGTGCACAGGATAAGTGACCATTGTCAACCGGCCAGTCGCCGACGTAGGTGTTTGCAATGTGGGCACAAGTATAGCATCTCTCGGCTTCTCGGCGCTGGAGGGAGACACTGGTCCGGAGAAATTGGCGTTCAGTGATGAAATCAGAATCTCGACGTTGTGCTTTTGTAAAATCCTCGATGGGGCGGAAATAGTGTGGAGGAGAGGGTTGTTCGGGTGCACGTCAGAATCGTCGCCGTACCTGTGGCTGGGTCAGCAGATATAGCAATTGATGTGTCAAAGTGGGTCATGCCGTAGCAAGATGGCCTGGCCGTTCTCGGTGTCGCGGGCCTCGAGCGCATCCTCCCATTTGCTCTGCTCAGACAGCGGATCCGCGAGCAAAAGTCGGGCGAGCTGCTTCGCCGACGCCTGGTCGCCCAGGCTCAGAACTATCGACCGTACGCCGTCAGCACGTGTGCCTGCCCACAAATTGTAACAGCCTCTCCAAATCCCGAGTGTACCCACCGGCGACCCGCACAACGGGATCCTCGCTCTCCAGTCCCCGCAGCGCTAATTGCAGCCTGCTGAAATTCACGTAGCTGGCAGCATCACTCTTCAGCACATCCAATGCCTGGTAGAGCTCCTTCAGCCGTGGCGGAACGTCCAAGGGAGCATTGATGGCGGTTCGTGAGGCAAGCGCTGCGGCAGGGCGACGTCGGGCGGCGGAAAAGTGTCGTGAAAGCGCGTGAGCGGTGGTTGCGGCGGCGGGCGGTTGGGAGTCGGCGAGGCGCCATAGCGAGCAAGACGGGCAGAAGAAAAGGTCGGCCTTCGATCGCGACCGCAGCGCGGTGGAGAGCCTCGCTACAGAGCGGATCCGGGGAGGCATTGGGGCCGCTGGGGCGCTTTGTTGCGGCTGGTTGACGCGCGGCGGGAGAGGTGCAGAAGTTCAAAGCTCCGCGCTCCGCTCCAAGTCGCGGTGCCTGTGCATTTCGTCATGCTCGCTGCCAAGACTGCACTCTCACGCTCGCACCTGCTGCATCTTCACGAAATATGGTATATTGGCATTCTCTCACAGTACTCGGTTCATTATCATCAAGTACAGTTTTGCAGCGTTTTAAAAGCTATGGGCGCATGGGGCGTCCTGGATCTCGGGGCCGTCGTGCTCTTATTTCCCAGCCATTTCCCGTCTTACCAACCCCTTGGGTGCCCTCGCTATGGTTTGAATCAACAAAAGGGTGACCGCTCCTACTGCCGGGTATCTCAGCGCTTCCTGCTCGAGCCAGAAGACCTAAAAATCAATGTCAGTACACCACTCACAACAGTACCCGGAAATGAGCCGGCTCACATGCTAATCCTCCGTGCAACAGTGGCGAGCCCAGTGTCGTTCTCGGCCTCCTTCGCTGCCTTCTCCAATGCCTCTTGTCTGCTCAACTCCTCCGACCGGCGCACCTCTTCTTGGCTCGGCGGCAGGCGTTCGTTCTGCAGATCAACCTTGCGCGCATCCTCGAAACTGTGGATGGCCTGCTTGATACCCTCTGCGCCAAGCATAAGCGTACCAGCTGGCAACCTACCACCGGATGCCGTCTTGAGTTCCGTGACGCGCTCCGATTCCTCACGCAGCACCTGGAAAACACGCGAGAGGCGTCCAATGGCGAGAATCTTGTTCTTGATAGCGCGGCGCTTGAACTCGGTTGACTCGGGGTCCATGCTGGAGAGCGGCGGCGAGTTCGGTCCCGACGAGATTGATCCAGGCGTTTCCTCCTCGAGCTCCTCCTTCGAGCAAGTGTTGAGGATTGCAATGAGCATGTCGGTGACTGTAGAAGCGGTGTTAGACATTGTTGAGAATGCAGAGTGGGTTGCACTCACTCTTCTCGCCGACGAAGGGCAAAGACCATGTGAAGACGTCCATAAAGTTCGGCAGCCAGTACGGGTGGGGGGTGCAGTCTATACGGGGTCAGTTTCTAAGCTCTTCCACAATCTCGCAGCTTGGAAATTCGACGTACTGAACTGCCTGATGTTCATGACGTTGTTCTCGTACTTCAGAACGGCGGCCTTGTTGTTGTAAACATCCAGGTAGTTTGGAGCGGAGAAGATGGTCATGACACTGGGGAAGCCGGTCGTCCTGGTCTTCCTGTACATGCGGTAACCAGCGTCCTGCGCCTCGTGCGCACGGATGATGGAGAGAAGGTTGTTCTTCTCCAAGAATGCGCAGGCAGCGGGGTAAGAGAAGAAGTACGAGCAACCGCGCACGTGGTTGTGGATGAAGAACTCGGACGTCTTTTCTTGGCCAAACTCCTCAAGCGGGTCTGCCCAAAGGATGTCACACATCAGGCCGTGGGTGGGAGGCTCTCGGAAGCGGTCAATCTACGCGGGGTTAGGGCCAAATCATACACCAGCAATTTCGATGGCACGTACGCTCTTGAGATCTTCCAGGGTGTGGAGTTCCGGGCTCAGGCCACCGTGTATGCAAAGGAATTGCTTGTTCATGACTGCCGCCAGCGGCAAAGCGCAGAAAGAATCCATGCAGGCTTCGTATATAGCTTCCGAGTACTTGTGCTTGCACTCGAGCTTGAAGGTGAAGTAATCAGTCAGATGCCGGCACTCGTGGTTGCCGCGGAGAAGCCAGAGCGTGTTCGGGTACCAGATCTTCAGCGCCCACAGATACAGAACGCACTACCCGGGTGTCAGCTGGGCTACGCATGAGCTTCGCGGCAAAGACAAACCTCGATGCTGAAGTAGCCGCGGTCAACATAGTCGCCCAGGAAGAGATAGCGGGTCTCAGACGGGTCACCGCCAACTTCGAAGAGCTTCATGAGATCGTAGTACTGGCCGTGCACGTCACCGCATACGGTAATGGGCGCATCCATCTCCAACAAATTGGGCTCCGCCTTGAGGACCTCGGTACCCTTGTTGATGATCCAGAGAGCCTGCTCCTCGGTCAGGCGACCCTCGCGATAGAAGTGTTGCTTCAGAAACTGCAGGTTCGGCTTGGAGGGGTCGTTCGGCGACCAGAACTGCTCCATGGTGGGCGGCTGGAAGGCGGGGGCCTGGACATCTGCGGGGGGGGGGGATGTCAGCAAGGCGGGGTGGAGAGCGCAGACAGGTCATTGAGATCGCGGCATACCTTTGATGACACGCTCCAACGTGCTCACCTGGGTGCCGTCCTCCATGGTGTGCAGAGAGAAGTCGATCTCAGGGACGGGCTTCTTCTGGTGGACGGCGCGCACAGCATTCTGGATGTACTGGTCGTTGTTCATTGGCGTATCGGGTGAGTCCATGATGGCGGCGGAGGGAAGACTGTGGGGGGATCGGTCGGGGTGATAGATGGCAAGAGGTCGAGGGAGAAGAGGGGAGCTAGCCCCGGGTGGCGGCTTCGAGCGTGGAGGTACTTTTCTCGACGACGGGCTCGGTGTCGCGGGGGGCGCTAGTCAGGAGGGCGGACGGGTGTCGAGCGAATACGAAGGGTCGCAGGCACGGATTGAGGTTGCTGGACGCGCACTTTCACGAGAAAGGTGGTGTGCGGCAGGTGGGTAGGGCTGAGAGGGTGTGAGGCTGGAGCGAGGACGAAGTTTGGCGCGGGCGAGGGCAGTTTGGCTGCTGTCCACTTGCAGGCGACCGCCTAACTAGTAAGCCGCGGGACGTCGTCGATCAAGCGGCCAAGGGTCCTGTCGGTGGCGGTGAGACGAGCTTCCGGAGCGCGGAACGGAGATTATAAAAGGAGGCGGCAGTGCAATGCTGGACACGGCTGGCTTGCGACAGAGGTCGAGGACGTGGAGAGGCGAGGCGCGGCTGAGGGCAGCGACGCGCGCGATCTTGGAAGCCTCCTCTCCCGCTCACCAAATCCATCGGCAACAACGCCATTCGGCAACGCAGCTGGCGCATCCCCACAAGGGATAGGAGGAGCCACACGCCTGCCCACCGCCCGCTGATCCTCGTCCAGCATGTCGCCACTGACACCACGTCCGAGCTCCCCAAACATCATCACTTTTGTTCTTTTGTTTCCGCCGCTGCCTCCAATGCCAGCACGGGGGGCGTGCACCACGTGCTCCGTCACTCTGGTCCCGCGGTTTGGAAACATGGAGCCAAGCCGTCAAGGCTCAACCGAGCAACCCCGCCATGCGCTGTTGCTGCCTGGCTTGCAGCCTTGGATCCCTTTGTTAGCCACAGCGCACGTGGGGGCTAACTCATGCCGCGCACCCAACGTAGAATTCTAGCCGCGTCTTTTCAATTGCTGTAAGGCTTTACTGCTCTTTTCCTCTCCTTTCTCTCATCATTCTCTTCGCCGCCATCTTTATCATCTTTGTGTGGACGAACACGCCGACACGCTTATCAACCAATTGCTGGCCAATGCGCGCCATATCCTCCATTACCTTTTAGATCTCGTGGCTCTAGCTATCTTCCCTGCGCTGAACATCAGCCTCTAATCTAGCTCTCGTGCATCTCATCTACAATAATCTTGCCTATAGCAGCTCCTTCGCCTCGCTCTCCTTCTGCTTCTTCCACTCCTGGAAATCGAATCCGACCTCCGCCAGCTCCCTGACATCCCTCCTCTCCTCGCCCTTCGCCGAGAATGCGGCCCTGATGTCCGGGAACCGCTCCCGACACCAGTAATGCCACTCGGTCCACCGCGGCGGCACCTTGCCCGCGCCGGGTGTTCCCTCGCCCTCGGCCGTGGCGGCCCAGTCGTGCATCATGTTGATGTAGTCGGCGTCGTTGGGGAACGCCAGCGTGTGGAAGTCGTTGCCGTCGCCGTTGACGGCCAGCGTGTGCAGTTCCCAGGCCCGCATCTGCGTCGCCGCCGGCAGCGTCAACCGGCCGGCCAGCGTCCGCGCTACCGCCGCCGCCTGCACCTCGGCTGTCTGGAACGGGATGATGCGCTGGTTGAGCACCAGGAAGGACAGTGTTGGGTGCGGCGTGTAGAAGACGTGCTTGTACGTGTTTTCCACTCGGGTGCCATCTGTGACGAGCGGTGGCTGCATGTCGGACAGGAAGGGGAGCGAGTAGAGATAGCCCGTGCAGAAGACGATGGCATCAATGTCGGACTCGGTTGTATCGTCTTCGAAGGTCGCGGTGCGCGTGTTGGGGTCGAGGTGCTTGATTGGTGGAACCTCCTTCTTGAACGAATCTTTGCCTCTCGCCATGTACGACTCAGACTTGATCGAGTTGATGAGAGGTACCGAGCAGAAGCCACCAATCTGCTTGCCGATATCGAGACCAGAAGCGCTGTTTCCCACGACAATGACTTTCTGAGCAGAGTTAGCTTGGGAACGGCAGCCTGTCTTGTCCAAGCTGGTGTTTACGGACCTTGTTCTTGAAAGTGTCTGGGGTCCGGTAGAATTTGGAATGTGTGATGCTCCCTGGATGCGCCTTGTGCCACTCCTGAATGCCTTGGATCTCCGGTATGAAGGGGATGTAGAAGTGACCGTTCGCTACTACCACCGCGTCAAAAACTTCCTCTGATGACTCCCCAGTCACGACGTTCTTGGTATTGACGCTCCATTGCTCCTCGACAAGGCCGTCAGTCTCCCTGGATTCCAGGAGCTTCACATCAGCCACCTGGGTTTGGAACTGAATCAGATGCTCCACCTCTTTGGCGTAGTCTTTCAGATAGCGGTCAACTGTCCAGTGTTTGGGGAACAGCTGCGATTCTTCCGGGAACGCAAAGTCATGGAACTGCATGAGCTGCTTGGGAATGTTTGTCTCAAGCAGCTCATACACGGGGGAGATGAACTTGGCTTCTTTCGCGTCCCCGTTGACCACGGCACCGTTGATAGCACCATTAGCGGTAGACTTGATGCCCCAGATGGGTTTATCGAGGTCTTCCTTGGTCGGCCTCGTCTTCGGCACGGCGAAAGAACCATCATCGCGGTCCTCGGGCGTGTAGTTCCACAACCCGCCGGGTGAGCTGCGCTGTTCAAACGCCACCAGTCTTTCGAACCTCTTTTCCGCACTCAAATATCTACAATAAAGTAAGCATCACGACATCAATCCGGCAAACATACGGCTGTATATTGCTCGGCTTCTTCCGATGTTATCACTTTGTGACTCACTTGAGTGCAGCCAGACCACATGGCCCAGCTCCCACAACGGCAACCTTTCTAGCATTGAACCGAAGCGGGCTGCTAATTACAGCATCTGCAGAAGACATGGCGCGTGAAAAGAGTCGAGGTAGCAGGTGTGCGAGCATACGAAGCACCCAAACGGACGAACGGCAGCAAGTAGACCGAGGATAGTCGGAGCCAACCGTCTAGCAAAGCCAAATGCGCAGGTACACTTCTACGTGGGAACAACGAGAAGAGAATGGAGAAGGGACAACGGACGAAGGAACGAAGAAGGCGCGGCTTGCCGAGAAGGCATCCCGGACAAGCTCAGCCCACTTTCTCGCGCCTTTTCACCTGACTCGTGGAGGGAGTTGCACACTTTCGGGGGCCGCAACGAACGACATCGGCTGGCTAACTGGCTGCCCTATCGATAAGACGCGCTGACGTGCTTGCTCTCGTGCTCTCGGCTTGTCGCGGCTGCGGTTCGAGTGCTCGTCATCGAAATTTAGGTTCGCCGCCCGTTTTCCCCAAGCTCGTACTCCCCGCCGAAAGCTTCAGCTGTGTGCCCCACCTCAAAACATGTAGCATTCTTTCGCTTCCGCCTCCGCCTCCGCGATAATCCTAAATAAATAATACTTCATTGCTCCTCGTCTCCCGCCCAACCCGCCATGCTGCGTACCTCTCTCCTCCGCGCATCCTTCGTCCCGAAGACGCCGACGACAGCCCACCGTGCCGCCTTCTCCTCCGCCGCTGCCATGGCGCAAAAACTCCGCATTGGTTACGTTCCGGGTGAGCGATGCCCAGCTCTTCGCACAAATGCCTCAATGGCCCATACAACAGTAGCAGCAATAGCAACAGCTGACACGGCCTCCTCATCGCAGAGCACTTCTCCACACCGCTCCACTTCGCGCACAAGCACTATGGACTCCAGGCGGACCTGGTGCCCTTTCCATCCGGCACCGGCCACATGATCCAGTCGCTGCAGGGCAAGGAGATTGATGTCGGCATTGGTCTCACCGAGGGCTGGGTTGCGGGCATTGGCAAGGCCATCGCCGACAAGGGCGATGCGAATGCTGCGGGCTACAAGCTGGTGGGCACGTACGTTGAGACGCCACTGTGCTGGGCGATCAGCGCGGGCGCGAAGAAGGACATTGATGTAGACGGGCTGCAGGGCAAGAAGATTGGCGTCAGTCGCATTGGAAGGTGGGTGTGGTTACGGGCAGACTGCGTTCGGAGACACGGGGCTGATGCTAATCTATTCTTTAACAGCGGATCCTATGTGATGGGCTTTGTGCTGGCCGACCAGCATGGATGGCTCTCTCAAACTAAGCCGGGCCAGCCGCCCTTTGAAGTCGTCCCCCTCAACACCTTCGCCAAGCTCCGCGATGCTGTCAATGACGGCACTGCTGATTTCTTCATGTGGGAGCACTTCACCACCAAGCGCTACTACGACAACGGCGAGATCAAGCGCATTGGCGAGATATATACGCCGTGGCCCAGCTGGCACATCGTGGCGCGTGATCCGACCGACAAGCGCATGCAGACCATGAGCGACGCCATCAACAAGGGTGTTCAGCATTACAAGGAGAACCAGCAAGAGGCGATCGAATACATTTCGACCGAGCTGGACTACTCTGCGGAGGATGCCAAGGAATGGACTAAGACAGTTCGCTTCGCCGACGAAGTGAGGGGCGTTAACCCGGCCGTGGTGGAGAAGACAATTGAAATCCTGAGCAAGGCCGGGGTCCTGGATGCCGGCAAGTGTGGCGTGGAGGATATGGTCGCAATCAAGCGTGAAGAGAGGGCGGAATAAGCCCAAACAATGATCCTTGCCAAGTTTTGCAACAACTCCATCTGAAACATTCCTCGCGTGATTTACGCGGCGGCCGTCTTTTTTCCACCGCCAGCGATCAAGTCAAGGAAACCCTTCTTACTCATCTCGGTGACTTTCTCGTCCCTCTTGTCCATACCCACGACGCCCTTCATCTTAGCTTCCCTGGAAGCTTGCTCACCCTTCACTTGTGCGGCTCGCACAGCGTTGAACAGCTTCACCACACCCCTTTGCGCTGTCTTCTTTAGGCGGCGCTCCTCCTCTTGAATGCTCTGAGTCGAGACCTCCGGCGTGCTTAGACCCAGAACATCCTTAACACGGCCCTTCTCCAGGAGAGCGTGTTTCTCATCCCGAATCTTGTGGCGGGCCTTTATCTCCAATTTCATATCAACCAGCTCGTGGCCAGCATCGTGTGCGACTCTGCTACGGGACAGAATAGGATCGGCGCGCTTGGCTGTACTGAGCTTGGAACCCAAGATTTTTTGCAGCGATGTTGCGAAGGCTTCTGGGTCATTGCGCTTCTTCTTAGAGCGACCGAGCCCCGTGCTTGAGGCATCAGAGTCGTCATCGTCTTCGACGTCGAATTCATCATCGTCATCCAAGCGAGTCCCTTCGTCATCCGAGGCGTCCGAGGCAGCGTCCTGGAGCTCGGCATCGGAGACATGGTCGTTATCGGCGGGAGCGTCGGCGGGAGCGTCGGCGGGAGCATCGGTAGGAGCATCAGCTAGAGCATCGGCGACATCATTGGCTTCGTCTTCCGAGGAGGCAGCCTCGAAGGTAGGAGCGATTCTTCGCGGCTGCTCATCGCTGCTCTCGTCCTCGCTCGAACTGTGGTAGTACTGGGCCTTGCGTTTGTTGAATTTCTTGGGGCGCTTGGTGTTCTTGCCGCGCAGCTGCTCCGTTCTCTTTCTTTTGAGGGCTACCGGCGTCCTGGAAGGGGCGGGCATGTTTGCGAAGGGTGCGAGTGGTGATGGTGTTGCGCTCCAGGATTCGCCGAACTTTTTTGATCCACATCGCGGCGCCCGGACGCTATCTTTCACTCACCGCCTTCGGAGCTTGGCTTCTCCACTCCCCGCCTGTCGCCGCCGCGCTCCATACACAGCCCGGAATTTCTACCACGTCGACCACTCGCCTACCACCCCGCTCACCTATACCTTCCACACGTTCTCTCGCACAAGCCGCCCATCATGGTCCTCCAAGACCTTGGTCGGCGCATCAACGCCGCTGTGTCAGACTTGACCAGGGCGCCCAATTTGGATGAGAAGGTCGCGCCGCACAAGTACAGCTCTCCGTGCATCCGACTTCCGCTGACTTCCAATACCAGGACTTCGATCGCATGGTCAAAGAGATCTGCAATGCCCTCGTTGAAGCCGATGTGAACATCAAGCTAGTCGCCGGCCTGCGCGCCTCCATACGGAAAGCCGTCAACTTCAAGGACATCGCGCCCGGCGTGAACAAGAAACGCCTAATCCAGAAAGCCGTCTTCGACGAGCTCGTCAAGCTCGTCGACCCGCACTCCGAGGGCTTCAAGCCGCGCAAGGGCAAGTCCAACGTCGTCATGTTCGTCGGTCTCCAGGGTTCCGGTAAGACGACGTCGTGTACGAAGCTCGCCCGCTGGTACTCCGCCCGCGGCTTCAAGTCATGCCTGGTCTGCGCCGATACCTTCCGTGCCGGTGCTTTCGACCAGCTGAAGCAGAATGCGACCAAGGCGAAGATCCCCTACTACGGAAGCTTGACCCAGACGGACCCGGTGGTTGTGGCAAGGGAAGGTGTGGAGAAGTTTAAGAAAGAGCGTTTCGAGATCATCATCGTGGACACCAGTGGAAGGCACAGGCAAGAGCAGGACTTGTTCGATGAGATGATCCAGATCCAGCGCGCAGTAGAGCCCCACCAGACCATCATGGTTCTCGACTCGTCCATCGGTCAGGCGGCGGAATCACAGGCTCGCGCATTCAAGGAAACGGCTGATTTCGGTGCCATCATCTTGACCAAGACCGACGGTGCTGCTGCAGGCGGTGGCGCCATCTCCGCGACCGCAGCAACACACTGCCCCATTGCCTTCTTGGGTACGGGTGAGCACATGCTGGATTTCGAAAAGTTCGACCCACAGCGCTTCGTCAGCAAGCTGCTTGGCATGGGTGATGTCCAGGGCTTGGTTGAGCACGTTCAATCCCTCAAGCTGGACCAGAAGGAAACGATGAAGCACATTCAGGAGGGCATCTTCACCATCCGCGATCTGCGAGATCAGCTCCAGAACATCATGAAGATGGGTCCGCTCTCGAAGATGGCAGGCATGATCCCCGGCCTCTCGGGCGTCATGGGCGGCATGGACGACGAAGAGGGTTCGCTCAAGCTCAAGCGCATGATCTACATCTGCGACTCGATGACCACCAAGGAGCTCGACTCGGACGGCAAATGCTTCACGGACGAGCCGTCGCGCATGACGCGCGTGGCCATGGGGTCGGGCACGAGCGTGCGCGAGGTCGAGGAGCTGCTGTCGCAGCGTATGCTGATGGGTGGTATGGCCAAAAAGATGGGCAAGGGCATGAAGAACCTCCAGGGCAAGCAGGGCCAGGCCGCCCTCGGCAACAAGCAGCAGCAGCAGGCCGCCCTCAAGCGTCTGCAGTCGATGGGCGGTGCGGGCGGCATGCCCGGAATGGGTGGCATGGGCATGCCGGATATGAGCTCGCTTATGAAGATGATGGGCGGTGGTGGCGGCGGCCCCGGCGCGGGTGGTATGCCGGATATTGGCAACATGGATATCGGCAAGATGATGTCGATGCTTGGCGGTGGAGGCATGCCTGGTGCTGGCAGGGGTAGGAGATGAGAGGAGAGCAAAGAAAAGATAAAACATGATCGCATGGAACGGTTTGGGCTCTCCTGGATACGCTACATGAAGGGGATAGAATCATCCATTCCAGACCTTCGGCTTAGGTCGGCCAGGCCATGTGGGGTTCTGGTGCATTTACGGAGTCCGGCGCTGTGGGAAGGACGTGTGAACAATGACGGGCGTAGTCGTTGGCTTGAAATTGCAATAAGCGCGCACACGGCTTATTTCTTTGTTGTTGGATGAATGCGCTGAAATGAAGCCTATCCGTAATACACATACTCCTGCTTCAGGGCAGAGAAATCCAGTAATACGACGACAGAACGGATTCTTGCCGCTCTTTGAAAGCCTATTATTCCTTGCATTGGTTGACCTTTATGCCTTTGCACTAAATTCTTTTGTTGAGGCTGCATTGTAGACTTATTTTTAATACAACTGATGCATTGTCCATCGAAATTACTGTTGCATTTCGTTGCAAAAACCGCAATTCACAATTTTTTCTCTCATTTGTTTCTCATGTATTTCCCATTCCATAGTAACGGGAGAATCCAAACATCTCAGATCAATGAAATAGTATCGACCTCATCCTCTAGCCTTCACTAAGAAATTCTCCGTCCATGAAGCAGTGCAAATAGCCGTCGCCGATGACCGTAAATAACGGAATAGGTGCTAACCTTCCATCAACCTTATCACTTCGTGACTTCGACGTAGGAGTGTGATCTTCATCCAAGGACTATATAGACGAGAGCATCTGGAGCTGCCTCTTCACTAGCCATCCCAAGTTTCCGTCTTTGGTGACAAACATCGAACTCCACTGAGTCATGTGTTATGTACTGAAACTTACGTGATCAATTGGAAGACTGGATACCGATGACTCGACATTCCCTTAAAGGTAAGTTTTTAATGAGCGGCTTTTCGGGCTGTCGTGTTGGCAGCCTGGTTGTTGGCCCATCTAGGGCCTACCGAATTTCATCCGTCTCTCTTTGCCTGTGGGCAGTGTTGTTCGAAAGTAGCTATGGCAATGAACAATAGCCACGAAGAAGAATGGTGGTCGAGGTTAAGGTTGACTTTATAGAGGGTTGTTAACAAGCACGCACGTATGAAGCTCGCTCAGCGTAGCTCCCGCCACCAATGCCGTGTTATAGAACAGCGAATGGCCAAGTCTACGCCGAAACTCGCCGCGAATGGTTGGAAGGTCATGCGGAGATCAGGAGGATACACCTCGGCGGTGCTGTGACATCCAGGAGATATTCTAGAAGAGGTGAGTTTCGTACTGATATCTACGACAATAGATACACCATGGGCTTTGTCCAGGATAATCTCCTTCCCACCCATCAGTCCGGCGCCGGAAGACATAACGCTCCAATTCTATACACCGAGAACTCGAAAAGGAAAACCACACCAGGCACGGAACACACACAATAAAGATACAAACGCCGCTAACCCACCCATCTTTCCCCAAGTTCATCATCGTGAATAGTACATGTGAATGAGGAGTGTGTTGGGATATCAAAAAACAGGGAAGCTGCCTCGGCCATCTTCAAAACAATCGTTCCGTTAGGGAAATCGTCAATTTCGCCGTCCACTCTTTCAAATCATACGATGCGTCTTTCCTTAACCCCGAAGCCTTCTCGACCTGATCCTTGAACCTTCTAAAACTCACCGCCACCGCTTCCCCCTAGCATAGCCGCGCCCCATACTCCAACAAGCCCCCAAAATCCGACTCTCCAGCCGCGCACCAGACCAACCGCACCTTGGCCCTTGCTCTGTTTCTGCTGCTGGTACCTGACTACGCCGGCCGCGGTCGTGCGTGCAACGGGCGGCGCTCCGGGACCCGGCCCGGTGCTACCCTCGTCGCGTACGATGTACCACATGGTCCCCAGCACGCCGCGGTACGGACCGACGTTAACGACGGTAGGAAGGGGTTCAGGCTGGAGCGGGGCCTGCGAGCGCTTCATCGGGCTGCGCGAGCGGGACTGTCGGCTGGACGATGAAGAGCGGAAGGAGCTGTAGGCGGAAAAGTTGGCCTGGCGCGCGGCGTGCTCCGTTAGGATGCTTGCTTGGCCACGACGGAGGACGGTTTCCAGGGGCAGCTTGATGAAGAGCTCCGTCGCAGAAGAGAGGAAGGCGCAAACGGAGTAGGTAGCGGGCGTGAGGACAGGGTCGATATGCAAAGAGGAGCGGAGGAAGAGCGGGGTCGAGGCGGAGATGAAAGTCGGGATTGTAGAGTGCAGAAGCGTGATGGGCAGTAGGGGTGCTGGGATGCTGAAGGTAGGAAGAGCGCGGAGATTTGGCAGAATATGGCGCGGTGCGGTGGTCGATGGTGTCATGAGAATCCTACGCAATGTCAGTATACCAGTTCCTCAAGGTCCAAGCCGAGCCGGGATGTGCTGAATGCTTACCGTGTGCGGACCATGTCAAGTGGGGCGAGCACGAGGCCTGTGATGCCCGCTGCAGCAACAGCAACAGCCAGGCTGGTGATGGGGTTTGGACTATCTACCACATCCAGGCCCCCTCCACCGACACCGTAACCGCCCAAGAGCCCGGGATCGGGCACATTGAGAAGGGCGGATAGCAAACTTCGTACCCAAGTTTCAAGAGTCTTGAGTAGGAAGTTGTAAACAAACGTCGAGTTTGTGCCCTTCCACACACCCCATGCACCCTCTTTCGTCCATAGCTGAGAGAGAACTTCTAGTAGGGAGTCTGAACGCTTCAGGTCAAGCTTATAGGCATGTGATAGCGGTTGGCTAGGCGGAGTTGGGCGGGACGAAGGGCGCGGGCGCGGAGAGCGTGAGTCGGAACGCGAGGCAGTCGAAATGTTGGAGTGAGGAGCAGCAGAGGAGAAGTAGGAAGGAGAGTCGTCGCCTGAATCAGAGTCCGAGAGATACTAGACGTTACAATGAGCTCGAAGTCCGAACAAGGAAACATGTCACATGCAAGAGAGACAAACCTCGTTGTAGCGGGCACGGGCTGAAGCGGCTGCGCGTTTTCGCGCATCTTCAGGATCCAACAGGCCTCTCTGTTGGTCCGATGGCGGCGAATGCAGCTGCAGCACCGTCTTGGCGACTTCAAAGGGCTGCGCGAAGAGCACCGATGTGTAGTTCCAAACCGCCTGGTCAAGCAGCTTCTTGGCCATCTCGGCCACGGTTGGGCTGCCGTCACCCAAGCTCAGGTCAACGCCATAGTCGAGGTCGTTCAGGATATCGCGCGCCTGAGAGCCGAAGCTTGGTTTGGGTGGTGACGCGGACGGCTTGGCCGCAGGCGAAGCGCGCGGGGCGGCATTGGAAACGGGGTCGCTGGGCAGGCCGATGGACGGCGGTATGTAGTAGGGCCGTAGCGGATTGGGTTGGTCGCGCGACGTAGCCATGAGGGGCTCGAGAGCGTGGTGGCCGTGCCGAGAGAAGGCGTTGTCGTCGTCGTCGGGAGAATGCATGACGGGACTGGTGGTGCGGCTTGCGAGCAGAAAGCTTGACGAATCGCCGCGCTCCGAGAGCCATGAAATAATCCAGCCGTTCGCCGATCCCGCCTCGACACTTTCCGCCGCCCACCCAGCAGCACCCACACCTTCCGTCTCCCAACAGTCCCGCCTGGTTGTTGCCGTTCTCTTCCTACGCCATGCCGTCGTCTACCAGCGCCGTGCGCATCCTCCTCCGGGCCTCAACTCCCCGCGCGCGTCCCGCCTCTGCCCATGTCCAGTCGACATGGCAAAGATTCCTCCAGACTGCGCCGAAGCCCTTCACTCCCGCCCGGCCAGCACACCAGCTGTCACGGACATGCAGCGTCCGAGCGCTCGCAAAAGACACGTCGATTTGCCAACCATTTGCGTCCAAGCGGGAGTTCTCTACCTCGCCTGCGCGGCAGCATGGCCACCTCCACACTCCAAAGCCAGGCGAAGAGTGAGTTTCCAGAAAGCAATCTGTAAAGCCGGGGGCTGTCCCCGCAATGTGTAGAATGCCGTGGAGCTGATTCAGTCCATTGTTGACAGGCGGAAGGTGACTTTTATCGACAAGGACGGCGACGCACACACCTTCGAGGTTGCTGACGGGGACAACCTACTGGACATTGCTCAAGAAAACGACATCGAGATGGAGGGTTCGTTCCACACCTTTCAGTCAGTGTTGGAGATCAATGGCACCTCGAATTGATCTCATAGGGTATACCGGCGCATGCTGACTCATTCCCTCACAGGCGCATGCGGCGGTTCCTGCGCGTGCAGCACCTGCCATGTCATTGTCGAAGATAGCGACCTATATGATCGTATGGAGGAGCCTGATGACGACGAAAACGACATGCTGGATCTCGCTTTCGGACTTACGGAAACCAGCCGTTTGGGTTGCCAGGTCAAGATGAGCAAGGAGCTGGACGGCATGGTCGTCAGGCTGCCTAGCATGACACGGAACCTGCAGGCGAGCGACTTTGCTGAAAAGTGAAGGGGTTTCTTATTTCCCATCCACGGAATACCTACCGTGAGTCTTTCTTACCGAAAGAAGAGAGAAGAACCGGGATGAAAAGCGGAGAATACGCGAGGCTACATAAGCCATGTAAAATTTTAGGGACAGGACCGTAATACGGAGAAAATACCACACTGGCGAGCCAGCGGGTAGCTACAGACACGACCGCATGATTTGGATTGGGTTTAGACGGACTGTACTATACGCATCGGAGTTTGGATAACTGGAAATGTACAAAGCTGTACTCCGTATTTAAGCGAACACTTTTTAGCTTTAGAGCTTTATGACGCTAATAGCCATTCGGTCTCCTCTCCACCTTGCTTCCCTTTTCTTTTTCTTTTCTTTACCAAATGTTTGCGTCTTCTTAGCGTAGGGCCCAGAGACGGCGGCGACGGAAGGCATTACGTTGAAGAATTAGTGCTAGAGAAGGAGCGATCGATATCCCAGCTCGCGGGGATGACCTGTTTCGCTCGTGAAAGAGATATAAGGATGTTTTAGCAGGGCGGAGCGGGGCGGGCGAGCCAAGCCTCCAGAAGGCGGTGGACGGCGGAAGGCGGGCAGCGACGTCGATTTGGCATCTATCCGCAGCTCCTCCACCACCACATCCAACTTTTGAGCGCGCAATGCTACGCCCTTGAATATCCTTGCCCTCTCACCACAGTCTCTGCACATCGCCCCTGCACGCGCGTCGCTTTCACCATGGCTTCCGCTCTGTTCTTCCTCGACCTCAAGGGCAAGGTAAGGCCAGAACACCAGCTTCGCAGCTACTCAGGAGAATGCACGGCGACATGCTGACGCACCAGGCAGACCCTCCTTGCCCGCAACTACCGAGGTGACATTCCCATGTCTGCCGTCGAGAAATTCCCCATTCTGCTCAGCGAAGCCGAAGAGGAGAGCTCCGCCGTGCCACCGTGTTTCTCGTCCGAAGGCATCAACGTCAGTCCTCCCCCGCTAGCACCTCCGTGCCCGAACGCTCCGTCGCTGACATTTCCTTTTACTCCAGTACCTCTACATCAGACATAACAACCTCTACCTGCTCGCTCTCACGAAGCGCAACACCAATGCCGCCGAGATCCTCCTCTTCCTGCACAAGATCGTTGAGGTCTTCACCGAGTACTTCAAGGAGCTGGAGGAGGAGAGTATAAGGGACAACTTCGTCGTCATTTACGAGCTACTTGACGAAATGATGGACTTCGGACACCCTCAGACTACCGAGAGCAAGATACTACAGGAGTGCGTCGCCCGCCGCCCGCCGCCCGATGTTCGGAGCTCTGCTAACCACGCGATGCGTGCAGGTACATTACGCAGGAATCGCACAAGCTCGAAGTCCAAGCCCGGCCGCCCATCGCCGTCACCAATGCCGTGTCCTGGCGTAGTGAAGGCATCCGCTACCGCAAGAACGAAGTCTTCCTCGATGTCGTCGAATCACTCAACCTTCTCGTCTCGGCCAACGGCAACGTGCTGCGCTCCGAGATTCTGGGTGCTATCAAGATGAAGTGCTACCTCTCCGGTATGCCCGAGCTGCGACTGGGCTTGAACGATAAGGTTATGTTCGAAACTACGGGAAGGGCGACGAGGGGCAAGGCGGTCGAGATGGAGGACGTCAAGTTCCATCAGTGCGTGCGCTTGAGTAGGTTCGAGAACGATCGGACCATCAGCTTCATTCCGCCGGATGGAGAGTTCGAGCTCATGAGCTACCGGTTGAACACTCAAGTCAAGCCGTTGATCTGGGTCGAGTGCATTGTCGAGAGTCACTCGGGTAGCAGGATAGAGTATATGCTCAAGGTAAGTCATCATACATCCCTGTCATCACAAGAATAGCGCTTTTAAGCTAATACACTCCAGGCGAAAGCACAATTCAAGCGGCGCAGCACGGCCAACAACGTGCAAATCATCATTCCCGTGCCCGATGACGCCGATAGCCCGCGCTTCCGCACCAACATCGGCACCGTCCACTACCAGCCTGAGACCTCGTCGATCGTGTGGAAGATCAAGCAGTTCGGTGGTGGCAAAGAGTTCCTGATGCGCGCCGAGCTTGGCCTGCCTTCGGTCCGCGGCGACGACGAGAAGGGTGGCGGTATGATGGGTGGTTTCGGCGGCAGCATGGGCGGCGTTGGTAGCGGTAAGGGCAAGAGGCCTATCAACGTCAAGTTTGAGATCCCCTATTTCACCACATCCGGTATTCAGGTGCGGTACCTGAAGATCATCGAGCCCAAGGTAGGTCTCTTCCACTTCTAAGCGTCGTTGGCCAGAGTTCTGACATTTTCCATCAGCTGCAATACCCCTCGCTGCCGTGGGTCAGGTACATCACGCAATCCGGCGACATCGCCGTCCGCTTGCCCGATGTGCAGTAGTTAATGGGGAAATCCTCAATGGAAGGGAATTACCAAAGATTTGGTGCCCAGGGCGTTTAGGGAGGCCTTCTTCTGTCTTTTGTTTCTTTTCATTGCTTCGAGAATCGACGATTTCTGAATGAGCTCGTCGACGATTCTGAAACATCCGAAATGAAATGCATGCATGGCACGGCAAGGCATGGCATGGCTGGCTTGTGGGCTGGGACGAACTGATTTCACGGCTTTTTTTTAGAGCAAAGCTTTTTTTTTTTTTTGAGGGTGGCCTAGCTGTTAGCTGGAGCCTGGACATTTTTTAGGGTTTTGTTATTCTTGTCTTCTACCGTACTACTACGATAATGGCCGATTCTGATACGAACGGAGAGCTTCGACCGAGTGAGAATGAGGTGGGACGGGTGGAAGATGACTAACTGACGAGTTCGAATGATGTTTTCTTTCCGTTGCGCGTGGTAGGTTGCAAAAAGCTTGCTCTTCGCAAGCTCTACTCGTAGAGAATCACACATCTTGTTCATGTAGATAGTTCGAGCCCACCGTTGGCTAAGATCGTATCCCTTGGAGCACTTACATCATCGCCCGAATGCCCATGTTAACTACACACATTGGTGGGGAAAATGCTACATGTTATTGTGTATGGTATTACCGTAGGGATGGAGGTGCTTTCGATTGGCTTTTTCCTGCTTCTTTAAAAGTGAGTCACAAAGATGGGAAATGCTAGGCACGGCAGTGTACAATCTACAAGGACACGAGAGTTATTGGAGTGAAGTGATAAGAGACGGAATGAAGAATCTCTTCTTGTATTTCTTGGATTCTTTGTTTCATCTCAAGGGCGAAAGCCAAACAGTAATGTAAACAGGAACCCATACTGAAATCCCAGCTCAAAAAACCCGAAACCTTAGCAAACCCAAGTTCCTAAATGCAAGGCTCAACCTCCGCTAATGGTATCTCTCCCCCTTCGTGTTCTCGAACGTTAATGCGTGTGCGTGATAAAATGGTATACAACAGCAAGAGCAGCGCGACTAAGCAAGCAAGCCATGTTTGTTTGTTTTCTTCTTTCGTCATGATCTTCGTTACTAGAATGCGTAAAGCAGCGATGATGATACGAACGGTAGGCTGGCAGAAACAAGGTGTGGTGATGGTGGTCGTGGAAGGGACAGACTGACGAAGACAGAAAACGCCAATGTGAAGTAGAGGTATCCGCCGCTATGCAAAGAGTAATAAAGTAGGAAAGATCCCCGAGCCTGACCAACCATGGGGAATAAGAAAAATGACCCAAGCCTACAAGGATACAAAAACAAAACAGCTAGACTAAAAATATGGGTCGACTTTTTTGGTGTTCTGATAAGCCGCCGAAGACATCCCAGTTGAGTTATTGACATAGAATAGAAGAAAGAAATAATGCAGGTTGGAGTAGGTAGAGCTTGGGGTAGGTTGATGTTACTCAGAACCTACTCCACCTGTTTGCCAGGGCCTCGGTCCACCGCCCATACAAAACGTTGGCGAGGTCGCTAGTGTGGTCCATACCGGGTTTGCTGTAACCAGGAAGTTTCCGCTCATCAATGTGTGCAGAGCCCCTGCGCCCTTCGCTACTGGCGTTGCTGCTGTTGCTGCTGTGGTCACTGCTGGCGACGCTAATGGCGCTTTGGCGACGGCGGTGGTTCGACTTGAGATGCGGGCTGTTTTGGGCTATGAGAAGCTTGCTCCTTGCCGAGGCCGGGGGAGACAAGTTTGAATCATAGAACGGATCATTGGTTTTGTGATTGGATGAGGTAGGCGAAAGAACAGCAGGGGCGTGGCTCTTTGTCGGGGTCATCGGCACGTTGGGCATACCAGATGGAGCCACTCCCAGGGCGGCTGCCAGTTTTGGATCTGCCTGAATCCTGTCGATCATGTTGCGCAGGAGCAGGAATTCGCCTTCTGGGTCTACCCTGTCCAGTGCAGACCAAGCCTGTGCGGCTTTCGCCAGAGCATCTCGCTTCTGCTGGGAACCGGTCTGAGCATGGGTCTCTTGGAAGGCGCCATCTACGGCTTTGACGTAGGCACGACGGCCCATGAGCGATTCCTTGGTCAGCCGAGACACTGTGCCCGGGGCACCTCCAGTTAGCGGTGGAGTGTTTTCGTTCTGCTCGGAAATCAGCGTATCTGCTGAGGAGAAGGAAGCATTTATGTTCGAAGAGCGGGAGGAGACCTCTTCTGGGTGCGACTCAAGTGCAGCTGAAGAGTCACGGCGGAACTGGCGAACAGTCGAGTGGCCATTTCCGAAAGACATATCAACGGCCAGGGGCTCGCGGGCGGCGCTGTTCCGGCGAGCGGTCGAGGGGGCCGATCCTTGGTTGAAGGTTGCATTCGAGTGCCTCGATGACGGCCGTCGGAGGGCCGTGCCCGTCTTGAAGCCACTGCTTGGGGCAGACGTGCTCAGAGGCGTGGAGTCGAGGTCGAGCTTCTCCATCAGCTCCGTAGGGAAATCGGCCCGGGAAGGAATCCGCTTTCTCTGAGTCTTGATGGGCTTAACGGTATCAAAGACCCACTCATCATCCTCTTCCTCGTCCTCGTAGTTGGCGGGCATATTGCGCCTAGGGTCAAGATCAGCAACACATCATCCAGAAGAGCGAAGATGGTACCCACATTGTCTCCTCGTAATACTTGGGATGAGAGTGCTTGGTGCTTCTCGCATCATACATTCTCCTCCGCTCGATGAGCTCCTGCAGGGCCTCGACTTTCCCAGCACGTTGGATAAACTTATGCTTAAGAAGCTCCTTGGCAGTGGGTCTCCTGTCCGGATCCTTGACGAGGCAGGAGGCAACGAAGTCTTTGAAATCCTTGGAGAATTCACTGCCCTCCAGGCGTGGGGCAGCCGCCTTGGGAATCTGGAACAGAACCTTCATGGGATGGGTGTCGGCATGAGGCGGCTCTCCCTTTGCCAGTTCGATGGCAGTGATTCCCAGCGACCAGATGTCGGCCTTGAAGTCATAGCCCATCTCTTGAATAACCTCGGGTGCCATCCAGTAGGGTGTTCCGACGAAGGTCATGCGTTGAGATTTGATGTTGGTCAGCTGAGCAGCGACACCAAAGTCGGCGATCTTGACCTTGCCGTTCTGGGCGAGGAGGATGTTGGCAGCCTTGATATCACGATGGATCTTGCCGGACTGGTGGAGGTAGTCAAGGCCAAGGAGGAGCTCACGGCAGATGATGGCCGTGTGGGCTTCGCGAAAGGGGCCCGGTTTCATCTGTTTGGCCGTCAGCTCATCTGGCCATATCCACAGCCGAGTGTTGTGCGCTCACCAGATCGAGGCACGAGCCACCGCCCAAGAACTCCATGACAATCCATAGCTTGACACCGCGCACAAAGCTGGTCTTGTACTGGGTGACGAAGTCACTGGCACAGGTGCTGAGCAGGGCAATCTCCTGCTGGATTTCGCGAATGTCATCGTCGCTGCCCTCAAGGTCGATCTGCAAGGCCGCGGTCAGCATGGGTGGGCACAGGACGCGTCGGGTGCGGTGCGGCGGCAGAGGGACGTACGTGCTTGATGGCGACAATCTCGCCGGTGGACTTTTCAATGGCCTTGTAAACGACGCCGAAGCTGCCGCCTGCAGGGTGGTCAGCGAGTGAAGCAGCTGGGGGACGGACGGCACGTACTGCCAAGCTCCTCGAGCACCTGGTAGTTGTCGGAGTCCTGTAGCTGCATGGCTCCTGTGTTTCTCCGGATGGAGGGGTGTGCGAGACAGAGTTGTAGTGTGCAGGTAGCACCAGGCGCGCGCCTCTTTGGGGGATAGAGATGCCAAATATGAATGCTGGAGGTTGGGGCCCGGGCGTGCGGGCAGCTTCAGGTCATGGGCGGGCGCTATGGCATTGGCAGATAGCGGTGACGATGCGCATCTCCACAGTAACCGAGCGAACGAGAGAGCGCACGATGATCTGCGCGTCGCCGCGACCAGCCCAACGCCAGCCACCGAGAACGCCAGACGCGAAACGCGTCGGCTGCCCACTTCAGCCACTCCGATCGCGCGCGCGCGCGCAAGCGCAAATGCAGCGGTGCAAACGCCATGGAGAACCCGGTCCGGCTGATGCTGTTGTTGCTGAGGCGTGGTTCCTGCAGCAGCACGCCCGCGCGCGCAAGCAGGTTCTGGCTCGCCAGTAGCAGGGCACACGCCTTGGGCTTATTGGCCCCGGCTGCGCCACGCCTCTGCCTACGGCGGCTCTTTTTTTTCGCCGTTCGTCAGGCTCCCGCCGTGTTGACGTGCCGCCCGTCGCGGCCTAGCCTGGAAACTCTATCAGGGTCAGCCTTACCGGAAGTCGCGACACTTCGCTCGTACGGTGGTCTTCACTCGGGCTGACCGTCCCCTTGCAATTTCCATGACCTCATCGTCGGCAATTTTTCTGCGGCGTTGGGCGCGTGTCGACAGCCCAATGACGGGTACGCGACACGGCGTGCAGCTGCAGCGCCCCATCGCGTCATTCCCGCGGCGCTACATGGGACACGCCCCGCTCACCGCCCGGCAGATAAGCATCCCCGCCAACACCAAGTGGGCCATGACCGTCATGTGCCGCTCCGGCGGCGATCAGGCCCTGGAAACACGCCGATTGCTCGGCACGCGTGACTCGACCCAGAATACTTCGACAGCCCTGCTCGAACTGCCAACTTTCCGCGGCCGATCCGCCCCCGACTGGACCGATCGAGCTCGCCTCATTCTGAATTCGCACCGGCCCGCAGCGAACCAGTGGGTATCGCGATCCGGCGCTGCCGTCAGATGGGACCACGTCGCTAGATTCAGCGTTCACGCGGCCTCTCCCAGCCACCCCAGCGTTCACCGCTCCTCATTGGCGCAGCGCCCTATTCTCGAACAGTATGCAGGCGCACTAGCCCTCCTCTAAGGCCGATCTAAGACGAGCGACCAGAGGCCAATGGGTTGACAAGCGATCCGACGGTCTGGAAAGCTTTGGCTTTACGCCAAAATGCTTCCAGAACAGCGGATGTGGATATTTCCGTCACGTCCCTTGAAAGAAAAATCCAGAAGGAAAAAAAAAAAGGGTAGTGATTTGTGACCAAGGCACTTCGGGCCGCGGTCTGGGCAAGCTAGCCGTGTACTACAACGCAATTTTCCATCCGCGTGAGCTCCAGTGTCGGGCGTCAGCTGTGGGTGGGTGGGGAGGTGAGTGGGTTGGAGGGCGCTGCTTGAGCTGCTTGATGAGAGCTTGTGTGGTTGCACTCGATTCGCGACCGTTCCATGGGCCACGGGTGGAGCTGTCGAGATCGACGGTACTTAAGGGAGCTCATCTTGCCTGTTCATGCGTAGCGGATGGCCAAGGCGCATTAAAGTCAGCGTGCATCAAGCGGCAGCAGACTGCAGCGACAGCTCGCAGGCGTTGGAGGGGAGCAGCCGACCTCTTTTGTAGGGTCCTGCCAGCCACCCGCTTCTCCGCAAATCACGTCGTCCACGACCGTTTTGGCGGCCGTTTCTGCCCGTGCGTTGCCCCGGGGACTGCCACCTGCGTGCGCTGCTGCACGACGCCGGCGGAGATGGCGTTCGCGCACACTGTGCCACGGCGGGCCAGGGCAAATAAGACGCGGCGATCTGCCTTACTATGCCATTCCGCATTCAAGCCCGCCCATGTCCGACCTCGTCCCTTCCAGTTGGCCGACGCTGAGCAGGAGCCTCGTTGTTCTTGGAATTGGCATTGGCCTGGCGCTGTCGGCCTCGACGTTTGCCCATTGGCGCGGGCGGCGCATAGGCTTTGCGCAAATCTCGCTACTGCTGGTCGCTGGCCTGCTGTCGCCGCGTGCGCGACCGCAAGCACCGCCTGCCCTCCCGCCGCAGCTTTCGAAACATCATGCCGGAGACGAACAGCTTCTTCTGACTGACCTGGCCGACAACATGGACCTTCATCCGGCCGCGCGTCAACGTCCCGCCGAATCTGTGCGCGAGCTTCCCGACCGCGACCCAGACCTCACGCCTTCAGGGGGCCCACTCCCGTGCGCCGGTGCTTCGTCCAGCATGCCTCCTCCACCTCACCCAAATTCCCGGGGGCACCACCACTCTCATTCCACCTCCAGCTCCGTCTCCACGCTCCCTCACCCGCCGCCAATGCCCGCCCACGCTCGCTCAATGTCGCATGCCGACGCAACCACCGCCCGCCAGCACAAACGTCTTTCCCTCAATTTCCCCGTTCCTGTGCAACCCGCCTCGCCCGGTCACATTCCGTCGCCCCGCCGCGCCCGCCCAGCCTCGTGGATTGGCGCCGGTCCTGTGCGCCCCGACGCTTTCCAGTCTTCGCTCGCATCCCCTCCGCCCGACGGCAACTTCTTCACCGCGCTGGCCGCCCAGGAACGACGGGTCTTGGAGTTGAAGGATGAGCTTGCAAAAGCCGAAGAACACCTGAAGGACTTGAAGAAGCAATGGGCAAACCAGGAGGCTGCTCGTAAAGGCCAAAAGGAGGGCTATGGCTTCCATCCGCTGCGCCCGCTCAACACCAACATGCCCAACCTCGGCATAATTGACGATGATCCGGATGGCCCCAGCTGGATGCAGAAGGAGATGGAGCGCAGAAGAGCTATTCTGCATGGCCAACGGAGCTCGAACCGGAGGGTCTTTAGCGGATCCCGCCATACTCGCACCCTCTCCTTGCTGTCTCCTGACAAGACCAAGCCCGATACATCCTTCCCCAAGCCCGCTGCGAGAAGGTCAGATGACTTGCCCAGTCGCGCCCCTAGTCGCATACGCTCCTCCACCACGCCGGATATCACGAATGAATCATCCGAGCAGATGGAACAGGGTGATGCGCTTGTACGCACCGGGAAGCAGATGGCGACAGACTTCAAGGACGGCCTGTGGACATTCTTCGAGGATCTGCGCCAGGCCACGGTGGGCGATGAGGCCATCTCTGGCACGCCGACTCGCGCTGGCTACCCAGTCCGCCGTCAACCCAGCGGAGCAAACACCGCCTCCAGCTCGTCTACCAGCCTCAGCCGATCAAAAAGCATGGGCCACGCGCGCAAGCCGAAATCGTTGCAGCCTTCCGGTGATGGATCCGCGCTGATAGACATCGAGACGGACTTTTGGAAGGAGCATGGGATCGAGGCACCCAAACCCGCCGTCGTCAAGCACACCAAGTCCACCACCACTCCGCAGAAGGTTCAGAACCGCTCCAGTCAGAACTTCGAAGATAGTTGGGAAGACTGGGAGACGCCACCGAAAGACGACAAATACGTTCCCGGCCACTCGAGCACTAACAGCTCAGTCTCCGAAGGCCAGGCTTCCCACTGTTCTGACGGCAGCAGTCCGCGGACCAGTACTAGGTACGTAAAAACGCAAGGCCAGGTATGTCAAGTTCAAGTTTTAGAGGGGTCAAGCTTCACAGAAAGCAGAACACTGCTGTGATGCAACCACAACCGTCCGTCACTCAAGCTTGAACTTGTGGCCTTTCTCGACTAGAATTTCTCGATGACCTCGGACTGGCTCGTTGACACTGCAATTTCCAGCTCGGGCCCCGGACTAGCACCTCTCGATCTCGGCAAAGTCCGCGAAGCGAAGCGCTCCTCGACGGGTCCGTCCTCTCCGTGGCACGCCCTGAGCAAGCTCTCACCTAGCAACGTCAAACGCGCGGCCTCCAACTTCATGGACGAATGGGAAAAGAGCATCACTTCACCGACCGAAGGTTCCATGGCCGAAGCCGAGGCCCTGCAGGAGTATATCGCCTCCATGACTCCACCCAAGACCAGCAAGGCTGAATGATTTCTTTCGACGCAGTCTTCACATACTCACAACGGTGGTCTTGTGTTGATTTTCTTATCCGCTTCTCCCGGGCATTTTCGTCCACTTGGATTTCGCTCGTCCGGCGCCGTGCGCACATATACACGATCCTTCGCCTATCCACACGGCTGAGATTACTTGATGAGTCATGGCTTTCCTACTTTTGTTTATTCTTTTTTTATCGGTTCAAGGGAGGGATTTCCCACCTTCATTGCATAGGTCTTGAAAGACACGGATGATTCGACGTTTCTACTTCTCGGATAGGACGATGAAGTTGGTGTTTTGTTTCGTGTTTAATGTTGATGCTTTACACAGCATGATAGAAGTTTGCTTCGTGTATATACAGATTGTATTAGATTCTGGAAAAGACACAGAAGAAGCGCATGTCTCAATGAATGGTTCATTGAGACTCTGGAGAAAGAGTTGGTTCAAGGGGAAGGGGATGGTGGCAAGGTATCGGGTTACAAGAATTGTGCAAATTGATAGTCACATGCGGTGTGTGACTTTCCACAGCCACTCCCTGTACCTTCAAGACCACGATTGAATTGTACGCTTATCTATGTAGAAGATGCGCGATGATCTCCGAACAGGCGATTGACAAGCCATCCGACCCCATGGCTGCGTTCCTTCGAAGTATCCAGGACCGTCGAACGTCAGATGGAATCCTCCACCTCCGGCGCAGGATAACAAGGAGTCCTCGTAGACTACGAAGGTTGGGTTCTTGACAAACCCTCAAGCCAACACTAAAATGGCAACTCGTTAGCTCCTCAAGGCCACGGATCTCTTAGCCACCTGCGACCATGGGCTCCGCAGATAAGGAAGGGCAGAAAAAAAAAGATGATGATGGTACCGAGCTGGCGTTCCGGGATTCGCTGACCCTCGGACCGGGTGATATCGTCTTCGCCGCAGAGATTGTAGTACACATCTCCCGCGTTTGCCCCAAATATGACCTTCGATACGAGGAACTGGCGGGTGTAGTGTGGACGTAAGCGTACGGTGTCTCCTACCGCAAACCCTGCCCGGGACAATGGTACATGCAGGCCCATGATTTTATGAAAGACAAAACGGGGTTCCGATCTTGGCTTGTAGATAGGTGTGAATTTCGGAAGGTCGATAATCAAGATGGCCAGACTTCAGGCAGCAGCAACTTCGTAAAGATAAAGCGGGGCAGACGCTTATGTGACTGCACAACGACGTAGCCAATTATACGCAGTGTAGCTGAGCCACTCATCAGAACGTCATGGCCAGTTCCGATCAGCCTTGTCCACTTCCACTTTTCCTACTTCTTAAGATGTCGCTCGATGGTGAGTGCCCACCCAAACAAAAAGTAGCTGCATCTGCGTACATAACATACGACGCAAGTGGAAGCTGCCAACGCGACTACCGGCGTGGCGGGTGTAGACGCGAGGCAGACGGCAGTCGGCGTGCGGAAGAGAGCATCGCATGAAAGGCTTGTTAAAGCAGGTTCGTGATCGTCAACGCCTCAGGCTCTGACGTTGACTTTCGGCTCAAGCAAGCGAATACCGCAGTGGATGCCCGTTGTACTCTTTCCAGCTCGCGCTGGGGAAGGACTTCAAGAATTTCCGCCGCTTCAAAACAGTGCGCATGCGGATGCTTCTTGTGAAACAAAACTCAATAGCGGCCCTGGAACGCAAGCTCAAAACAGCCGACGATGAAGAGGTGGCCGAGCTACGTCTCGGATGCTTGGAGCGCGACAATAACGAGGAAAGGGGGAGGGTCCTCAGAGAACTCGACACTGCCCTCAAGGACTACGGCAAGTAACGTGTAGCAAAGGCTCCGAACAGGTTCGTAGCTGATATCATCAGATGACCTTTTGCAACGAACAAATTGGCTTCTTACTAGGCCATTACCTCAGAAAAGGCGTGTCCAAGAGCAAAAAGCGCTCGCTGGCCCGGCAATTGCCAGGAAAGAGAAGACTTATCTGGATGACGAATGGGAGGATTTGATCAACATAGACGATCAAGAAAACAGCAGTATGAGACGACTCATACCCCACATAGACAATCTCTTGGTGAGATTTGGAAAAGGCCCGTCCAGCAAGGCAAGCCACGGCTCTCTGAGCGAAGGAGCGGGAGTGATGTGCTGACACGCCAGACGGGGAATGAAGCCATCAGAAGGCCTAGTCCCCATAAGTAGACCCGGCTCCCGATCTATCATCCGCACCTTGGTGGCCGTATTCACCGTCGTCATCCTCCTCGTACCGGTCGTTATCCTGAATTTCGTTACATCGACGGGGGCCAGGTTCGCCGTCGTCTTCGCAGCCGCTTCCAGCTTTGTTGGCGGAGTTACGGCGCTTAGCGCAGCGAGTCTGGCAGAAATATTTGTCGGAGGTGCAACTTACTCGGCCATCCTTGTTGTGTTTGTATCTCAAGGCGGCGTCTCAAACGGACAGTAAGGATGTATATCCCTGGGTGCTCAAACAAGAGATGGTACTGGATCTCCTTCAAGTCACTGCGTCAATAACAAAAGTGCTCAAAGCTCATCTAAGGGCCACTTCTGTAGTCTCTCTTAACTATCGTCTGGTAGTGCCAAAAAGTTATTGAAGAAAAACACCGCAGCAATATGACTCTATCTCTAGATCTATAGTTAACGAGTAGTCAAAAAAAAAAAAAGGGTCTCCTCACAGCCTCGCCTCCTCCCCCGCAGCCATGGGGTCCACGTCACTTAGCACGTTGCGGTTCACCCAATCGGGCCTCGCGGTCTTGACATAGCCAGGGGCGCTCGCGTCGCCATCCAGGGCCAGCAGACTGCCGTCTCCGGTAAAGCCGTAGCGGCGGACCTCGCAGTTGCAAAAGCCGGTGCCCTTCTTGGGGTCATAGTCGGCCCAGTCCTCGATCAGGTAGTGCAGGAAGGCGCCGTGGGTGACGAGCACGACGGTCTCGTCCTGGCGGGCGCGCAGCCAGGTGCGGAGGGCGGCGGCGCGGCGCTCGACGGCGGGGAAGGACGGCGTGTAGATGCCGCTCTGTAGGCACGTGTTGTTAATTCACCTTTTTTTTTTTTTCTCTTCTCCTTTTCCCCTTCCAAAATCAAATCAGACGTCGTCGTACATACCTTGGAATTCCACCCCTCCTCGACCAGTCCGAAATCCGCCTTCTCTGCCACATCGAACCCCACCGCGTCCGCGTCCACCATGCCCGGCAGCGCGGCCTTGAGCTCCTCGGCGGGGAAGCCCGTGTCGCACGGGTTGGCGGCGACCTCCTGGGCCAGCGGCGCGAGCACGAACGGGACGTCGGGTCGCGCCAGGGCGGCGCCGAAGCAGTAGGCCGCCGTCTGGATGGTGCGCTTGAGCGGCGACGCGACGATGAGGGAGATTTTGTCGTGGTCGGCGAATTCGGAGCGCAGCGCGGCGCATTGGGCGTGGCCGAGCGGGGTGAGGTGCGGGTCGCGGAGGTGGTGGCGGCGCTGGTCACGCCGGGGTGCATGGTTAGTTTTGCGGGGGGAAGGGGGCGGTTTGATCAAAATGTTTGAGAGAATAAGGCCATTTTTCCTTTGGACCGTGACGAGGAAATTGGAGTGGATGACGGGACGTGGGAAGAAAACGGGCGGGGGGGTCGACGACTTCAGCGGTGGATGCTTACATTGACGTTGTGCTCGCCCTCGGCGTGACGGACCAGATAAAGCGTTGGAGGCATGGCGATAGTGGAAGGGGACTGTGCGCAGGCGTTGATTGCGGAGGGCGAGTATCAGACTGCCTCAAGGTAGATATGATTCTTTTAATGGTACGGTCCTTTTTTTTTTTCTTTTCACCGCCGACTCGGCTTCTTGCTGGTCGTTGCCGAACTAATAAAAGTCACCGCCGAAAGTGAAATCGATCTTTTGGATTTTGCTATTGCAAGATGTCAAACACAACTTGTTGCCCGGAGACATGTCTAGATAAATGGTACTAGTATTTACATGAAAAAGTCAATCACCGTCGGACGTTCCATATTCGCTTCCACATTAATTCTCAGTAACGCATAGATGGTCAATCACTTTCCGGCACCCGTGGCATACCGTCTCCCTCATCGGCTTCCCATCGACTCCGCTCCAAACTCTCCTCGGAGGTGACAAAGGTGTTCTTGTTTGCAGATTGTTGGTCCGGATGTATCGCGAATCATCTCCATGCTACCTGGTAGCGAGGAGCAGTCTCGTAGTAGGTCACTGGCTTGTAGCAGATAGCGCAGCGAACCGTTTCGTCATCAGCGCATATCTGACAACCGCGCGCCTCTCTCCATGCGTTGTCAGCACGGCAGTGTGTGCGGTACTCGATGGCTGGACTCTCGGCATATGGAATGGTGCGATGGTATCGGGCAGCTCTTCGAACTTCTATCGGCTCGGCGATGTAGTAGTCGCGACTGGCTGGAATGTGCCTCCGCTCGATGACGGCGATTTCAACGCGGCGCCTTCTTCTCTCCTCATACTCTCTGTGCTTCCGGGAGAGCGATATCTCTTGGAGCCAAAGACGCAGAGACATCTTCGGCTGGACGATTTGATGTTTTGGTCGTGGCAATGGACGGAACTGTGGATGCGATCTTCATGGTCGAGGGAGAAATAAAGGACAATTGATTGATTTAATACATCAAAGGAATTGCCATTGTTGCACAAGTGTGCTACATAGGGCTGATGCTGAGCCTCGTCGGTGCGCCACTTTATGCGCCTCAATGGCGCAAGACGTGAGCACTAACACGCTTGCGTGCAGCCTCTCGACCGGGAACGCTAAATTACAGCCACAGCGTAAGGCGGCTCAGCCACACCGGAAGACATGGGTGGTCAGACGCGAACTGGAGGGGCGGGGGCCACCCGGCACAGGTGGAGGCTGAGCTTCGTCAAAAAGTGCAAACGACATCATTCCAACCAGCTTCCTTCGCCATTTCTCGTTTATTGTTGGAATAAGCAAACTGATGCCGTATGACCTGGGTCGCCTGAAGGCTTGAGGACTGCTGCCTGAGACATTTCTTTTACCATTTTGCTCTTTCCAAGTCCCGAGCGACCACCCATGTCTTTTGCCTGCAATTCAGCCTCGTACTGGCCACGTCATGATTCTACACACAAAAAATCTCGTTCTTTTCATGTGACTAGGTCTTGGTGCATGTGAACTACGTGGAAAGTTGAGGAACATGAATCCTTGATCCAAGCACAACTGACTTGGAAATATTCTTCGTGTCTTATGTCTACTCCAATCGGCATTTCGGTGAACATTACCGTCAGGCTCTCATCCATAGACTTTGCTCAGCTACCTTTTGCTCAAGCCACGAAAAAGAAACCATCACCAAGGAATGTCATCGTTCTCTGTTGGTCGCCTGAAAACCACCGTCCGAGTGCTCAGCCGCATCTCTCCGCTCGCTCGATCAAACGATCACACGAGCTTTGCAGTTTTCGTAAACAAATACAAAGGTAGATGGATTTGAGTTTGATGGTTATGTATGCTTTTTTTTTTTTTTTAGTGTGAATCTATTGTTAGATGTTCTTGGTGTCTACCATAGACAAGGCAAGCGACCGGAAATAGGACCCCATCTGCGTGTATGTTTGTTCACAGATGACCTGATGACTTCGATGTTGTTTGCACAAGTACTAAGTGGCCTTTGACTGCTGTATAACATGCAAAACGTAAAGCATTAGCAGAGCCCTCCGCCGTGAAAGTGAATAACGTAGAATTACCCGTTGGAACCAAATGCTTCTCTAGAAGGATCAGCAGGTACATCAACCGTCAGTGGCAACAACTTCTACATTGTCAGACCTCTACAATCTCAAAGCACATTCGCATCGTATCCGAGTCGCTCATCGTCACTAGAGCTCTACCCGGATTTCTAAGCACTTAATACAAGGTCTCATCGTAGTCGAATTGAAAAAGCTTGGCGAGGTTGCCCAACGAGCCTACCTCTCCCTATTCAATGACTATCATGACACGCATAGTGTGCATCCTCTAGTAGAGAAGGGTGTGACTGGTCTATCAGTACTCGGTTTCTACTAGTTCGCCTCCCTGACTGTCCTCGTCTGTGGAGATCAAAGAAGAGCAAAGGTTTTTTGTGGACAGAACGTACGCTTGGTTGGTCATCTGTGAAGGCGAAGATGGCCCATCGTAAGCTTGGTATGGTAAAGGAGTTTTGGTGCCACAACACTTCAATAAAGTGGAATTAGGCATGGTTACGGGTCAGTTTGGCTATCAAGATCATGGGGCGATGGTGCTTCATATATTCGTGAACATTATGGTTGGCGTTTTTGTAGTCGAACGCCTCAGTCTCCACTACCGCAGGCAGAGCAAACTTACTACTCTCAGCCTCTTAGGCATCTGCGACATATATACGCTCAGCCTCAACGCTTTAAATCAATGACGAAATCAACGGTTTAAGCGCGCGCTTTACCAGCCAAATGACTTGTGCGTGCCTTGCCAGCAGTGCGGCACAGATGGCGTTGACCAATGAGATACCCAGCCCATGCGGCGCGTGTCGTGGCGCATGCGTATTGCCTGCCCCACAGGATGGCTCAGCGCACAAGAGAAGCTGAGGCACAGCAAGGCAGCAGAGTATTTTCCATCAGATCAGCTAGCTACTCATCAGATAAATAGGAGAATTCTGCAGGTACAGAACCACTTTCACTTTACCTCCATCCAAGCAGAATTTCGACCAATCATCTCCATCCATTTCTCTCTCACGATCCGCCTGTGAAGCACATAGTTTGGCATAGCTTTGGACATCCAGTATGTTTTCATCAACATATCACCTCCTACAAACCGAAAACTAACACTGCACTTCACTATTTAGCGACAACCAAAAACCTGTCGCAGAACCATGGCATTTTGCAACGTTTGCCAGAAGTCCTTCAAGACCGACCAAGCTCTCCGCCAACATAACGAAGACTCGCCTGCTCACCAGCCCGCCCGATGCGAGCCCTGCAACAAACAATTCCCGAACCAGGAAGCCCTCGCCCAACACGCCCACAACTCTCCAGCCCACAAAGGCACCCACACCTGCCAGCCTTGCCAACGCACATTCCCGAATCCGGTAGCCCTTGCACAACACGTAAAAGACTCCCCCGGCCACGCCTCCTCGCCTCCTCGTCCCTCGAAACCGCCCACCACCACCATCACCACATCCACATCAACGCCGCAGGCCACAACCCCGCCAAACACAGACCAACCCCACCGCCACCGCTGCAACACCTGCACCCGCACCTTCGCCACCCCCTCCGCCCTCCACCAACACGCCCGCGACTCCCACGCCTCCCCCACGCACCCTTGCCCGCACTGTCCCCGCCGCCGATCCTTCCGCAGCGCCTCCGCCCTCGCCCAGCACATCCGCGACTCGCCCTCTCACGACAACGACAGCAACAAAAACAAAACCGCCCCCCCTCCCACCACCACCCCCCTCGACGCCTTCTTCCACACCTACCCCACCTTCCCCTACGACCGCGCCCTCCCCGCCTCCGAGTCCTGGCGCCGGCTCTGCGCGCACATGGGCTGGAAGCGGAACGCGTCGTCATCCTCTTACTCCTCCTACTACTATAACGACAACTACGAGCTGTACGTCTCGGCGCTGCGGCGCGAGCTGGAGGTGTGGTTTGGCGGCGAGGACGATCTGAGGAACTGGCACGCGCTGTGCCGGGCGGTCGGGGTGGGGGGAGGGGGAGGGGCGGCGGTGGCGGCAACGGCGGGGTCGTCGGAGTCGTCGGAGTCGTCGCGGCTGCCCGATACGGAGAAAGGGTGTGAGCGCGCGTTGAGGGGGACGCACGTCAATCTCGTTGATTTGGTGGGGTGGGCGCGGCGGGAGGAGGTCGAGGGGGAGGGGGAGGCGAGCGGTGGGGACACCATCCAGGTGTTTGGGAGCGTGGGGGCGCTGGCCAAGTACTGCAAGAGGACGGGGAAGTGGTTCCCTCTGGATGAGGTGGCCGAGGCGGGCGAGAATGGGGACGGGAATGTGGTTATCAGGCATTTGTTGAGGAAGTTGAAGATGAAGACGTGGCTCTAAGCCTTGGGTTGCTTTCTTCTACGCTCTGGGTGTCGTTTGGTTGATATGGCCGGCGTGTACCCGTGGAGTAGTGCATAGCATGACTGGCCAGGAAGCTCTGCACTTTCATGTGACACGATGGCAATAGCAAACATATCTCTTACTTGAATTTATACTGGATTGAACTGTTGCACGACTTCTAACCTATGATAGTACCGGTAGTTAGATTCTTTCGGTTTCAGCTTAGAGGCTCCAATTGCTTTTCAAAAAACAATAGGCTGCAGCACGGGATGCAGCTGGGCCACAATTCAACATCGAGGGCCAACGGACACTGGCCCAAGACCGACCTCGACTGCTTCTGCTGGTACAGGACCTGAGGTTTTGTCAGCAACCATGTTTAAGATTGATTTGAGACGATATGATTGATGTGGTGGTTTGTTCTCAGAGTGTGAATGTTCTCAACAGGATGTTCAGACAGGGATAAACTGAATGAAAAATAAAAGCTCATCATTGGTGGGTGTTGACGGGAGTGGAGGTATGTAGAGAAAGAACTGATCACGTACCTTGATTGGCCTGGAATAGCTTGTGCCGGAGCAGTAGCTACATTAGCCAAGTCTCTGAGTCACGAAGCGCACTTGCACAGCTGTTGTCAACATGTATTTTTTTCATGTTCTAGACAGCTATCGAGTTCATCAGTCGTGCAGCAGCCAGGGGCGAGCCGCTTATTTCTCGTAGATCCAGGAGTGCTGGGCCTGCTTCCAGCTCTGGACCTCCTCAGGCTTGAACCAGAGGGCAATCTCCTTCTTGGCGTTCTCGACCGAGTCGGAGCCGTGGCAGACGTTGCGGCCAACGTCGATGGCGAAGTCGCCACGGATGGTGCCGGGGGCCGAGGCCAGGGGGTTGGTGGCACCGAGGATGGCACGGCCGGTCTTGACGACATCACGGCCCTCCCAGACCATGGCGGCGACGGGGCCGGAGCCCATGTCTGTTTAGGTGTCAGTGTGCGTCGAGTGGCCGAGCGTGGGGCGGATACGTACAGGCAATCAGACCAGCGAAGAAGGGCTTGTCCGAGAGGTCGGCATAGTGCTTCTCGAGGTGCTCCTTGGAGGGAGTGGTGAGCTTGATGGCAGCGAGCTTGAAGCCGCGGTTCTCGAAGCGGGAGATGATGTTGCCAACAAGGCCACGCTGGCGCAGAGGTTAGCTGGGATCTACAGGGTCTGGAGCGGCGATCATGGTGTTGGAGAGCGGTCCACGGCGGCATTGTGCGACGTGCAGTGCGCCTGGCAGGGCATTGAGGAGCGGGCGAGCTGCAACGTACCTGGACACCGTCGGGCTTGACGGCAATGAAGCTGCAACGACGGTTAGCTTCACCGCTCGTACCCCTCGACGAGGGATCCCGAGCTCTGAACAGCACGGCGTGGCGGGGTGACGTACGTCTGCTCGGAAGTCATGATGGCGGATTGGGAGTGGTTGGCGGCGAGGAGGTGGCTGCGGTCTTTGGGTCCTAGGTGCTGGAAGATGGGAGAGGAGAAAAGAGCAGGGGGAGGATTGTTTTGCATCTTTTGAAGAGGGATGGTGGGGCTGGGCCTTTAGCGCCGGCGGCAGCCAACGGGGGATCGCTCCGCAGTCTCTGGGCCCGTCACGTGCAAGCCAAGCTCTCCGCCCGGGGAAAGCTGTCATCTACACGCTACCACCTGACAGCTCCCCCCGACATCGCCGCCCCAGACCTTGCTGCATACGGACTGCAGCCTGGTATCCATACAATGTCCGCCGCAACCGCGCCCCGTCGCTGGGCGGCCCTTTTCCTGCTGTTTTCCCTTCTCTGCGTCTTGTTTACGCCCGTCGGTGTGTAGCTGCCGTCCGAGAGCTCCCAGAGCTCCGCCAATTGAGAGAGATCGCTGACAGCCAGCCCCCAGAGTGTGTCAAACACGAGCTCTTCAAGACCTGCAACCAGTCCGGCTTCTGCAAGCGCAACCGGGACTTTGCCGACAATGCCCAGTCTCTGGCCTCCACCTGGGAGTCCCCCTACAACCTCGACCCCGCCTCGGTTACCTTCGCCAAGGGCCAATTGACCGCCACCGTCCTCAAGAAGGTCAATGGCCAGGATGACGTCCGTCTGCCTCTCACCGTGGCCTTCCTCGAGTCCGGCACTGCCCGCTTTACCCTCGACGAGGAGAAGCGCCAGAAGGGAGATATTGAGCTGCGTCACGACAGCAAGGCCCGCAAGGAGCGCTACAACGAGGCCGAGAAATGGACAATCGTCGGCGGCCTCGAGGTCAGCGCTAGTGCTGCTATCAGCTCCGAGGCCGAAGCCGGCACCACCAAGGTCGTCTACGGCCCCGCTGGCAAGTACGAGGCCATCATCAAGCACTCGCCCTTGGGTGTCGACTTCAAGCGCGACGGAAAGACCCAAGTGCAATTCAACGAGCGCGGCCTTCTGAACTTGGAGCACTGGCGGCCCAAGACCGAGAAGGAGAAGAAGGAAGGCGAAGAGGGCGCGGCCGAAGAGGCCACTCCCGAATCGACCGAAGATGAGAGCACCTGGTGGGACGAGTCTTTTGGTGGAAACACCGACTCCAAGCCTAGAGGCCCTGAGAGTGTTGCTCTCGACATCACCTTCCCCGACTACGAGCATGTCTATGGTATCCCCGAGCACGCCAGCTCCCTCTCGCTCAAAGAGACTCGGTAAGCCACAACCACAAACAATATCAAGCCTCTGTTGACCTTTCGCAGCGGTGGTGACGGCGCCTACTCTGAGCCCTACCGTCTCTACAATGCCGATGTCTTCGAATACATCATGGACAGCCCCATGACTCTCTATGGAGCCATTCCCTTCATGCAGGCCCACCGCAAGGACTCCACCGTCGGTGTCTTTTGGCTCAATGGAGCTGAGACCTGGATCGACATCGTCAAGGCGAAGAGTGCTGCCAACGCCCTTAGCCTTGGTGTTGCCGGTCATACTGATACCAAGACCCACTGGATTTCTGAAAGTGGTCTTATTGATGTTTTCGTCTTCCTCGGCCCGGAGCCCAAGGACGTGATCAAGAGCTACAGCGAGCTCACTGGCTATACTCAACTGCCCCAGGAGTTCGCCATTGCCTACCACCAGTGCAGGTGGAACTATGTCACGGATGAGGATGTCATGGATGTCGATCGCAAGTTTGACAAGCACGACATCCCCTACGATGTCATCTGGCTTGACATTGAGTACACCCATGAGAAGAAGTACTTCACCTGGGACCCCATGACTTTCCCCAAGGCTCTGGAGATGCACGAGCACCTCGACAAGCATGACCGCAAACTTGTTGCCATTATTGATCCTCACATCAAGAACGTTGCCGACTACCCCATCATCGACGAGATGAAGAGTAAGGATCTCGCTGCCAAGAACAAGGATGGCAACCAGTACGAAGGCTGGTGCTGGCCAGGTTCGTCCTATTGGGTCGATTGCTTCAACCCTGCTGCAATTGATTGGTGGAAGAGTCTTTTCAAGTACGACAAGTTCCTTGGCACTGCCCCGAACACCTTCATTTGGAACGACATGAACGAGCCGTCCGTGTTCAACGGTCCTGAGACTACCATGCCCAAGGACAACCTGCACTTCGGCAACTGGGAGCACCGTGACGTACACAACATCAACGGCCTGACCTTCCACAACGCAACCTACGAAGCTATGATCCAGCGTAAGAAGGGTGAGGCTATTCGTCCATTCGTCCTGACTCGTTCTTTCTACTCGGGTAGCCAGCGACTTGGCGCTATGTGGACCGGTGACAACCAGGCCAATTGGGACCATCTCGCAGCTGCGATCCCCATGATCCTGACCCAGAACATTGCCGGCTTCCCCTTTGCTGGTGCTGACGTTGGCGGTTTCTTCGGTAACCCCAGCAAGGATCTCCTAACTCGCTGGTACCAGGCGGGTGCTTTCTACCCCTTCTTCCGCGGACACGCTCACATCGATACCCGTCGCCGTGAGCCTTATCTCGCCGGTGCGCCCTACACGGAGATCATCACGCAAGCCCTTCGCCTGCGTTATTCTCTCCTCCCCGCGTGGTACACCGCTTTCCACGAAGCCAGCGTAGACGGTGCCCCCATCATCCGTCCCAACTACTACGTGCACCCAACCGACGAGAAGGGCTTCGCCATCGACGACCAGCTCTACCTTGGCTCAACCGGCCTCCTCGCCAAACCTGTCGTTACAGAGGGTGCGGAGAGCGTCGACATCTACATCGCTGATGACGAGCCATACTACGATTACTTTGACTACACTGTCTACACCGGCCCGGGCACCAAGACCATCCCCGCACCGCTTGACAAGATCCCCTTGCTCATGCAGGGCGGTCACATCATCCCGCGCCGTGACCGCCCGCGCCGCAGTTCCGGCTTGATGAAGTACGACCCCTACACGCTCGTCGTTGTGCTGGGCAAGGACGGCACCGCTTCGGGCGAGCTGTACGTCGACGACGGCGAGACGTTCGACTATCAGCAGGGCGCGTACATCCATCGCCGCTTCCTATTCGACACCACCACGAAGGCTCTCACTTCCATCGATATCGGTACCTCTGGCGCCAAGACCGCGGCCTACCTCAAGGCCATGGCCAAGGTGCGCGTCGAGAAGGTCGTAGTCGTCGGCGCGCCAGCCGAGTGGGAGACCTTGGAGAACGCTTTTGTCAGCGAAGAGGGCGCCAAGGAGAGCCAGCGCAGACGCAAGGCGGCTCTCAGCTACACCAAGGCCCAAGGCGGCAAGGCGGCATTCGCGGTGGTTAGGGATCCCAAGGTCAGCATTACCAAGGGATGGAAGATCGACTTCGGTGGCGAGGCGGCGGATGAGCATCACGGACATGCCCATTAGATATGGGTCTGAGCGAATCGGTGAGATAGATGAGTAAGACCTGTAAAGATGTTGGTGGGGACGAGGGAAAAAAGACGAATCACGATAGATACGAGCGCACCTTTCTTTAGTTTTGTGTATACAGGATGCTTGGAGAGAAGAGCGACGTCAGAAGAGACTGAAGCATGATTTGTGTACATGATTTTCCTTTACTCCCGACTCATTTTTCATAGCGCCCGAGAGCAATGTGCAACCATCCCATTATCCAGACACAATCCAATGCCATCTTTGGCACAAGGTCACGATAGCTACGCAATGCCACACGAACAACAAATCATCAATTTCTCTACCGAGAGCGGTGGTCATAGAAAGCTCCGAAAGATGTCCCTAGCCGAGGCGATTGCCTCTTCCTCTCGCTTCGTCCCTTCTTCTTCTTCCTCCACCTCCCCTCTCCCTTCCACCGCGCTCTCGCTGATGTCTTCTTTCTTCCCCTCGTCTCCCAAGCTTCCACCCTTCGTCGCTCCTCCTTCTTCTTTCTCAACCCTGACATCCTGCCTACCAGCAACAACAGCAGGAGTAGCAGCAGCAGAACCACCGCCACCACCGCCACCGCCGCCACCGCCGCCACTAATCCACCACTCCCTCATCTCCCGCGCACGCCTCCTCTCCTCATCGCCATACTCAACCGGCGGCCCGTGCACCTCTTCCTTCGTCGCGCCGCTGATAGGATTATAGTGGCCACGATTATGGCGACGCTGTAGCGCCTTCTTGTCATTGTCATCGTCGTTGTCGACCAGTCCACCAGCATCCACCCCATTTCTGTCTTCCGACGAGCCGCCCCGTAGCTGGTGTGGCCCCTCTTCTTCCTCCTCCTCCATCTCCTTCTCCATCTCCCCCTCCCCCTCCCCCTCCTGCGTCGAAGGCACGACCGCGCCCCAAAGCCCGCTCATGACATCCGCCCAAATCGGCCGGGTCGAGTCCTCGATGGTGCTCTTCCGCTTCTGTTTCTTCTGCTGTTTCTTTTCCTCTGCCTCGCCATCGTTCTTGCTGGCCGACTGCGACTGCGACTGCGACCGCGACTGCGCCTGCATCCCCCCCGACCCATACCGAAAGACGCACCAAGCGCTCTCCTCGCCGCTCACCAGCATCGCGCCCTTCTTGCTGCTCTTGGCCGCGAAGCCGCGCAGCAGCACCGCGTCGCCGACGTCGAGCTCTGGCAGCGCCGCTTTCCACGGGCGAAAGACTTGGACGCGGACGGCGGTGGTGGCGTCGGCGGTGAGGGCACCACCGCCCTCACCGCCGACGCCACCACTACTACCACCACCATCACTGAGGTCGAGCAAGCTCGCATCCGTGATGCTGAAGATGGTGTGGTAGTCGCGCGGGCCGGCGGCGGCGCGGACGGGGGCTTTGTTGGGGCGGGTGCAGACGGCGAGGACGTCGACGAGCTGGGAGGGGGAGTTGACGTACGGGCGCAGGTTGGCGAGCGAGGTGAAGTATGAGTACGTGGTGCGGGTGCCTTGGGAGAGGGATTCCTGGAGCTGTTGTTGGGAGGGGGAGGGATGAGGCGGCGGGGACGCGTGTTTGGTGGCGGCGACGGGTTTCTGCGACTGGTTGGGCTCGATGAGGGTAGTTCCATCTGCCAGTTTGGGTGAGCCAGCCATTGTGGCCGAGGGTTTCTGTGACTGGCTGGGCTCGATGAGGGTCGTGTCGTCCGTCAACTTAGGTGAGTGAGACAATGCAACAGCGTTGTCGGCGACAATGGTGTCTTGACTGGGTTGTTCGACGCTTGGTTGAACAACGGTTTTCGTGTCCGTTGCTTGAGAGGCGCTGGGACTCGAGTGCGATGCTTGCGTCAGACGAGGAGTGGGTGGGAGATGATTGCCGCCACGTGCTTCTTGCACATCAGGCTGCACCTGGGATGGTTCCCAGCTGGCCTCGGTGGTATACTGGCTCGCTTCGGGGGTGAGGATGCTGCTTTCTTGTAGAGGCTGGGGACGGTTTGCTGGTTTCGCCGGATCAAGAGCGGGCTCAACCGGGGGTGACGACCGCACGGCTTCCAGCAGCTCATGTTCCACCATCGGAGTTTGGCGGGTATGAGCTGCGTCATCAGCGATCTGAGACTCATCGGCGAACTTGTGCGGCGAAGCCGCAACAGCTTCAACTTGACTGCCATGCACAACCTCTTTAGATGTAATGGGAGACCGAGCCTGCACGGTCTCTTGGGACTCGTCATTTCCTATTGATTGCGTGGTCTGCTCCTCCCTCATAGTTTCAAACGGAAATTGCGAGGTTCTCATGGCACGTAGAACGCTTGAATCGTCTTGCAGCATCGAAGAAGGTACAGGGCCAGCCTTGTCGAAGCTGTCTTGAAGAAGTGAGGATTGCCTGCTTTGAGTTTCTGGCTCTTGGGACGACTGTTGGCGTTCGCCTGTGTTGTCTTTCTTCTTAGCACCCCATACAAAGCCAAGCTCAGGAAAAGGAGAGGAGGAGCGATCCGCAAGCAAGTCTTCATCTGTATCACTTTCCAGCTCTTTCTGAAGTCTGAGATTCTGGGCTTCTTGCGGATCTTCAATAGAGCCTTGAGCAGCACGTGGAGAAGTGTCTGAGGTCGGTTCCGTAGCAACGGGAGTGATTGGGCTAATAGACGGCCGCACTATGCTTTCCTCCCGAGTCCGCTGCTCCGTTTGAGAAAGGTCACCGAGGATTTGACTCGGCCCTAAGCCAGCGGACGGCTCGAAATCTTGGGGTGCAAGGCCATCGGAAGGAACGGATGGCGATGACGGCCTTTGAGTCGAGATTGACGCATGGGAATCCCACTCGCATTCTGAGTCCTTGACTTCGATCCTTCTACGTCGCTGAGCAACACGAGCCGCAACCCCGGAAGCTCCTTGTGACGCACGCGGCGTTCGTGATGTCAGGGAGGAACGAAGGCTGCGCTTCTGGCTCGTGGACGGCGTAGACGTCCCAGCCAAGGAGACTGTCTCAATCGTCGACTGACGCGTCTCACGGGGATGAGAAGGCGATTCCTCTGTATGCTGGCGCGTCTTGCGTCGTGTTTGCGGAGTTTGGGGGAGACCAACAGAAGAGCTCAGATTTGCCTGATTCAAAGGTGGTTCATCTGCCTGTGAGGCTAGCCGAGTAGGCTTGGGTTCTTTGGGCAAGGCAGTTGTTCCGGCAGTTTTTGTCTGATCGTCAGTTTGTCTCTGAATTTCAGTTTGCCTCTGATCGTCAGCTTGCTTCTGATGAGCAAACGGCGAAGCTAATCGCACATCCGTAGATACGTCAGCAAACGACCCCTCTGCAACCTCGGAACTATCGCTTCCCAAATCAACAATCTCTACCGCTGATGAAGCCGGATGCTTCACTGCATGGAAGGTGAATGGGTCGCGCATCCGCTTTTGTGGGGTACTGGTAGGCGTTTCTTCAGTAGCTCTGGCTTCGTTTTCTGGCCTGGGAGTATATTCGCCCTCGGAGGGGGTTGCAGCCATGGCATCTGGCATGTCCCAATCGTCATCCTCAAACGTAGGCAGAGGCGTATCCGGCAAATGATCCACAGCAGGATACATGTCCGGTTCCTCTTCAGGTGCATGCTTTTCTGAATCTAGTATCAGAGATCCGTGCTCTTGATCAACCGGTTCTCGTGAACCTGGGGTACGCAGGTCTTCGTGTACTTTCGACTGCGCAACATCATGGACAGATTCTGTTCTCTGACCACCCTCGAGCTTGGTACTTTGACGTGAGTAGACATTCGTGTTGGTCTCAACAGGAGGACCAGTAGCGGACATATCAGTCTGAGTTTCCTGCTGCAAATCCACAATATCGACCTTGTCATGAGAAGCCTTGCGAGGTGCGCGTACGGCGGATAACACCGAGCCATCCAGACCGAAGGGATGAGATATTGTCTCACGTATGTTCAGCTGAGGCTCCTCCTGAGGTGCATTGGGAGCTTGCTGTAGCATTCGGGCCACTCTGTCAGTTTCATGATCCCCAGGTTCACTTTCCGCAACTGTCAAGGCCTCCTGAGATGCCTGAGCAACTGACATGGCTGTAGCTGGTCGTATTACTTGGTCTTCTTGCTGTCCCAGGCCGACATCAGTGATACTTGGAGCCTGTTCAGTGAGCGAGTCAGGGCGTGCATCCATATAGGACGACGGTTCTGTCGCACTCGGGAAAGGGGATGGTAATGGTAAAGCTGTTGAAGTGACCGGTTGCAGCTGTGGAGTAGATGGAGCATTGACAGGACCAATGGGCGGCGTTTTTGCGAGAGTCTTCGATGTTGCATCCGGTAATGACAAGTGCAGTACAGGTGGGGGCATGATAGGATCAGCGGATACTGCAGCGAGACTAGACGAAGGAGCTGCCTCCGATACGACTGCTGCCTGGTTTTCTACATCGGCAGACCGCGGCTCTGTTGGTTCGCTTTGCTTTCCTTCTACCAGCGGAGACGAAGCAGCGCGATCCGCAGGTTGCCCACGGGGCGTATTGACGTCTCGAATTGCGTCACTTGCAAGCTTTTCCCAAGCTTCATGGCCCTCGTCTACGCCAGACTCGACAAGTTGTCCCAAGGGTCTGGAATCAATGGGTTGATTCGGTCGTCGTTGACTGGGTGCTCTTATCGAAAGCTGTTGGTCTTCGCTCGTGTCTTCGTCTGTAGTAGACAAGCGAATAGGCGCTGACTGAACTCCGTCATCACGCCTTGCTTCTAAACCCTCATTTTCGGAATGTTCCGACCCTCGTTCTCCGGAGCTCATGTCGGCGGAACTCATCTCAAGGACCTCAATGCCATCCTCATCCGACTCCAGCTCTGTATCTCCGGCGGATTCCTCAATGCGTACTGATGCTGCAGCACTTGGAGCGGCTACATCAGTGTCAGTCACCACAGACGGTAGTGATTCGGCATCTGAATGTCCCTGAGTATCTTCAGCATCCTGTAATGAGAAATGCGCAGCAAGCTCATCTTGTGGCTCGCCCGGGAAGGCATCTACATCTGTGGCCTCTCCCTCGCCTTCATAAGCCTCTTCAAGATATTGCTCATACAAAGCGTCATCTTGTTCCTTGATGCTGTCCGGCAAGTGTTCCTTTTCTACTGGACGAGCGCCACTGGGCTCATTGCGGAAGGACTCGGGCACTAAGACTTCTTCTTCGTAGGCTTTAGGCTCGTTAAGCAAATGTGTTGCAGACTCGGGTGTCTCGGGAAGTGCAGGAGCGTGCGGGTCGGAAGCGAAGACCCTTTCGCTGGGACTAGCAAGACCATCTTCGTCTACAGACATGGCGTCACCCTTCTCGGGAGAAGGCGTCCGGGCGGCATAGGTCCAAACGCCAACATTTCTGAAGGATGTTCTCCTCCTCTTCCGGCTCTTTGATTCATCCTCATCTGCAAAAATATCGTAGTCTAAGAGCGACTCGCCCGAGAGGCGGCCGTATCTCAGGAAGGCGGGCGAAGACCATGTGTTGAAGCGCAATCCCTCAGCGCTGAATCTGCCGACAATCTTGCTCGGAGTATTGAGGAGAGCCTCCTCTTCGACCTCGACTTCTTCCGGCTCCGGGGTGCTGCGCTCAACTTGGATGTTTGCGAATTGCTTGCCGTCGCGAGTGACCAGCATGGCCAGGCTGTCTCTGAAACCCACTTCCCAGTCGACACTCTTCCCCGGGGTGCGCACAACATCCTCTTCACCACTTGACTGCAGCCATTGTACACCGCCGAGCTTCAGCACTACTCTGTCTCCAATCCCGAGTTGCGACGTCGCAACGGCGTAGGCGGCGTCTCCAAAGAATTGGGCGCGGACTTGGCCGCGACGGCGGCGCAGACGGAAGTCAGGATCGGCGAGAAGTAGGGCGCAGGTGCGGGTTGACGAGGAATACGGCCAAAGGATGGTGACAACGGCGGTAATGGACTTGGTAGCTGGGGCGGGCAAGGAAGGGTGGAGGGCTGCGATGGGGATGCGCTCGGATGCGACGGACGCCATGGCGGCGTGGTGATGCAGGTCACTGCTGACGGGAAGCAGACGGCATGGCGGACGAAAGTGTTGCAGCACGTTTTCACGTTGTCGTGCGAAGGAGTGGCGCGGTAGTAGCGGCAGTCGCGTCAGCGGAGGGGTGCTCCTGCCGGCTATGTCAGGCGCGTGCGCACAGTATTTCGGGCTGTCCATGATGCGGAGCCCACGCCTTCAACGGCCTCAGGCTTCGACTCCGTGCGACGAACTCTGCATTCACATCACGCAACCACGTTACATATCTACGTACAGTACAAAGGCCGACCAACACTTCCCGCAAGTCGCTCATTCTCCGAAATCACCCGACTGGAATTTCGGTGGCCTTGTTGGCGAGATGCAGGCAACACTGTCGTCCCTGGTCCAATTCGCCTCTACCACCGACTGCTTTGTCACCAAGATGCTGTGAGCCTCTTGAGGCGCGGGAATAGAACTCGCTGGCCTGGATGCCGAGCACATCGCATCGTGCCTTGTGCCCCAGCTCCAGTTCTGCACCCAAACACTGGGCCCAAGCGGGCTTTCGGGAATCGTGGGCAACCGCATGTTTCCCTGCGACGGGCCAGCCGTGTCGACAAGCCACGGAAACACTTTGCCCAACAGCGGCTTCATGGCCATGAGCGACGCGCATATGATGCCGACATTGGCCTCGATCGCTGACCAGATGATGGCCGAGATGCCTCCCTCTGGACGCCCTCGGTTAGCATGCCTCTGTACTTTACACCCTGCTTAGCACCCACCTTCTGCGTTGCCTGCCGCAGCGTACATCTGGACCAGCGACAGACGCAACACACTGACGATGCAAACGCTGCCACGTACGTTAGCGGGACCGCCGACCAGGCTGCTGACAGGGCACTCTCACAATCCACCAAGCGCAAACACGGCCGTCAATCCAAGCTTTTGCTTCAAAGGCAAATGTAGCCTCCTGAGCAGCGGCATTGGGAGCAGCCAAACGACGAAGTCCATTGCTATCCCAATGGAAGATGTTACCACCCAGTATGTCTCTGGGTCCCTGCATGTTCCCGGCAGAAGAGGGTTCCAATATCTCGCAACAGGACGGCACATGAATATGCCACCGAAGAACCCGTATAGCGCCGCCCCGAAGACCACGACGAGAAGTGCCTTGCACAGCTTCTGTGCCCAACTTTCCTGGAAGAGTCGAAGGTATTGGAGAAGAAATGACGCCTTGGTCGCATTGATGAGGATCTGATATAACAGATTGCTGCAGAGAACCAGCTGCCGAGTCCCAAGCGTCAGACGGGTCTTTGTGTTTTCCCTACAGGGTCAAATATCCTTACCAGCGCCAGCTTCGACACGTTTTCTGCTTCCTCTTCCCACTTGTGACCAACCATCTTTAGCGCAACGGAGACCTCGCCGCCCACTACTCCAGTCATCGTAATGGAGAGCATCTGGGCCTCCAGTCAGCATGGAACTCGAAACTAGTCATGCCGACTTACATGAGAGGAAAGAAGGACCCAATCCTCAAGCTTTGGTGACCGCGAGAGGCACGCTTTCGAATACATTCTCAACGACACGGTAATAGTCGCGAGGATCGTGAAGAGCAGTGCCGGCAGCAGCGCATGCCATCCTATCTGGACTGGTTCCTCGGCCTGCACAAACGGTGATTTTCGTTCCACGTGCGCGTACAAAAGCGGCGAGACATCTCTGACGAAGAGGCTGCGATGACGATGGAGGGGCGGTTCCCTTGGGCTCTCACCTATCATTTCGACCAGCAGAGACTATACGGCTGGCAAGGGCAGGTCTGGGGTTTGAGAACAGAAACAGGCGAGAGTTCCTTTCCAATGCTGGACGCGATGCTGTCTGGTTAAAGAGCGCACCCGTCCGGCAAACAAGCAAAAGGCCGTCTTGCAAAACCTCCATCATCAAGTCCTCGATCCATCCCTGGTTTCCGTGTCTTCTCAGAAGCAAAACACGTACCTTTTACGAATAGACTCTGGAAGTTCCCATGGCGCACAATGTCCGCTACCAGCGATGACCAATGAGACGCCGCAACCGGATGGCCCATCGCATCGTTACGCAAGTCTTTGACGTTAGCACAGTAGCTGCTGGCGTGTGAAGATGAAGACTGGTACAGGTGAGCGAGGGAGGACTTGGCACCCTCACAGCGGAAGGAGATGGCGAAGTTCTTGACAACAACAAAGACTGTGGCCAGGGCTTGTGACATCAGTCCATCTCCTTCCCATTATCACGGAAAGGCTATGACGCAGGGTCCTCTTACGAGCTAGGTGGCCCACGGGGCGGGAAACGTGAGCCTTTCCTGCATGTCGAGCCTCCCGTCACAGCGGCCGCGTGAAAGGCACGCTCGCCAACTCACGCAACGATGGCACCATTTTCGGGTGGCTGCATTCCACAGGAACCTTATCACCCAGCGAAGAGCGTGCGCTCATCCCTATAGGGAAAAAGACTCGCGAGGAGCAAGGGACGATCTGATGCGCCTGCTGCCTCGGGCTAGCGCCCTGGCTATTTCGGCTCGCTGGCGATCTGCCGCCTCTGCTCCCCGGTCACCCGCCACCAAGCAGCCTCGACACGAACTCAAGTAAGTGGCCAGAGAAGGAAACCCCTCATGCCGCACCAGCCCGAAACAGGATGCTGTCCGTGCTACCTCGGATTCAACACGAGCACGTCGAGATAGCATCCGGACAAGCTACAAGCATCAAAACCGATGAGGCTGTAGAGGCACGACTGTTCCTGCCACCAACATTCCCCTCACCATTCTCACTGTTGCCACTTGGTTAGATTTTCAGTGCTGTGACTAACGCTCGTCGATTATCATGAAGGACCTCAGCACAGATAGTGATCGAGCTGATGAGGAAGGCGAATACTATCTTGGCCGCTTCGGTGCTCGCCACGGCTCGTAGATAATCCTTGCTAGCACGACAGCACCCTTACACACCTCCCCACATCAGCATAATCGCGAGAGTAGCCCTCTCAACACAACCGAAGTTCCCCTATACAATTTTCTCTTGGCTGGTGACGCCGTCGCCATCTCGGTGCCATACAGTCTCCGCGGAAGTGCCCATGTTCTTCTCGCCAGGTCGATCGTGCTTCCAACACATCTTTTCGTAATTACACCCACAAGCGAGTCTGCAGACACACAGCACCATTGCCACTATGTAGATCAAGGTAAGATAAGTTGCCCGTCAAATGGGACAATGCAAGAAGTCGAGAGAAGCGGCTAGCCACACATCAACTGACGACACCACTGGGGTCCATGGAAACTTATGAGGCAGACGGCATTCGTAAAACCTCGAGTCCGGGCTTTCTACGTAGGAATCGACCAGCTTTTTTGCGTCACCCGAAAGGAGCAGCGGAACAGCGGTGCCAGGCTTCGGACGGATAGACGACAGCGGGGTCTTTTCGCTATCCTGGGAGGTTCTGGACTGAGTCCGTGCCTCTGTGGTCCGTCACTTGCCCAATATTCTCCATGGCCGTAACTCGCAGCATCTATGCACGGCGCTACATCCTGGAAGCGATCAACGGCATGAAATCAGGATTAAAGTTTTTAGGAGGTTCGCGGAATTACGTCAAAGCCGGCAGAGGATGCAGCAGATCAATACCCAGCGGCGCCATCCGATACTCGATGCCTTCCCAAACCACGCTTGCATATCAAAACTTCGCTCCTCACCCCTGCCACCTGGCTTCGACGATAGCTGCCATGGCTTTGCACAGTATCGGCTAGCCCGTAGCTCATGGTCGGAGCTGTCACCGCTTCTTGTCGCTACTAGCAATACTCCAACCGCCAGATAGGAGATGCCCTTTGTAGCGATGGACACAGTAGCGTATGCAGGGACAGCTCATCTTTCATCGCTATCGATCACACGGGCGCTACAGCACCAAGTGCAAGTGGCAATCACAACGGCGATCAGTGCTGATGATTTCATAGCGGTGGGGCTTGACCGGGCAGATTGCCTTCTGTATCGCCCATTTCAAAACGCATGCACGCGAGCGGAGTGTACCATGTGTAACTCAAATCATGTTCAACAACAGCCCTAGTCGTTTGCGGAGCGATCGTCTATCCTTATTGTTCCTTCGCTGCTTCTTGACGAGCCCCGGCAATTTTGCTGCCAACCACGAGGCCGATAAGGGTCCAGAACAGAATGCATGGGTTGGGATCCATGGTCGTGCGGAACCGGGTTGACAGTTGTCGTGCTTCCGCTGCACCGGTTGTGTGACGACGGATGCGCGGACCTTTGCGGCAAAAAACCAAGGGTGGCCGAGATGGTGGTCTTCCAAATAATGGGAGTGTTTGTGGCTCGCACGGCTAGGTATCAGGTGAAGACAGAAAAAACAACAAAGCCAGATGCAGAGCGAACCAACGCCGCCGATTGCAAATACTCAAAAGAGTATTCACACACATCCGTGGTATGCTGATCTACGCCAAGCAGCCACAAGCACCCTTGTACTCTGCGCGGTGGGTGTCTTGACGTTTCTGGGAGCTCTGTCCGGGTGTCTTGGCGCGGCGGCTGGGGCTTTGACGTCTCCGACAACGGCGATGATCTTATGTGGACACAAGACCAACAACCGCGATTTTCTAGAGGGGCGCTCGTGGCCAATGCTCGCGCCGACTACCTTGTACTGGCTCGCCAAGCTTTGAGACGCCAAAAGGAAGGGTCGAGGGTTGAGGAGCGAGGAAAGGCTCGTGTGGGAATGCTCCAGCAACAGTGAGCACCTCTGATGAAAGCCGTCCCGGCGGCTGGAAAAACGGCAGAGCGGCTGGCCAGCGGCGGCTGTGTGCCTGTGAATTTTGCAGCAGCGCCGCGGAGGAGGACTGGCCCCCGCGTTGATCATCAAAATGGCCCGGACGCTTCCATGTTAGTCGGCGGCCAGGGACGGAAGGGAAGGTGCGACGCGACCTCGCTAAATCAGACGTCGAGAACCCACCTCGCTCGCTTTCTTCGCGCTGCATGCCTGCCCACCGTCGTGTCCATGGCATGTGAAGTTCCTAAGGCTGCATCGGCGATACCTCCCATCGCTGGACCACTGGATTCCTCCCTGGACTCTGGGCCCGGACGCCCGTTCTCTTGGTCACCTCATCCCGCACTTCTGCGGCAGCTGTCCCGATGAGTCTCACTCCCCCAGCGGCTGCAACTGACGTTATCGAGAGTTGATGTGGACCAAGATTACGTTTAGTAACATGGTAGCCCAGCAGCCCAGACACGCAACCACCACCGCCTATCTAGTCGGCCCATTATCATGTTTGATCATCAAATTACTCGAGCATATAGGCTCTGCTCCTCCTGGCTCTGCAGGGGGTATGCCAAGGGAATCTTCTTCTAACGCCAGATAACACATTCATGGTGCTATGCCATCGTGACGCATGAGAGCTTCCATCGCAACCACCGGCTGACCAAGATACGCGTCTGCTTTCGATGGAAAGAGAAACCAAAGAGCTAGGAGCTCCAGCAACCATCAGAGAACTCTCTGTGATGAGCTGACGGAAACCCCACGGCGAGCGGCGAAGTGTCTTACGAGCTCAGAAAGCATCGAGTACCGCCTGAATAGCACCAGGAATCGGATTTCGACGGCACTCCGCATCGCCAATCGCCAGGGTTATTTCCCGACGTCTTCGTATCGACATCCACCGGCATGGTCTTATCACTCTCGAGCCGACCAGATGGAGGACTTGGCCAGTTGGATGCCAGCGCAGGCCAGATGTCAACAAGATGACATAGGCATTCGCCTTCAACTCAAAACGTCATACTTCTCAATCCAGCCTCGATCGACTTGGAATCACGCGAACCATCGAGAGATCGCTCCTGCTTCCAGTCCTGTGAAGACGGGTTGCAGTGTTCTGAGCAGCCAAAGCCATGGACTGACGTTATCGCAGTCATGCATCCCAACTCAAAGTCCCGGCAGTATGGAAAGGTAAGGAAAATCATTAGACGAGCGTGGGACGTGCGCGCGTGGAAACAAATTGTCTTGACGCTCTCTCGCCTACGCACGCTGAGGAATGTGGAAAACGGAAGGACGGCAGCGCTGTAAACAATCGTCTTTTTCCAGGAAGCTCAAATCACCATGGCCCACCTTCCAATATCTGGGCCGCTGCAACCCGCTAATCAGCAGCCTGATTGAGGTAGACTGCCGATCACGAAATGCCAAATAGGGTATGGTTCCTCTCTTTACTTCTTCCCTTCCCCCACGTCACGATACCTATTTCCGGCTTGAGCTCCCGATTGCCACAGCTATCGCCTCTACAACGCGCCACATTGACTCGTACGCCGCTGTATGTCCCACTCTGTGCCCACTATTACCATCAAGGGTCCTTGATACGTTGGGGCTTCTTGGTCTTGCTCTGCTGCTATAAAGCACTCTCTTAAGTGACCTCAATGAGCCTCGAGTCGCAATCAAGGCCACCCACTCTCAGCCTCTCTGGACCATTTTGCAGAGCACATTGATGACTCTTTGAACACGAACTACTCAATTCCTCGTAGCGTCCCCGACTTTCAGGCTACGCCCGCATCTGTTCATATCACCATCTATCACAACCGCTCTCCAAATTGGAATATGTCAAGACAACATACTTCTGGTGAGTCCAATTTTGTATTGCCAAGTTCGACGTGGCAGGGAGCTCAAGGGAAAAACTAATGAATTGAAAGACAACGACACACCGCCATTCAGCAGCAAGTTCACTGAAGGCGAACGTCCTGCAAGCGCTCATGTATCGGCCCACCATGAGTCTCCAAGCTCAACACACGGGCCACTGACGGAGCTCGCGTTGGCCAGGTCGTTGGCGAATGTCGACGTTCGCCCCGACTTCGAGCACGAGCCAAAGGACTTCCAACCTTTTGACGAAGATGCGGATAGTTCTTCCGCTGACAACAGAGACCTCGAAAAGGACCATTCTTACCGTGATTCGGCGGGCTCCTCTTCGCTGGCCCCTACAGCAAAAGCATATGACCCCACTCAGTTGCTCGAGCTTCCCCCGCAGCGCGGACCGCGTCTATATCGCGACTTCAGGTGGCGATTCTTCACTGTCTACCGTAAGATATACACCGTTGTTTTTTTGCTCAACCTACTCTGGGGTGTCGTCGGTTTCTATTTTGCCGGTTTTGGCGACAGCGTTTACGACTCCGGCAAACTTGCTTCCGACTCAGTTGCAAGCGCCGTTGCTGTCAATGTCATGGTTGGCATTGCCGTTCGCAACGAACACGTCATAAACATACTCTTCTCGACGTTTATCGCAACACCTCATTGGACGCCGCTCTGGTTACGCCGTTCCTGTGCCATGATTTACAGTTACGGTGGCTTCCACAGCGGCTGTACTACCGCCTCGGCGGCGTGGTACGCCATCTACACGGGTGTCGCCATTCGAGAGTACACCAGCGGACGGCAGCCTTCCCCGGTATTCGTGATCCTGTCCTCCATTCTGCTCTCGCTCTTCGTGGGAATCATCATCCTGGCCCTGCCAAATTTGCGCCAAAAGTACCACAATCACTTCGAAGGCATGCACCGCTTCGCCGGCTGGACCGTCCTAGGCATCTTCTGGGCGCAGCTCATCTCCTCGGCCATCCTCGGAGGCCGAATGATGAACAAGGCCCCCGGAATCGTGCTCATCACCTCGTCCGCGTTTTGGTTCCTCACCACGGCCACCCTATTCGTCATCTACCCCTGGGCACGTCTCCGCAAGTATCCCATCGAGGTCGACAGCTTGTCCAACCACGCGATCCGCATCCACTTCGCCTTCGGCCGACCCGCGCTCTGCTCGGCGATCCGCATCGCGGACCGGCCGCTGGTGGAGAACCACTCCTTCGCGACGATCCCACGACAGGACGGCAAGCCTGGCTTCTCGGTCGTCATCTCGTCCGCGGGCGACTGGACGCGGCGCGTGATCTCGACGCCGCCGAGGTCTCTGTACGTCCGCTCCGGGCCCAACCAGGGCATGGCGGCCGTCACGCGGCTCTTCAGCCCGGTCGTGCTCATCGCCACGGGCAGCGGCATCGGACCCTGCCTCGGCTTCTTCGTCGGGCGCCCCGGCCACGACGTGCGCGTCATCTGGAGCACCAAGAACCCCCTCAGCACGTACGGCCCCGCCGTGCTGGACATGGTCACCGCGGCCGATCCCCACGCCCGCATCATCGACACGGACAAGACGGGCAGACCCGACATCGTGAAGCTCGCGTACACGGCGTATCGCGAGGCTGGCGCGGAGGCGGTGTGCATCGTTTCCAACAAGAAGGTCGTGGACATGGTGGTGTTTGAGATGGAGAGCAGGGGAGTGCCGGCTTATGGTCCTATTTGGGATTCGTGATCGCGATATCGGTGGTGGCCTGGCCTGGTCAGTTTCGTCATGCTCTCTTTTGCTCTACAGTCTGAAGGTGGGTATCTTTTTTTTTTCTTTCCACAAGCTGTATATGTCGCAATCTTTACGGATAGGTATTTCTCATTTCATCTCGCCGCTTTTTGCTTGTTTGTCGGCAGGCTTTCTTTCGTTTGTCACACCTGTCAATCACGCACCCCTGTCAACTGACGTTGAAATGGAGTCGTTTTGGCTTGGAGGGATCTTTGTGGAGACTGTGGACTTTGAGTTGTCACTTTTGGTTTGCTTTTTCTCCCTTTCCTCTTTTTCTTGCTCTTTTTTATTTTTTCCTTCTATTTCTGCTGCAGCCCTTTGAGACAATAGAAGCAGGAAAATCGCACGCGCGCACGCAAGTCGGAGCACTGCAGTTTATTCTTTGCGTTTTGTTTCTCATTAGTTACCTGGCTCGTAAGTTTCGGTCTGACAAAGAGCAAGTTGGTAAGGAGAGGGCGAAAATGGTGAGGCGCATTTGTATCGCTGGAGTAAGCCAGAGACCATGAGGATCTGTGGTACTGTGTCGTAGCAAGAAGGTTGCAAAAGGGAGGATCGGAATCTTACCGGCGTAGACATCATGCAGCTAGAACAGTCAGTCTTTTTTTTTTTTTTTTCCAATGCCTAACGATCTGACGTTTGCTTACGACTATTCGACCAACGTTGGTGCATTGGGGAGACTTATTTTTTCTTTGGCTTTGTCTATTTGTCCTATGTAGCTAGCGTAGAATCCTTTTTTCTTCCCTATCGATTTACTTCAAGATGTAGATGTCGTGTTCCTTGTTGACTCGGAGACAGGCAGGTATCACGAGCAATGCAAAGCACGGTACTCCAAAGCATGACAGTACGGTAGTAGACACGTTGCCGCGCGTGACGCACGAGAGCCCCGACCCCGCTCACAGCCGGGGGACAAACCTACATCTATCCCACATGGGTAGTGGAACCCTGGACCTGGACGGATTTGTATAGTTTCAGTGCTCGCATCTTCATCCGGATATCTGCTTCAGCTACTCATGAGGAACAGTGGTTTGATACCACATCTACGCCGGCACACTTGGTTCAACTGCCCACAAAAGATCCCGGTGGGATCGGTTTCCATCGTCACCTACTGTGCCTTATTCCATCGGGGTGCATTGTAAGTGGACACTGCGGTGCCTGGTACCTGGATCTGTCAAGAAGACATCGGCCGATGACTGGCTAGGCCAGATCGATCGCAGATGGGGGTGAATGAGCTAGTAAGTTTTCAGCCAGTGGTTAGAGCTGAGTATTACGTCATTCGAGGTTGGGACCGTCGTGAGCTTTGGAGTGTGTTTTGATCGCTACATTGTTTTCCCGGACGCCCTGGGCACGTTCCCCGTTTCTCTTTCGTGGAGGAGCAGAGTGTTTGATGTAGAGATGGATGGGGCAGTCTCAGTCTAAAGAGCTTGGCCGTGAAAAGGCTGTGTGAAAGTGATGGCAGTCGTGGTTGTGATTTCTTTGCTGGACACTACTACTACTACTGCGTGGCTGACAAGATTCTTTTTCAGGGATTTGAAATCAAGCATGTACGGCACATGGAAAGGGAACCAAGGGGTGAACCGATGGCGAAAGTGGGAACAGAAATGGAAAAGAGCATGATGGAATGGCGGCGACGCCGCATGCGCGTGGCCGCCTGGATGGCGCTTCTGCCGTTTCACGATCTGCACGCAGGTCCCGCGTTGTTTACGACGGTTGTTGGCTGGAGCGGCTTCGGATTCGCACTTGGCGGACGGCGAAGTTCACGGGGCCCGAGGTGGTGGTGGAGAAGCTGGGGGCAGAATGCCCAGGTGCCAGCTTCACAGGCGGATCCTTCTGCGGACGCCACGGTGCTACCTCCGCGGTAGGGCGTTGCTAGGATTCGTGAGATGACAGATAGCAGAGACCATGGCGGCGAGGAGCTACTGCGGACCAATCCTAGGCGCTGGGCCCGGTATCAGTCTCCGTCTCTTCCTTTTGTTCTCTCGCTCTGTTCTCGCGAGACACGGGTTCGAGACGCCATCCTGCCCGCCACGTGCCGCCACTGGGCTGTTGCCGTCACCGGCGTGCTGCAGATGGCTTGATGAGAGACGGGAAGGAGAGGGTGTTCATGCGCGTCCAAAGCTCGGGATGTGCACAGCGGGTGGAGCGTGCTCGGGGGCCGTGCCAGCGATCAGCCGACTGGGCACGGTGGTTGCTCAGCGGTCTTCACGCAAACAAACGGCAGTCGGCAAGGCAGGCGCCGGCAGAGGTTTGGAGCAGCTGGAAGCCTGGAAGAGCGCTGAGGTCGGGCCGTCTGTTGGGCGGCGCAGTCAGCGAGGCCGCTGGCGCTACGACTGCGGGGGATCCAAGGACGCGGGCCCGAGCTCGCTTACCCTGCGACATTTGTCGCGCCCATTATTCCAAATCACCACCTCACCACCACCACCTAGCCCCGACTCAGCCCGCACTCGGCCCCCAAGCTCCCCAAACGCCTGACCGACTGTTTTCGACCCCGATTCGTTTCAGCATGTCCGTGCTGCGTATTTGTCACTCCGCCAGACACGCCCGCTCCCTCCCTGGCCCCAGGCGCCTCCTCATTGGCCCGAGCATCCATCCTGCCTGAATGCTGCTCCGATCCAAGCCTGTTGCCCACTTAATCTCGGGCCTAGCTCTGCGATGCCGTGATCCATCTGGAATGCAAACGTCCACCCGGCATACCCGTCCATATTAAGCTCTTTGTCTCCCTCCTCGCCCTCGCCGGTTTATACATCGCCTGCGCGTACCCGAAATCCCACCTGGCCCTCGTAACCTTGCTCGCACCATGACCACCCCTTCTGCGCCTATCCAGACCTTGCCTCGCAGATCCGAGTCCAGGAAGACGTCGAGGTCCCATCCCTACCTGGAGCCGAGACACGCTTCCTCCATCGAATCCTGGAACCTGTCTGTTCCCGGTCGCTCCATCCAGGCCCACGCTCAGCGCCAACAGTCATCCGCATCCGATCCCGCCGTCATGGCCTACCTGCAACTGAAGATGGCTCTACTTCGGAGAAAGACCGACTCTTAATGCAGATGATCAGTTCCTCTGTCTCTGATTCACCACGAATTCCGTGCAGTCCAAGGATGTTGAATACTGCTTTCTTGAAGCACCTCCTTCATCCATGCCGACGATGCGGGTCATCACCACTGGGCAGCTTTATCCGGCCTCTCACTCCCTCTCTCTCTCTCGGACTTTCTGCTCCGCTCCTCACTTGACCGTCTTGAAAGCCTCTCGTCTCAGGTCGTGTTTCGACGATTTGGTCCATCCGTCCGACTCTGACGCTGTTCACCAGAGGCCTCGCTCGGCCGACCGCCACTCCTGTCTGTTGATGATTCCTACATAATGTCAACACAATAAGGATTCTACCATTAAGGATACTCGAAAGCAGCTTTCCGGTTGGCCTGCAGATTGTAATGCTTTTTTGTATCATTCTGCTTCATTGCTCTTCGAGCCGCCAGACCCATAGGAGGGGTCCTGGTTGCAAGCACATTCATGTAGCAGAAAGAGCCCGGTCCTGCCGGACGCAGCGATGTATAGGGAAGATGCCCCCAAGCGGTGGAGTTTTGGCGTCTTGTTTTGTTCAAGATTTACGACTGCCTATGATGGCGTTTGCTTGTCGCCGATGACATAGCTTTGACAAGTTTTGCATGAAAATGAATTAATGCCTGTCTTTGAATTTTGCAATCTGCATTTGTCAGTGTTGTGGTAATCACATGCGGCTGGAGGCGACAGGGGAAACTGTTGAGCAATTTAGCCTTTCCTGCAGTCAGCGTCAGCAGGTCCCAGCGGGAGCACCCAGCCGAACTGAGGCTCCCCGTCCCGGACTGCCGAAGCCGTTGGCTGGCGTTGTGGGACGCGGGAGCACGTGACGTGAGTCGTGGCCTGAGGAACCAGGACGCAAACGCCAAGCCCGCGCCTTGAAACTTTCCCGAGCGGTGCGGACTCTCGGCGGTGGTGCAGCAGTGTCGACAACACCACGACCACCCCCACCCCCGTCTGCCGCCAACCCTCCAATGCTCCTCCCGCGCGCCCAAGCGCCCCTCCGGGCTGCCTTGGCTGCGTCGTCACGCACGGCGCACGCCTCCACTTCGCCCGCTGCCTCGCTGAACGTCCTCGATGTCCTCCGTGCCTCGCTCGCTGCCTCGTCGCCGTCCCCAAATCTGACTTTCGTCCGTCACGCCACGCATCAGGCCCAAGGTCGCGCCAACGGCCCCAAGAATGGCGCAGGAAAAAGATTGGGAGCGAAGAAGACCGGAGGTGCGTATACCCGCGTCCTGAGTGTCCGCAACCACGACCTACCTCATAAGAGCTCTCGCCCAACAACATTGAACCTCCAATCCACGCTCAAAGACGCCCTCATCTCTCCCGCCATTGCATGCTTGCATGCCTGAAACTATGTGCTAACGAAGTCGCCCCGTCTGCTTGACATAAACAGAACAATACGTCGTCCCAGGCAACATCATCTTCCGCCAGCGCGGCTCGCTCTGGTTCCCGGGCGAGAATTGCGCCATGGGCCGGGACCACACAATCCACGCGACGGCGTCAGGCTACGTAAAGTACTACCGCGACCCGGCCAAGCATCCGAAGCGTCGCTACATCGGCGTGGTCTTCGAGCGCACGCAGACGCTGCCGTCGCCGCCGCACGCCGCGCGCCGCCGGAGACTGGGCATGATGGCCGTGCCAAGGGCTGACGCTACCGATGCGCTGTCGTCGGTGGAAGGAGAGAGGAGCGGGGATCTGACGCATCGGGTGCACAAGAATGGGGTGGATGTGAAGCAGGTGCCGGCGAAGAAGAAGAAGAACATTCCGGAGAAGAACCTGACCCTGCGGCCCGGGTACATGTACCGCGAGGCGAACTGGGAGATTGGCCGGATTGCGGAGCGCGCGGGCGTGGCGGACAAGGTCAGCAAGTTCGTGCCCGGCGATCGGTTCAAGGCGTGGCGGAAGGCGACGGCGAGGCAGGCGAAGATTGCCGAGAAGAGGAGCATGCGTGGTAGGAAGGTCAAGAAATAAGCGCGCGCTGGGGCAAGGGCATGTTCTTTTGGGCGAACTAGGGACTAGCTTGAGCAGACGGTATGACCATAAAGAACGGGTCTTGCTCAGTAGACTTCTTCGGGTTGGGTAATGGTCATGTAAAACAGGAAGCATGTATACAGGTATATCCACGATTCGAGAGACATCAAAGAGAGTGCTTTTCTTTTCACCTCTTGCTTTGTCGGAAACCCAAATCCTCTACGTGTGTATGGTAAATCAATTCATTGTTCAGTGGGGCTGCCCCCGCACCCGTCATTTTACCTCTGTGTCAACGCCGGATGACGACGCGCGCCGCCCCCGCGCTATCGCTCCGCAACGACACGACACTCTCACCACCGAACCAACCGCCCCCCCAACCAAACTTCCGCCCAACCTCTTTCCGTTCCAAACCTCCGATTCCGACCGTTTCCACCACTACCTATCCCTTCACCCCTTCGAGCCACCACCACTTACCACCAACTATCGTCCAACGCCAAACCCGCGAAACCCCTCTTAACCCCCCGCAAGCGCTCCCCCGAAAAATAAAAAAAGAGGAACGAGGGAAAACAGAAAAAGTACAACAGGACAAGACACGGAAGAAGAAGACAAGAGAAGAAGAAGAAGAAGAAGAAGCAGAAAAAGGATCCAAAGATGGCCAGCTCCACGCCCTCCGTCGCGTCGAAGCGGCTGTTCCACGAGTACAAGGCGCTGTCGTCGGACCCGCCCGAGGGCATCACGGCGGGGCCGGTCAACGAGGACGACATGTTCGTGTGGGAGGCGCTGATCCAGGGGCCCGAGGGCACGCCCTTCGACGGCGGCCTGTTCCCCGCCGAGCTCAAGTTCCCAAAGGACTACCCGCTCGCCCCGCCGACGATGCGCTTCCTGTGCGACATGTGGCATCCGAACGGTACGTTTTGTTTTTTGTTTTTCCTGTCTCTCTCTCTCTCTCTCTGGGGCTTGTTCGAGGTCCATTGGAGGTTTCGCTTGCTTGCCTGCTTGCTTACTTCCTCTCTCTCCCCCAGTCTACCCCAACGGCACCGTCTGCATCTCCATCCTGCACCCGCCCGGCGACGACCCCAACCACTACGAGCACGCGTCCGAGCGGTGGAGCCCCATCCAGAGCGTCGAGAAGATTCTCATCTCCGTCATGAGCATGCTGGCCGAGCCCAACGACGAGAGCCCCGCCAACGTCGACGCCGCGCGCATGTGGAGGGAGAAGCGGGCGGATTACGAGAAGATCGTCAAGGACAACGTCAGGAAGTTGTTGGGCCTGTGAGACATGGACGCAGGGAGAGAGAGAGAGAGAGAGAGAGAAGTAGGAGAGGAGGAATGCATGAGTGGAGCTTTCTGCCCCTCGGCTCTACGGAGTTAAAGGCATGTGCTTACTTGGGCTACTACTACTGTTACTGCTTAGGGAGCGGGTCTGGCGTTCGACGGTAGGTTTGGGTATTACGGAAGTATACACGCACCAGTCCTTGGCCTCCTTTGCCGGTCTTGGAAATAGTCCTTAAAAAAGTGCTCATTCCTTGTCTGTAGATAATACTTAGACTCCTGCTCCCTGGTACATACTTATGAAGGCTGAAAACCCGAAGAGGTGGCTTGAGGGTGCTCGAAAACTCCAGTCATCTGTAATCAGATTCTCAAAAGAGGTAACTTTAGACTTGTCACCTGGTGAGTGCAATCTCAACTATTAGTTCTGAGTCACATCTACAAGTTTTGAGAGAGGAGAGTGTCTGCGTGCTACTACTCCAATAAAAAGAATTGCCGAAAATCCCCGGGCCGTCAGAGAAGAAGAGCCCTCTTCAAAACAAGTCAGTCCAATCGAACCCATCGCCTCCACCATCACCGCCGCCGCCGCCGCTACTCCCCCCACTCGTCGGTGGTCCACCACCATCCCCCTTGCCCCAACCACTCCACGGGTCCTGCTCCCCCCAGACCTCGCCACCCTGCTGCTGACCGCCACCACCGCCGCCACCATGCCCGGGCGGCTGCGCTCCACCCGCCCACGGCTCATTATTGCCAGCGACCGGGCTGGCGTCGTCCGCGGCGCCCGCTCTGCTCCGCTGCATCGCCTCGTACCCCACCATGGTGCCCGCGCCCGCAGCCGCCGCACCCACCCCTTCTTCTCCCGCCGCCGTAGTCGTCGTGACGGCACCCTCGGCAGCGCCGCCAGCGGCAGCGCCCTCTGCGGCAGCGCCCTCTGCGGCAGCGCCTCCTCCTCCGCCGGGGAACCAGATGGGGATGGGCATGCCGAAGAAGCCGCCGCCGGCGCCCGAGTGCCGCGAGAAGTAGTCGAAGTCGATGGAGACGGCGGTGGCGAGCATGACGGCGCGCTGGTCGAGCGTCATTCCGGGCTGCTGCTGCTGCTGCTCCGTCATCCCCTTCTCTGCATCACCTTGGTTCTGCTGTTGCTGAGCCGTGGTGGTGGTGGTGGTGGTGGTGGTGGTGTCCGAAATCAGATTCTGGGGTTCTTGATGTGCCAGCGCGGCGGCATCCATGCGCAGCGCATAGACACCCGTGTCGGTGAAGACTTCGCGCGCCAAGCCGCCAAAGTTGCGGTTCACGCTGCCGAGGAGCTGGTCGCTGTCTGACCGCAGGGTGAAGTCCCAGGAGAGCCAGGGCTCGTTGACGTAGGCGAATTGGAGAAAGGATTGGTGGTCTGGGGCGGTGGCGGAGCCGGGAGACGGCGAGACTGGTTGAAGAGCTGTGGATGAGGATAAGGGGAGGTCCCCAGAAGTGATTTGCGGAGTGTTCGAGTCGAGAGGGTGGAGAGTGGAAGGGTCGCGGGCGAGGAAGAGATTGTATTTGCGGCGGAGGGGCGCCCATTGTTGTTGGGCTTCGCCGATGACACGCATGGCGGAGAGGGGGAGTTGAGATATTTGTGAGGAAGTCTGAGAATCGATTGACGTGACACTTGTGCCATTTAGGGCGTCAGACGAGGCATATTCCTGGTCAGTGCCGTTTATGCAGTCGTAGATGCGGATTTTCGAGTTGATATAACTGAAAGGTCGGTGGAACTAGACATGTCAGTCCAGTAATTATGATGGGTAGGTGTATGCAATGCTTACTCTTAGGACTTCCCGCTCATGTTTGTCAAATACGTGTGTTGTGAAGCTTCTGTGCGTCTTGAACATTTGCCTTGCCATTGAACTTCCCAACCCGTTCTCTTGCTCAGCCAAATATCCAATATGGTTGCCTTGGCCATCCATGATGACGTATCTGTTAGCTTGCTCGAAGCCCAAGAGAACGTTCATCATTTCCAACTGTCTTTGGACGACAATGGTAGAGTTGGCTAATATCGACATGGCCGGGTGATCGGGCTTCAGAACGCTGTGAGGATCATCGGGAATGTTCACAGGTGCTTGTAGGTTGCCCTCTGAAGCTGCAGCACTCTCGCGGAGAGCAGCCGATACCGCCTCGACCCTTGATGGTACATTCTCGGGTTGCTCTGGCGGCTGGTTTGGCTGAGCTGGAGTCGGTTCGGGATTGCTCTTTCTAGGAATTCCAGAAACACGGCCGGCTGGTGTTCTACCAAGGGGTTGCCGTGTGGAGGCGCCCGGCTTCGACCAGGCACGGTGTTGCTTTCTCAAAGGGGCAGCACACAGCGGCGATGATGTGCTCAGTGTCCGCGTAGGCGTACGCAGGGTCACCGTGCGGGCTGCTGTCCGGGCGGATAGTCGAATCAGAGGCATGGCATATGTGTGTACGGCCTCTAGGCTCTTGCGACGTGGACAGGCAGGAGCCGAGTCTGAATCAAGAATGTCGAGGCTGGTCTGTTTGCCAATGCAACGTGATAAAAGAGTAAAGGCTCTTAGTCGGACGCTTCGTCAGCACTTTAATCATACATGGGCGTCCGTACAAGCGTTTCACCCGCGCCTCTGCAGTTGCTCCAGCCGTTACCTCGCACACAGCCTGTGATCTATCGCAGTTGTAAGTGACTTGCGTACAACAGAATGCGACAAACGAAGTGTTCCAGGGAAAGTGTCGGGAGGGTGGAAGGAACGATGACGGAGACGACGGTCTTGGCTCGAACGGGTTTAGCTCCACGCTAGCCGGCGGACCCTCAACCTTAGGTTTTTTTCCGCAAATTTCGTCCATCTCAGTCATCGCACCACTGCAACCATGTAAGCTACTTGCAGCCCGACACCGCTGTCGCAACCACATCCACCTTTCTGCCACGAGGCTCTACCCGCCGGCATCCGTGAGTCGCCAGGCGTCTCCTGATGGACCCCCAGCGTCGTCTCGCGTAATCCAACCATCTTGGTGAGTCAACCTGCCTTTCCTTCGTCACCTGCACCCATGCCCTCTATATGATGACACCAAGATTTCATTCCCACAATGGGAGCGACACTGACTTTCGTCGCTCTCGATGGTGGTCTCGATTTCACAGACTACAACGGTATCTGATCACATTGGCTTCAATCCATTCAAACTACATTGTCGAATTTCGTTTGAGCGTATGGCTAACATTTGTTGCAAAGATTGGCAGTATTTCGTACCAGCACTATGGCCGACTCACCCGCAAGCGTGGTCCCGCCGGAGCCCGCTGCAGAGCGTGAAAATGGCAACGTAGAATCAGCAGCCAATGGCAAAGGCGCATCGCATAAGGAATCCAAGGCCAATTCAAAGCCGGCTTCGCAGCGCCCGAGAAAGCCCAACTATGCAAAGATCCATGCCCAGCCGCTTCCAGTCGTGACACATCCTCTGCCAGCCTTCGTTCCTCACAACCCTCTGTCCTTGCTGCGCATTGCCTATTTCATCTGCTCGCAATACTTCAACCCGCCGCCATCCCATCCACCGAAGCGCCACGTCGCCTATCTCTCGTACGAAACAAGATCCGTCCATGTTACAGATCCTGCGAGTGTGCGCGCGCTGTGGGAGCAGGGCTTTTTCGGGAAGGGTAGCTTGAGCCGGAGCGAGCCTACATGGCTTGATCGTGAGAAGCATCGGCGCGGTGTCGAGTCTGGCCAGGTCAAGGCTGAAGACTACACCAACAAGCGGCGACAGGAGAGAAGAGAAATGAAGAATGAGCGCGCGCGGAAGGAGCGCGAGGCTCTTGAAGAGCAATTGAGGAAGGAGGGAAAGCTGGCCGACGAGGCTACTTTGGAGCCCACTGCTCCGGAAAGCTCTGAGGCCGCAACATTGGCTGGCGGAACTTCCGTCCAGGACAACGGTCCAGACACCCAGTCGGCGGACATGTCTGAAAAGTCTGCAAACGTATCGAAAGAACTTGCTTTGGACGAGCCTATCCAGAACGAAGAGCATCTCCAACTCTCTCTCGAGGAAGCTTTCTTCCTGACGTACGGTCTCGGCGTGCTCGAAGTCGTGGCGGCACGTACAAAGAAGACGGTCGAGCCTCTGCAGTTGTTCCAACTCTGTCGCTCGCTCTCGTACTTCCCTCCGTCGTCTGCCCTTCACGTCAGGCCAGATGACCCTTTCCTCCTCAAGTACGTCGTCTACCACCATTTCCGCAGCCGCGGCTGGGTTGTTCGCGACGGTGTCAAGTTCTCCGTTGACTACATGGTCTACAATCGCGGTCCCGTCTTCTCTCACGCAGAGTTTGCGGTCCACATCGTTCCGTCTTACAGCGATCCGTTCTGGAAGGATCAGGAGAAGAAGGAGTCGAATCCGTGGTGGTGGCTGCATTGTGTCAATCGCGTACAGAGCCAGGTGCTGAAGACATTGGTGCTGGTGTACGTCGAGGTGCCGCCGCCGATTGAGGGGCCGGTCAAGGATATTGGGGAGTACCTGGGACGGTATAAGGTCAGGGAGTTTGTCCTCAGGAGATGGGTAGCCAACAGGATGAGGGGCTGAGCAGAGCTGGGGTTTCGCCTTGCGCTACGCTATGGCGACTCGTTTAACCAAGTTGGACTATGCAGTCACTTCAACTCGCACTCCCGAAATGGAGTGCTTGAATCACTGCTGAGGACTGGGTTTCGCCTTCATCGAGAGCTTGTGTTTACCCTAGCCATGGTCACGAGATCATACGCGGCTTGCCTGGAGTTTGGGAGTCAGTGATCTGGGGTTGCTGGATGTTAAGCATAAAAGTCTGGCTCCTTAGTCTGGTATCCGGCAATCCGGAAGTTTTGAAGGCATAATGAAGCGTGAAAGGAAATCACGACATCTGACATGAGTTACACCTTGGCTATACTTTCCTCGTCCGTCATGTCTTCCGTCTCAATGGACACCTCGTCGAGTAGCGGTCAATCAAGCACAGAGCAACATGATGAAGTGATTGAGTGTTGATTCTCATTCCATAGTAATACAGCCCATCTTTGCTCATAATAAAATGATCTTCCTTGTCCCATCTTTCATGAACGCCAACATGCCATGCCTTCCCAATGCTGCCGGAACGCCTTTTTGTTCTCCCTTTCACGATAAAAAAGAGTCCTATACCATCCCTCTAGCAAATTCTCACACGAATATTTCAGAACCTTCGCACTGCTCAATCCCAAAACGCGAGGTGCCGTCCGTCCTGTATCCCCCCACCGTCTGCCTGCTGCCAAGCCGTTAAAAAAAAAAAACACCGCTCTCCCCCTCCTACATGACCGGATTCCTCGTCTCATCCGGCGGCAGCTTCATGTAGTAGTCGATGGCGGCGGAGAAGGCGGCGAAGCCGGCGCAGCCGACGGCGGTGGCCTGGGGCCCGGCTTTGGCGGCGAGGGCGCCGCCGGTGATGCAGCCGGCGGCGACGCCGTTCATGAGGTCGTTCTTGGCGCGCAGGCCCTCGATGGCGCACTCGGTGCCCGAGAAGACGGCGCCGATGAGGCCGAAGTTCTTGCCCGAGCTGTACGAGGCGCGGCCCATTTCCTTGAACCCCGTGCGCAGCTGCTGGCGGAGCGGCAGCTTGGCGATCTCGGCGCCCTGCGGCGTGAGGGACGTGTCGTAGCGCATCTGTTTTGGTTGGTTGGCCTGGGTGTCAGCGGGGGGATGTCTTCTTATTGTTGTTGTTCATCTTTGTGGTGCGCTGGCGGTCGTATGAGGTGGTTGGTGGTGGTGGAGGGCAGGTTCGGAGTCGAAAAGTGAGGACGGGAGGAACGTACGCTGGACATGAAGAGGCCGAAGACGGCACCCATACCGGCGCCCGCGACGCCGGACATGACGAGCTTGGTCGCGCAGGACTCCATGCCTGCTTGCATCTGGAGAAAGTGGAGAAAGCGCATGTCAGCAATGATTTTTGGCAATTGCAGAGTCGCGCGAAGAGGCGCAACAGACTGTAGTGTACAGCAAAGGCATATAGATTACGTTTGTAGGGGAGGAAGAGGGGAAAGTGTATACGCACAGCCTTGACCATGGCCTGCTCTTGCTCGCTCATGCCCTGGGGGTTCTGACCAGGCATACTGGCGCCCATGGGGCTACCGCCCGGCATCATGCCTGGAAAGCTCATTGTCGCAGTGGGGCGGTCGGTGGACAGGGGAGGTGGTGGTGATTGTAGATGCGAAGCGCGCGACGACGGGGAAGCTTGCAATTATTGTTGCGGCAGCGGCGAAGCCGGAGAACTTTTGGGGCTCGGTGACGCGCCGCGCTGACAGGGTCCGCCCGGGCTTTCGTCCCGATCATTCCCGCTCCGCTCCGGGCGGAAGCGGGTGAGGAAGGTTGTCTTGGCATGCAATTCTTAGACAGCTTTTATCAATGAGGGTTTTCCCAATTGCTGGTTCACGCGCCTGTGGCACCCGACGACGATTGACAACATCTCACCCTTCGGGCTTTGCGATTGTGAGATGACCAGGTACCCTGTCATGTTGTAACACATTTACATCCTCCTAGACTTATTAATACTTCGGTAGATGTAGCATTTCAAGAGACTAAGACTCTAGAGGGATACGCTCCGGCTACCAATAGTATAGAGCAGTAAAAGAGGATATCCCTCTATTTCATATGTACTTTTACATTAACTCCACTAGACAAGGGGAATACGCATTACAGCTTCTCGTTCCGCACCTGAATCCACCTCTTATAGTCACCGTGCTTCTCGATAGACGTTTTGGGTGGCAGCTGCGCCTTCATGACCTTGATCGTGGCCTCAATCTGCTTTTGTAGCTTTTCCAGCTGCTTATATGTCTCAACATCGTTAAGCGGCATGCGGTCCTTGGGCTTGAGTACGCGTTGGGCAAGCGTCAGGGCGTGCCACACGGGCACCAAGCGTCGCAGTTTCTCGGTGGCTTCAGCAAAAAGCGTGTAGCGGTTGGGTTGCTTGGATGCCTCCTTGGTGGTGGGGTCTCCTGGTTGGCCATTGGCTTCCTATGCAAGATGTCAGTATCAAAAGCACACGAGAGGAGCAGTAGGGTGATGATGAAGCGAAGGGGGATGAAGGAGAAGAACCCCGTACCTGCAAGCCAAAGTTCTTCAAATTGAAGCACAACCCCTTCGCATACGCCTCCACCACGCCATCCTCGTCAACACCGTCCTTGTACCTCAGCACCTGCGCAGCCGCGAGCTCCAACGGGGTCGCAATGACGAACGGCAGCGTGCGCAGGTCGCCCAGCTTCGGCACCCGCTTGTCGGGGCCGCCGCAATGCTCCGCCGACTCCATCAGCTCCACCACCTGCTCCGCCCACCGCAGCGCCCGATCAGTCTCCTGCTCGCCCCACCCACTGTCCGCCGCGACGGCGCGCACCTCCCACATGACCCGCGACACGACGCCCCTAGTCTGGAGCCGCAAGCCCGTCCGCGGCGCGCGCTGCAGCGCCCTCAACACGACGTGCATCGCGCCCTTGTGTCCCGCCACGCGCACCAGCTTCTGCGCCCACTGCGGCTTCATGGGCATGCCGGCGTCCGCCAGCCCTTCGACCAGGCGGCCCACGTTCTCCCAGTCCTCGGGCGTCTCGGCGAGGCGCAGTGCCTCGGAGAAGACGTACGCCCGCGGCGGTATGTCGCGCACGCGGTCAATGTGCTCGAGGGTCACGTCGACGCCCGCCACGGTGCTCCACACCGGCTCCGGCGCATCCGCCGACAGCCGCGCCCGGTGCTTGTCCTTGTACACTAGCTTCTGCTGCTCCGAGTTGAGGTGCGCCGGCACCATGATGTGCCGCCGTGCCCGCTCGAGCAGCACGTCGAGCTCTGGGCTGGATGACGGCTCGAAGGTCGGGAGGGCTATTTTGTAACATTGCAAGGTCTGGTTAGCTGAACTGTTCTTTTCTAGTCTTCAATGGAAGCAGCGGGCATTGGAGTGGGCGGAAAAATTGCAAAGGTAGGAAGATGTCAAAAGCTTCCGAAGTTGTGTAGGTTGCGCGACGTACTGTGACGCTGGGAAACGGCGCTGCTTGAGAGGGCGCGGCGGTCGGCATGCCGCAGAGCGGCACGCCAGCTCCTTGCTGTCAGGCTCATCGCGAGAGAGTTGTTGAAGGCGCAATGGCTACGAGTGTTGTCTGGATTTGCTAGCGTTCAGCGACGGGAATTTGTCGCGCGAAGCTCCGAATCAGCCAGCCGATGATAATTCTGCCGCGTCTCACCGCTTAGCTATGTGGTCTCGTGGACGAGGATAGCAGATGGGATCAGAGAGTCTCCGTTGAGATGATGAAAATGAAATAATCGTGCTAAACCACTCTACTCTCACTCTAATCGCACAATTCCCAATTGGTCTGCATCCTAGTAATGCCCTCAAGAACTAATCCATGATGCCACCCAATCATTTGTCGTTCAACTGGCAATAACCTGCCAAATCAAAAATACTGGGTATCAGGTACACGATGCCACCCATCGCGTATATCTCAATCCGTTAAATCCGAGAAAGTCGGCCACACTCAAAACTTCCGCTTTTTCGGTACACTTCTGTTGTGTCTCACGAGGAAGTCGTCGACGCTCTTGTCGCAGCGCTGCGCAACCTCATCCAAGCCCTTACCACCGGGAAGACGAAGGAGATTGGCCCGCCTTGGCGGTTTCGCCATAGCAATGGCACGGAGATCGGCGTCAGAGCAGATACTTGCAGCCGGCATCTTGCTGATAGACGCAAGCTGCGTGCGGAAAGCTCTGAGAGCGTTATGAAAAGGACGATCTGATGGGGGGAGCTCTTCTGGTTCCTGGGTATTGGCCGGGCCTGGAGCCCCGACCAAAGTTGCGAGCGTTCCAAGAGGCTTCTGGTGTCCAGCGGCAACATGAGTTTCCACTGCTTTGTGGGTGACCAAGGCGATGAATCCTTCCTCGGAAACGGTTTCGAGCTCACGCTGTGCGATGTATCGCAGCTTGTTCCATGAAACGTCTCTTCCAGTCACAACTAAATTGGTCGCAGCATCTGGCTTCTCCGTGACTCGTGCGCCACATGCCGTGGCAAGATCACTTGCTCCTGTGCGGCCTAACATATCCAGGATGCCCGTGAAAACGATATGCTTGCCTTCCAAGCAGCCCTCGGTTCCGGGAGGAAGGGATATGTGCAAGGTTTCATCCTCAGACGTCATACCTTCTGAGCCATTGTCGTCAGATAGCTCGTCCTCTGCTGCTGCATCCTTTTCCGGCATTGCAGAAGAGAAGTTCTTGACAACAGACAGCCAGTGGTGTCCGAATTGCCGTGCCAAGTAGTCGCCAATTCCTTCAATCCCAAGCAGCGCCTCGGTATCTTTGGGACGTTGGACCGCAATTTGCTTGAGGGCGCGGTTATTGGCAATTTTGTAGAACTGCCAAGTGGGGATTTTCCTCTCCGCCGCAATCTCCTTGCGTTTGGTGCACAGAGCTTCAAACAAGAGGCGATCGGAAGGATCTAGCTTATTCAGGCTGGCCGAGCTGTGCGTTTTCCGAGGGGGAGTAGATAAGATAGGGTCGTCGATGATGACATCGTTGGGAATGTTGTCGGCTCCTGCCACCAAATTTCTTTCGCCTTGAAGGAAACGCTCGACAATGAACATGCACTCAGCTCCGAAGTTTCGGACAGTGGCATCACCCAGCCCCTTGATCTGCCTGAGTGAGTCGACCGTGCGCGGTTGAGTGATTGCTACCCCCGCTAGGGCTTCGTTTGAGGCAATTTGATAACTCTTCACTCCCTTTGCGGCCGCCATCTCTGTCCGCTTCGAGCATAAAGCCTCATATAGAAGAAGAGATTCTCCGTGGAGTTCATCTTGTGCCCGGGGACCGCGAACGGTCCTTGCGCTGTCTGAAGGATCGTCCGCGTCCGGTTCCTTCTCTTCCCCCGCACCTACGATTGGCAAGCCAAGCTCAGCGAACCCGGGGATTGGAGGGGTTGGTTTCAATTGCTTTCTCTCCTCGTTCATGACGTGGAAAAGCATGAATCCGGCATAGGCATCTGCAGCCGCGTAATGGATTTGGGCCTGGCTGAGCGGTTTGGTCCAATCGCTCGTCCGCACAGTCCCCTTGTCGAGAGGAAGGCCGAGTTTGTCTATGGCTTGATCATTGAGTCTCTTGAGACTCCGGAGAATGTATCCTCCGGCTGTCCGTTTGTTCGCGATAAGGTGGTATAGGTGGCTCAACTCGAACAGGCCCTTGGGTTCAAGCTTGAGATATTTTCGAAGCCTTGATCCGTCCGCGATATTGATACTTACACCGGCTTTGAGAATCTTGTCGGACTCAATGATGGTTTTAAGAGAGGGTGGCAGAATCGCGGCAGGGGTAGTTCCTTCGTGGAGCGAGAGATGAAAGATGGCAATCCGGTCCTCACATGCCAGCTGTAGGACAGAAGCATTCTCTTTGATGCTGTAGATAGAGGGGTATGGGTGCCACTCCATGTCCAGACCTAGCACAGGTTCGTTGAGGAAATTTTGAGCGACCGACTCAGACTTCTCGAAAGTGTGGCAGTAATCGACGGTGACGTCTTGTCCGTCCGGCCCTTGGTAGAGCAGATGTGACCACTGACTTGGGGGAATTTCCATGGGGATCTCTGTCGGGCCTACTGGTGGTGGCAAAGGTTTTCTTTTGAAACTCAGTTCGAAAGGTGGTTCCGTCTCCTCCCCGTCTGAAGCAGATTCCTGCTCTCCCGCTTCATCTTGCGGAGTGGCAGCCTCTACAGGCTTGGCTGTCTCGTCGGCTTCGGCTGACTCAAGTGAGAAGCCATTCAACTCTCCATAGAAGTCCGAGCCGAAAGAATCACCGGGCTTCAACACTGCCGGAGAAGGTTGTGACGGGACTGCCTCGGGTTCAGCATCGATGCTGGCGTGCGATGATACAGTCTCCTGGCTCTCAGGCGCAATATCCATGGCCTCAGCAGCGATGTCTTTGGTGTAATCGTTCTTGGGGGTCGGCTCAAAAGCAGAGTTGTGGAGGGTGCTGTGGAGGCGGTAGGCACGGCGAGCGATACAGGGAAACGACGGTCGGCGTAGAAGGTGCAGCGGCGGGCCAAGCAGGGTCGAGGGTCTGACCGCGAGCTTCAGCCCATAGCGGACAGTCGAGGTCATCTCTCAATGGAAGAGGAAGGGAATGCCGACCATGGCGGCGTTGTGGTGGGTGTTGGCGCAAGGCTGCAGTTGTTCGTTTGGCTCCAGCCTCGCGTCTTCGCCACGGAACGTAGACGCGCCACCACGTGCTACTCAAGCCTCTGCCGTTCCTCCACCGCGCCACGTTCATTCACAGTTTCTACGAGGTCTGCTCCTCAAACGTTCGAGCAAAAGCCGTATGTGCTTAGTGTACACTTCTTCAAAGAGAATTCTCTGCAAAAGCTCGAGGCGTGATTTGTCTGCTTGCTCTCGTTTGAGTGAAAAGACGCAAGCTGCGGAGAAGCCCCCGTCGAAATTTGGAGAGTTACTGAATGCCGCGCCAGCTATCGAGGGCGAACGGGGTCTTCGAACTCTATCTTCTATTACGCGACGATCGGCAGCTTCTTAAACAATCGGCAACATCAGGGCGACCATCGGCAACGACTTATTTCGCCACTGCCGTTCTCACGCATTACGGACTAGAAGCTCGACCAATTCCGTGATCCCTGCTTAAGCTCCCCGCGTGCCGCCAACACCCGGCACCGAGTAACATAGTCACCTCACTCTACGCATTTCATTCCTGTCCCACCAAAACTCGCGACCCTGCGCGCATTCTCGAAATCAAACACTATTCGTAGCATGCGACCATGACGAACGACCCCAAAGACAGCAACAACGCCAGCCACAAGGATGCTGCGAAGCACCCCGCCGCCGACCGCGACGATGCCAACGCCAACCCCAACTCCAACCCATTCATATCTTTCCGCCGCTATGCCGATGACCAGATATTCTCGCTCATGAACTCTGTCATGAGCATCCCCGCCACCCTCTCCAAAGAGCACGAGCGCTGGAACGCAGCCCGCCAGAACGGCGACAGTGACGGCGATAGCGATACACAAGTCACCGGCACCGGCAGGCAGGAAGTCTGGGTGAAGCGATGGTCTAGCGATGATAGTGCTAGTGACGGACAAGACGGCAAAAAGAAACAGGATGACGACCTGTCGAGCTGGGTCAAGATCTGGCGGCCGGACGGGCAGCAAGTCAAGCCGGAGGTCGTCGAGGATCAGGACGGCGGCAAGACGTGGCACTGGAGCGGGTCATGGTCATGGCCACCGAAAAAGGGCGTCGACGACAGCAACTCCAACCAAGCGGCCAACGGCAACGACGAGCTTGATCGCAACTTCGAGGAGGCGCGCAGAAATGCGGAGAAGGAACTACATGAGATGTCAGAGTTGCTCAAGAGCTGGTTTGGTGCCGAGGACGACCACGGCACCAAGGAAGATCCCCAACAGGTGGACAGAGGTCGGAGCCTGCTTGACTGGATCGGACTTGGAGACGGCAGCGGCAGCTCAGACATGAGGCAAGGCATAGAAGACCGGATCAAGCGGCTAGAAGACGAGTTCTTCAACGTGCGGGACAGCTTCTCCGGCCTCGCCCAGGGTCGCGGTCCATGGACTCATCTGCGCATCTCCGACGAAGCACGTGAAGGCAGCCAGATCCTGCAGATCTTGGATGGCCTTCAATCGGCTTCCCAGCATCAAGACCACCCTTTCGGTGGCTTCCCCATGGCGCGTGGCTGGGGTCATCCGCTGTCGTATTTCCTGGATTACTCTAACCCAAGAACGCGCTGGCTACTCCAGCACCCGTACTCCCCCGCCGTGCTCGAAGCGGAGGCAATCAAGAATGGCGTTGTTGGCACTCCCCGGTACGCCGACGCATTCGAAGATCTCATGCGCGCAGAACGCGGATGCATGAGCCAAGGCAGTGCGAATAACGATTGGAGTCGTGCAATGTGGCCGCGTAGCTACAGGCTCCTCTCCAACGTCTATTCGCGCAGTCCCAGGACGCAGGATTTCTTCCAGAACGTCGAGGAGGGTGGGGAATGGTATGTACCGGAGAAACAGCAACAGCAGCACGCTTCGCAAGCGCAACTTGCAGCTCCCACGTCTCTTCCCCCTTTCTATAACCCCGCGAGCGAGGACAGAAGAAAAGAAGCGGCCCATGACGACCACATGTACGAGCGGTTCTTGGGAACGCACACAGCCGACCCGAAGACGGAGCTAGACATGTACGAACGCTTCCTCGGCGATTCCTCATCGCACCACGGCAGCGGCAGCGGCAGCGGCAGCAGTCAGCAACCTCCTGCCGTCGCATCACCACCATCCAACAGCAACAGAAACACCAGCATCGACGTCGCCTCTTCCCCCATCCTCTCCACCATCACCACGACCGAGCGCAACGTCGCCGCCGACGGCACCGTCACGACGAAGGTCACTTTGAAGAAACGCTTCGCTGACGGCCGCGAGGAGTCGTCCGAGACGGTCAACACGTCGCGCGGCGACCCGACGGCGAGCGGCGGCGGTGTGTCCGAGGAGGGCACCGGCAGCAACAAGAAGAAGGGCGGGTGGTTCTGGTCTGGTTGAAGAATGTTCAAGACACTCACTTCCCTTTCTCACTCTTCCTTCAGAGGTGACGTACGACATCCCAACTATCAAGGTTCAAAGGCGCTCAGGTCTCTCTTTTGTTGGGTTATGAAAGGCGCGGCGGAAATATGATATACCACACTCCCCCATCAACGTTATACTTTTTTTTATCGTCCTTTGGTCAGTCTTTCCTTATTTCTTCGTTGTGGCTATATCTCTCAACTCTTTATTTCTCGTAACTACATATCGTTCCACCCTCGTTCGTAGTCAAGACTCCTAGGAACTCAGCGGAATTGGAGAGAAACCTCGCTCTTTTGGAGCGATTCTTCCCGTAAAACGTGATGAATATGTGCGTAGTATTTCAAAGGGAAAAAAGGAAAGAGGGGAGTGGAGGCTTCACTATAATGAGAATGCAAATAGCGCAGAGAGCGAGACTGCCATGCATCGAGCAACAACACCATAGGACTAGGTTTGAGCCCATCCACGCAAGTAGGGTGAAACATGTTTGTAGGCGCAATCGTCTTGTGATCCGCTAGGGCACTTTTTCCGCGAGAGGCGACCGTCCTCAAACATTGATCCCGGACTGAGTTGGTCGTTGGTAGCGGTCTTCTTCCATGAACACTCCACAATCTCCACTTCATGGCGCAAGCACAATGAACGGACCTTCAGATCCACTTGGAAATGCTGGTGGTAATACATATATATACTTCTACACCAGTCTAACCTCGAATGTCTAGTAAACCGTTATCGTCACCTCTAGATCCAAGGCCAATCCCATCTCCCCTTTACCCAACTCGTCAAACCCATCACATTCATGCCCGCCCAACACGCTTCCACAATCAGTCAAAAGGAAGGCGAAACGTTGTTCCAATGTCCCCGTAAAAACATCTCCGCTCAGACCGTGTCCCTGAACTCCTGATCAACAGCCTCATAATGGTCCAAAAAGCCTTGGAAGATGGCGACGCCCAGACCGGGGTCGAGGCTGCCGGTGGTGGCGCGGATGCTGTGCATGCTCAGCTGAGGGATGCCGGCGTCGATGGCGCGGATGCCGGTGGCGGCGCTCATCATGGGCCCCACGGTGCCGCCGGAGCGCGAATCGTTGCGGATCTGGAAGACCTGGAGGCGCTGGCCGGTCTTGTCGGCGACGCGCTGCAGCAGGGCGGTGCTGACGGCGTCGGTCGTCATGTGGCCGTTGGAGTCGGCGCTGACGACGAGGCCGACGTTGAGGCGCGGCGAGTGGTTCTCGAGGTAGGCGTTGAGGAAGTTGGGGTTGACGGCGTGGATGACGTCCGACGAGACGATGAAGGAGTTGGCAAAGGTCTGCGAGAGCAGCGAAGGCGTCGGGAAGCCCGCGAAACTGTCGATGACGCGGTTGATGACGGACGGTAGGAAGTTGCCGCGCGCGCCCTGGCGGAGGAGACTGCCAATCTCCTCGTCGTCGAAGAGGCCAACGACCTTGATAATGGACGAGGACGACGTGTCCGTGGCGGACGTGTCGGCCGAGGTGCTGTTCAGCAGAGCCTGGACGGCGGCCCACGAGCACAGCTTGTCGTCGACACGGCCCGCGAAGATGAACTCCTTGTCGATTCCGCCGACCTGGGCGGGCTGCGTGTCGAACAGCTCGAGCTCCCAGTTGACAATGCTGCTGTAGTCGGTGATGCCGAGCTCCTTGGCAATGACCTTGACCAGGCGCTCCGGCTGCGTCGACGTGAACGTGCCCTGGCCGCCCAACAGGGCGGGCTTGAATTCGGCACCATCCTCGTCCTTCTGCTGTCCAAGGACGTCGCTGTTGTCCAGGCCGATGATGGGCACCATCTGCGTCTCCTTATTGAAGGGGCCTTGCGCCGCCGCGCCAAAGTGCGGGGCGAGTGTGGGAATGCGGGCAACTGTACATCACATCAGCCTTGGGCTCAGATCTCCTCAGTTCTCAAGACGTAACTCACTTGGCCAATCGAGCTTCACCAGCTTGCTCGCAATCTTTCCACTCTCGTCCTTCACCAGCACCCTTCCACCAATGCCAAGGTCCCTGTCCCACCACGTGCTGTTCAGCGCGCCGGCGTAGGGCGCCACGCCAAGCTGCTCGTAGCCAGCCTTTGTGCGGAGCTTGGGGATGGGCTTGAGCTTCGCCGTCAGGGCGTCGATGTGGCCAGCCAGGATGGCGGCGCCGTTGCCGGGCTCGTAAGCCTCGCCGACCGCGAAGGCGATCAGCGACGAGCCGTTGCGCTCGACGAAGTACTTGCCGCCGGCATCCAGTTTCCACACATCACGCTCCGACAGCTTCTTGTACCCTTGCGCCTTCAGATCCTCCGCTACGGCATCGACCGCGTGGAACACAGTTGGGTTGTCCGTCAGGAAGTCACAGAATGGCTGGGTGTAGTCCTCGGGCTTCACGGTGCGACGTGCGCTGGCGGTCTGGTACTTGGGAGTAGCGACGGCGGGACGAGGCGTCTCGGGCAGCTTGGGCGGCACCGCTGGCGCTGCGGCAGCGACGCTGCGGGAGAACAAAGACGAGCCGAACAGCGTCTCGCCCTGGGTGGGCTCGAGGAAGGTGCCAGCGGCGGCGGGCCAAGCGCACTGCTCAGCGGCTTCCCAGGCGCTGGTGGTGGGCACGGCAGGAGGCTGCATGTTGTGACTGGACGGGAACTCGGGCTGCTTCTGGCGAAGGGCGGGGGGATTCTTGGTCATAATGCGGATGGGTGGTCAAAGAAAAGTGGTGAAATGGAAGGAGAATGCGGGTCCCCAGCTTCTAATAGCGGACAAAGGTGAAAGGGATGGGGGAGGTGTTGATGGCGTGCGGCTGCGGTTGATGTATGTCATGAGGGAGCTGCACGTGGTGCCTGGCACAGCTCGCGCCCCGGGCCAAGCTCCAGAGCTCCCCTGGTTCCTGCCCTAAGCATGCACCGCCTCACTCCTCGCCAACAAGGGCCATCTCATATCATGTATGCAACAGGCCCTTGAGCGCGATGTCACGCCTTGATATTCTTGTTGCACTCCTCTTATTGCTCGCTTAACCTACGTCTACACTGTATATTCTACAATCCATTGGTCTGCGCAACCTGCCGTAAGGCAAAGAATACGATTTGGAAGTTGCATTATCGATGCCTCTATTTCACACATAAAATGGAGCTTGTCATCATCCGCAGCTCGTTTGATGATGTCTTTTTGGCATGTCGTTTTTAATGAAGTTGAAATCCGAGCTGCTGGATGCACTAAATATATCGGACCCTTCGAATGAATAAATCTGGTAGCGATTACGGCGGGTCCCAATTCATGCCAGTGAAGCTCCTACCATTTTAGGATTAGATGTTGGCGGGACATGTACCCGAGATACAGCATCCATTACATGACTCGATTCAATGCCTGCGGCGAAGCCCGAATCAGTACTGGCAACATGTCGCGTCGGGCTCGTATTATTTGCTTTCCATCACGAAATGGGGAGGTACGCAAGACTTGCTTGCTCTGTTAACTTGCAATAATTTCATTCCTCTTCGATGTTCTAGACGTTGATGCTTCGAAAGTGAAACAGTGAGAGCTCTCGCGAATGCTCTACAACGCTTTTTTACTTTGCCAGTAAAAAAAAAAGTTTTAAAACAGAAATAACACCACACTTAATCAACAGCACCCTCTTTCTAATTCTAGACCTTCAGGTCCTTAACCTTGTCCGCAACGTCACCGGGGGCAGGGACCTTGGGCTTGGGGCCCGAAGCCTTGCCCGCGGCCTTGGCAGAGGTGGTGTCCTTGGGCAGCTCCCTGACAAAGGGCAGGAACTCGGGCTGGCCGGGGATGTACTTGCGGAGGACCTCCGGAACGTTGAAGCCGTCGGGGGTCTGGTAGTTCTCGAGGATGCAGCAAAGAGCGCGCTCAGTGGCGGCAAGGGTGCAGTTCTGAGGCACTTTTGTCAGAAACGCTGGTCACATCCAATAGATAAAGCGCGCACTTACCAGAGCGTGCACGTATTCCTTCCTAGTAGCCGTCTGCTTCTTCGTGCCATACCGGATCTCCAGCTCGCGGGTCTGGTAGTCTGTGCAGTTGGAGCAGGAAACGAGCTCCTTGTACTCTCCCTGGAACGGGAACCACGCCTCAAGATCGAACTTCTTGGCGGCGGCGTTGTTCAGCGCGCCCGAGACGATGGCGACGACATGGTAGGGCAGCTTCAGCGACTGGTAGAACTCCTCGGCCGTGCTGATCATGTCCTCGAAAGCCGCCCACGACTCGTCAGGCTTGGTAATGAGGAACTGCTCGATCTTCTCGAACTGGTGGACACGGAAGATACCCCACGCATCCCTACCGTGAGAACCGGCCTCCTTGCGGAAGCAGGTCGAGTAACCGGCGTACTTGATAGGAAGATCGGCGGGTTTGAGCCATTCCTCGGAGTGGAGGGCGGACAGCGGCTGCTCCGAGGTTGCAATGAGGTACTTGTCGGTGTCCTTGTTGTTCTCGTCCTCCGTGACCTTGTACAGCTCCTCGTCAAACTGCTCGAGCTGGGCAGTCTTTGCCATCTGGTCCCGCAGCATCATGAACGGCGGCATGTTGGGCTGGTAGCCCTTGTTGTAGAGGAACTCGAGGCCGTAGTTAACAATAGCCACTGCATGCGTTTGGTCAGTGATCGACGCACACATTCACTGCGCGAAGTGACGTACGGTTGAGGAAGAGACCCATGCCAGTCAGACAATAACCGCGGTGGCCGACAACCTTGACACCACGCTCAGGGTCGTAGCCGCCCAGGCGGTACAGGACCTCGTGGTGAGAAAGGCAGTCCTTCTTCTCGACCGTCACGCCCTCAGGGACCCACGTCCTGATTTCCTCGTTGTTGTCCTCGTTATCGCTGACCGGCACCGAGGGGTGTACATAGTTGCCGATAGTCTTCACCTTTGCTGTTTCAAATCTCGTATATCAGCCTCCCAATCCCCCAGTAAAAAGCTGCTGCGCCGCCACGGGCGAGAGTGGGCGCGAACGGGCACGGAAAATACACACCACTCAGAGCCTTGAGCTTCTCGGTAGCCAGATCCTCTTGCGCCTTCTTCTTGTTGGTGAGGTCCTCCTTCTGCTTCAGCAGCTCGTCCGCGTTTTCCTTGTTCTTCTTCTTTAGGCCGATCTCTTTCTGGGTTGCGTTGATCTGAGAGCTGATCTGGGTGGCCTCGTACTGGGCTGGAAGAACGGGCAGAATGTCAGCGAGGCTTCAGCGCGAGGCTTGCATGGGGTGGCCAGACTTTTCCTGTGGTCCTCGAACATGGCAATGACTTCGTCGACGATCTCGACCGGGGCGTTGCGCTTGCGCTGCGACTCCCTGATCTTCTCAGGGTCGCCGCCGCGCTCCTTTATGAAGTCCTGAATGTCGAGCATGGTGTGCGGATTGCGACGGTGCAATTGAGGGGGGTGAAAGAGAGGAGCGGGCGAGTGGTGGTGCGCGATAGGCGGAGCGGGAATGTTTATGAGCACAGGGACTGCGAGTGACTCTCTGTCTGCCCCGCTATGTGGCCTTCTCCGCCTGTCTGCCACCGTCTGATGTGCGCCTGAGTCATGCAGGCGGTGAGTCAGTCCGACCACTCACAGGCGCCGCATCACCAGACATTAGTCGTTGCCCCAAAGAGCAGACTTTGGGCATGCCACATCTGGAAGTCTGCACCGGATCCTGCTACAACAGTGGTGAAACGTTGACTTAAGCTGCAAGGATATAGAGCACACGTCCAGACATGAGGCAACATTTTGGCACACATGGAACCGGAGTCAAATCCAGAAACTCGGCCAGTGACTCTATGCACAGGCCCAGCCAAGGCATTCATTCACTATGGGCCAGCCACTGCACTGGCTTACCAGGCTACCTCCAGGAATTTTCCATCCGAACCGAGAAAACATGACCAGCAAATCAGTCGCGGGATGATTCTTAAAAATAGAGGACTTGGAACCACATAAAAAAGGGCAGCCAACTTAAGCAATAATAGCTGACCAAGACGTTTGGCTGGAAGAAAACAACGAAAGGAAAAGAAGCAGTAGTTTTATCCAAGTCCCATCCGAAACATACCATCCGTGCTGTCCGTGCCGGATGTGACTTCTTTAAGTCGGATATCAATTGCCCAATCCCACTATCCAAAACATGAACGAAAGCAAAAGTAACGGTGCGCGATATGTGAGGACCGGACTTTAGAATCAAAATAAAAAGCGAGGGGACGCTTGCCCGTGGGTTTCTCATTCGTTTTGCATTGGTTTTGCATGCGGACGCCTGTGTTCATATTTTACGAGCCTCCGTGGCTCGTCGGTGTGTGGGAGCGATGCTGAAATTACGCACGGCATGTGCAGTGCCCGTGGACGAACTTACTTCGCCGCTTCCAAGGCGTCTTCGGTCACTCTTTTGGGCCTCTTTACCTCTTGGGTGGCTGCTCCGCGATGGGCAGTAGCAAATCGGCTGATTTCTCATCCTGAGACATTCCGCTATCATTGCGCTTGCGTCCCAGGCTATCCAGCCACTGCTCAGCGCTCTTGATTGTTCTTTCAACAATCAGGCTGACCTGCTCAATCATGTCCAAGCCCTCCTTGCCGAAAGCAAGCATGCGATTGGCGTTACTAGCTTCGGCTGGCTCACCGTTCTGGCCCTCCTGGCCATTGCCCGTGGTGGCAATGGCAACCTGCCATCGCTGGGGCACAGAAAGCAGTTGCCTGCGCACCATGTTGCCCGCTTCACGCGGAAGGGCACCTCCAGTGTACTGCGAGACAGACGAGCAGACCTTCCCGATAGTCTCCCAGATTTCTTTGCTGATTGCATTGATCCGATCGGCAAGCCGCCGGCTTTCCTTTTCCCGTTGCTGCTCCTCCATGTCGCGCATGAGCTGTCTAGAGCCCACACCCTTCTCGTCATTGTGTTGGTTTGAACCATTGGCGCTGGTAGCCTTCTCGAAATCTTCGAGCACCATTCTGAGCGCACGCATGGCAGTGCCAATGTGAGCGGTTGCATCGCGCAGAAGGTTCAGGCAAAATTTAAGGCTGCGCAACGATCGCTCCGAAAAAGCGGCACCAAGACCGGATGTTCCGATCATCACACGAGTAGACCAATTCTGATTTCCGTTCCGGAAGGCGAGCTGACGGTGCGCATTCGTGGTTCTTTCCTCATATTCCGGAGAACGTTCTGTGTCGTATGGGGGTAAAGTCTCTTCCCGAACACTCGAAATATCAGAGTCTCCTCTGGTTCGAGCTGCGCGCACAGGAGGGGTCTGGAGGCCGTCCTCAATGTCCCCCATGTCATTGTCGGTCCTTCTCCTCTTGTGACTCCCAGTTTCGACCTCATTTGCCCTTTCGCCAAGGTAACGGCGCAAGCTATTCTCCACACCAGTCCGTCGACCAACAGTGCCCACAGTGTTAGCAAAGTTGCGCTCGAAGAAATCCGCGCTGGACTGGACAAAACGGGGCGAGTATGTTTTGGTGGTCGAATATGCCGAGAGCGATCCGTTGATGGTACTGCCTATCCAGGGGTGGCGTGACGTCACAAGCGAGAGAAGTGGTTCCCTCTCTTCAGAAGAGGACTGATCCGACGGCGATGGAAGACTTGCGCTACGACCGGGAGGCGACATGACATAATCTAAAAGTGTCAACTGAGGACCATCCGTAAGAGTGGAGGTGTCCCTACCTGGATTACCCAGGCCAACGATAGCCTCTGCAGCGAGGAGCTCCTTCTGGTTCCTAGTCGCCTTCTGAGGATTGCCGTTGACTTGCTCATCCATGCTCACAATACTCTCAGTGTCCATGGGGCTGCCCACGTCCATTTCAGCGGCGGTGCGCGGCGCGGTGACAGGCGCGCGTGGCAAGGAAGCGGCCTGGAGCGTTCCTGAACTCTGCCATTGTTGAATGTCGGTAGCATATCTGGCAAGCCCGTTGCGGTCGAGCTGGCTGGGGCCGTTGCGCGAGGGTGTTGCTATGGGGAGACCGAGCGACGCGAGGTCCGGGAGGTGCACGCCATTTGGAGCGGATGGGGCGGCAGGCGCCACAATGCGCGGCGGGTCCTGAGTGGGGACTGAGGGCAGGTGCAGCGTCTCAGGGTCGTTGTGGGTGTAGGGCGGCGGTCGCTCTGCCTGCACCTCCATGACGGGTGAGGTTGGCGCCGTCGGGTGACGCACAGAGATTGCCGATGGATGAGGTGAGCGCGAGCGACGGAGACGCGACCGGGAGGGGGCTTTATGGCGGTGCGCCCGGACGAGCGACAGTCGGGGGCGTGTGGGCGGTTTATTGATGGGTGGTTGAGCTGGGGCAAGCCGGGGGGTAGCGGCGGCAGCGGTTCATGTTGGAGAGTGGGTGGAGGCAAGCGGCACTTCTTGCTCAGCAGGCTGCGCAAGGCGTTCATTGACATGTGAACCGCAAGATTGGCCTTAGCTCCTCCCACGTGAAGACGCTCGGATCATGGCCGAGTTGGGCGAGCCGAGTCGTGCCAAAACGCAGCGTATCACAAGGTCAGGACGCGCTTCCTCCAGGCGGCAGCCAACGACTCTGCGCCTTGCTGCCGGGCGAAATTTGCTTTTTTGGGGCATCGCGGGGAGGGCGACATGCACCCCAGATATGTCCACCAATAGCGCGTCCATGATATGCTGAGATGCGCAAGCCCGCTGCAGCAGCCACCGTCAACAGTTGAGCGTCGGATTTTTTTTAAACAAGTCGCTGCGCACACGGGCGTCGGTGGTGCTTCGCGGCGCCCCAGCGGACCAGGCGCCAGCTCACGCGCCGGCTTCAGCACTACTGGATGGACGCATTGCCAGCGCAGCGCAGCAGACGGCGCGAAGCAGGAGCAGTCGGTACAGCGCGCCTGCATTCCTCTGTCCGCAGGGATTCGGCATCCCACACCGACGGCTCGCGCGCGTCTTTCTGGTGCTCAACGCAGCGCTTCTTGGCGGCCCCGGCCCGACGCCGGCAGATGGCATATCCGGAGTTGGCGCCCAATCATCGGCTGCCCAACCTGGCCCGCATGTGAGCCAACGCTCTCCCCGGCTTCCAACGCCCTCGCTACCACTCTGTTCCAGCTTCGCGGCGGGCGGGCCCCAAGGCTGCTGCTGATGATGAGAGATTTAACGGCATGACGGTGGCCCAGCACGTGAAAGGCCGGCACGGACACGGAGCCCCGAAGAGTGGATCCCGTCTGACACTTCACCTCGGACTTACATTTCTCCCACACCGCACTCCGAACCCGAGCTCCAGCCCGCCGGGCTTCTGTGCCATGCATGTCGGGATGCAGCAATGATCGCAGCAAGAAACGATGAGCCTCCTGCGCCACTGTTACATCGACCCGTTGAGCCTCTTGTGCTCACATGCAAAAACAACCGCACTGGTGCTGGGTGCACGATCCCCTCATGGCCAGAAACAAGGTTTGTCATGGTCCCAGTCTTGCAGGATGCTCCTTATCTGCGCCGACTTGGGCGCGTAGTCAATAAACGGACCTCCAACAGCGGTGCGGCTGGCGTAGGTATCAATTGGATCCCGCCTTTCAGTGGGTTGCAGAGGACTCCTGCCTACAGCCTACAGATACCTATCGTGCTCCACTTGCGGTGGTACTCGCAGTTGCCGACCGGGTGTTCTGATTGATTTGAAACCAACCTCTACGGCCGGAACTTGGCTTCGACTAGCCATGCAGGAAAAACAAAAGCATCCGTCGCTAAACGCGGGAGGTCAGAGTCTCCAGCAACCCAATGTGGCCTCATGGAACGCGGGAATACAACCACGCCGCAGTCTCGAATGGCGAAAGACGGGCGGATGTTTCAGGCTTAGTGGCCGGCGGCGCGAGAAGCGCTCTGGACAGATCCGGGCCTGATCATTCCTTTCACGGCCTTGCCTCTCGTTTGCGATCGCCACTTCGGCATGGCGTGTGCAACTGCGCAAGCTCATTCGCTTAGGGAGGACGCGTCGCGAAATGGCCCCCTGAATGCGCATCCGCCAAGCTGAGGAAAAGAAGAAAAAAATAAATTTCTGATGGAAGCAGGACGGCGCCACGGCGCGTTGCAATCGAATTGGGAAATTGGGTGGGTAGGTGGTCCAATGCTGCGTCTGGATATACCCAAGCTCAGCTTCGACTACCATTAGCAGGGCTTGGGAACCAGACCTCACGCTCCGACATCAGCTTCTACTGGACTGCGGTGAGTTAGGGTTTGCGGCGGTCATACTAGTCCGTATGTATGCACCTAATGGCCGGCCAAGGCAGCTTACGGTGCGCACTGGGCGAGGGGCAGCCAGGTGCCAGGCCCTTTTCTTTCCCCGCGCAACGTCGGCGCTGCAGGCAGATGACCGCTTTTTTGCACGTCTCCTGCCACATGGGTCTGCGCACTGCACACGGCCTCGGACAGGCGGACCAACCGCCTGTCCGACGATAAGGGGGCATTGGCGGTCACGCTGTGCGCGCCAGAAGCTTCGGACCTGTTCGAACGACGATGCCCTCTTGGGCCAGACGCCCCACAGGATGGCCAGCCAAGATCTGAAGGCCCGCTGGCGCGTACCGACCCGACAATCAGCCATGCCGCCTCAGCCTTGTGCGACTCATGGGGCGCTCCTCAAGCACGCACAAGGCACGCTTGCAGACTCATGCACCGCTTTCCCATTGGCCCGCCCGGGCCCTTGCTCACCATGGCTCATTGCGATTCATAAGCAGCCAACGTTGTTCCCGAAGCCGATGTGGGGACTGACGCCTGCAGTGTCGCCGCCCAGCTGCTGTGGCTGCAGCCGCTGTGCCCCTGTGCCCTCTCGGCCACTTGGCCGCCAGACATCGGCTAACTTCGGGTCCGTCTTCCGACCGCGCTGGGTCAAGAGAGCCTGTAGCGTGCTGTCGTGCTGTACACCGGTGTCGCCATCTGGATACTGTGTACCTCGTGCGGTCGGGACTCAGACTGGCCAGGGGTCCGTCCGCCTATCTGCCAGTACGTGCTCCACCATACTATTATCTGCACCTCCAAGTTCGTCCGGAGGCCCTTGCGCTCAACCAACGCCCACGGACTTACGGTGTTAAGGTTGGAAGAAGGCCACTTATGCCCGCGTAGCCAAGCCCTCTGCAAGGGTACGCCCCCGGTCACTTTTCTCCAGCTCTACTACTAATCCCCGCCGTAAACCCATCCTCCTTTTTCCCTCAGGTAGTGCGGCGGCCGCCTTGCAAGTCCCGTATATAGGCTGTGTGATAGCCTAAGGGCCGCCCCATCCCTCACCTGCCCGCTCCCTTCGCTGCCGCTCATCCTCAACATGGATCGCCTCGATCCTGAGCAGCTTCAAGCTGAGGCCATCCGCCGCCTCTCTGAGCAGAGCGGACTGGATCCCAGCCAGATCCAGCTGTTTGTCTCGTCCTCCAACGACGGTGGTGACATTACCGAGACCAGGTCAATTGGAACCACCCATTCCGAGACTCGCTCTATCGTTCGTTCCGAGACCCGTTCTGTCGTCCACTCCGAGTCTCGCTCAGATCTCCATGGCTCTGGCTCGCAGTCGAATCTCCAGCTGCACACTTCTGGATCCCACTCGATTCTGCGTTCCGGCTCGCAGTCTGCCCTCCGTAATGAGTCTTTCTCCGCCGATTCGTTGTCGGAGCTTCACGCCACGAACTCCTCCACGCAGCTGAGAGAGTCTGGATCCCAGTCTGCACTGAGGTCTGGTTCCATGACAAGGCTTCAGTCATCGGGATCTCTGGCTGCCCTCCACGAAGCCAACGACCACGCCACCTCCCATGACGCCGATGCTCAGCTTGCCCTCCAAGCTGCCAACGCCCAGTCCTCCACTGAAGGGTCCGGGTCGTTTTCCGCGTTCCGTGACGCCAGGCAAGGCAGCGACGATGCCACACTAGCAACCAAGGGTTCTGCTTTCGCCATCAATGGAGCCAATGCTAGCGAAGCTGACGCCATAAGCCACTCTGCCATCCGCCAAGGAAGCACCTCCGCCTCCGGCTCTGCCAGACCCGACAGCCAGGACGCCAGCACCACCCTCCACACGGCCAATTCCGCCTACTTTGACACCACAAATAACGCTGAAGTTGCTGCCGCTGCTGCTGCCGGTGCCGGCGCCATCACCGCCTCCCAGCCTCAGGAGCAAGCCGAGCCTGCACACGAATACCGGTCCGTTGTCAAGCCAGACGCGCAGTCGGTGCCGTCGGAGAAGCCCCACAGCGACACGGATGGTGTCACTCTCAATTCCAAGAGTTCCGTTGTACATGTTCATGACGGTATCAACGTCGCCCGTGCGGAGCACGACTTTCAGGAGCTGAGCCGCGAGCTGTCCCGCCTATCGCGCAGCCAGAGCAAGAAGAATAAGGCCGGCGCAACCGACATTGAGAAAGTTGCAAGCGTGTCGGAAACAAGTGAGCAGGAGCCGTTCGATCTCGAGGGTGTGCTCAGGGGACGCAGAGGAGAAGATGAGGAGGCTGGGATCAAGTCCAAGCAGGTTGGTGTTATTTGGGATGGACTGACTGTTCGTGGCATTGGCGGTGTGAAGAACTACGTCAAGGTGAGATTTACCGCCGTCTTGGAGGCTGGATTATGCTTACTTTGTCCAGACTTTCCCGCAAGCTTTTGTTTCGTTCTTCAATGTCTACGAGACCGCCAAGAGTATCCTGGGTGTCGGCAAGAAAGGTCGTGAGTTCGACATTCTGAAAGATTTCCGCGGAGTGGCCAAGCCTGGCGAGATGGTTCTAGTCCTTGGTCGTCCGGGATCAGGTTGCACAAGTTTCCTCAAAGTAATTGCCAACCAGCGGTTCGGCTACACCGACGTTGCCGGTGAGGTCATGTATGGTCCTTTCGATGCTGCGACGTTTGAGAAGCGTTACCGTGGAGAGGCCGTGTACAACCAGGAGGACGATATCCACCACCCTACGCTCACCGTCGGTCAAACTCTTGACTTTGCCCTGGAGACCAAGATTCCCGGTGCCCGTCCGGCCGGGTTGAGCCGACAGGACTTCAAGCAAAGGGTCATCGACATGCTGCTGAAGATGTTCAATATCGAGCACACGAAGAACACGATTGTCGGCAACCCTTTCGTTCGTGGTGTCTCTGGTGGAGAGCGTAAGCGTGTTTCGATTGCCGAGATGATGGTCACCAACGCCTGCATCTGTTCATGGGACAACTCGACCCGTGGTCTCGATGCTTCCACCGCTCTCGATTACGCCAAGTCCCTGCGGATTCTCACCGACATCCACCAAGTCACGACCTTTGTTTCCTTGTACCAGGCTTCCGAGTCCATCTACAAGATGTTCGACAAGGTCATGGTCATCGACTCGGGCCGTTGCGTGTATTATGGTGCTGCGAAGGAGGCTCGTGCTTACTTCGAGGGCCTTGGCTTCGTCGAGAAGCCTAGGCAGACGACTCCCGACTACTTGACTGGCTGCACCGATCCATTCGAGCGCGAATTCAAGCCAAACCGTAGCGCAGACAACGTTCCCAGCACCCCCGAGGGTCTGGCCGAAGCGTTCAACAAGTCTGACATCGCTGCTCGCATGGACAGGGATATGGAGGCGTACCGCGAGCAGATCAAGCAGGAAAAGCAGACCTGGGACGACTTCCAGACTGCTGTTACTCAAAGCAAGAGGCATGCTTCCCACCGCTCCGTCTACACCATTCCTTTCTACCTGCAGGTCTGGGCTCTCATGCGCCGCCAGTTCTTCCTCAAGTGGCAGGATAAGTTCTCTTTGACCGTCTCGTGGGCCACTTCCATCGTCGTTGCCATCATTCTGGGTACTGTCTGGCTCCAGCTTCCTCAGACCAGTGCGGGCGCTTTCACTCGTGGTGGTCTTCTGTTCATCTCCCTTCTGTTCAACGCGTTCGAGGCTTTCTCCGAGCTGGCTTCCACCATGGTTGGCCGACCGATCATCAACAAACACCGTGCCTTCACCTTCCATCGTCCTTCTGCCCTTTGGATTGCTCAGATCATGGTCGACACGGTATTTGCAAGCGCGAAGATCTTGGTCTTCAGTATCATGGTCTACTTCATGTGCGGCTTGGTTCTCGATGCCGGTGCCTTTTTCACCTTTGTCTTGGTCATCATCTCTGGGTACCTCTCGATGACACTGTTCTTCCGTACCGTCGGATGTCTTTGTCCCGACTTCGATGTTGCGATCCGTCTTGCGGCTACGATCATTACCTTCTTCGTCTTGACTTCCGGATATCTCATCCAATGGCAGTCAGAGCAGGTGTGGCTCAGGTGGATCTTCTACATCAACGCACTGGGTCTCGGCTTCTCTGCGCTCATGATGAACGAATTCAAGCGCCTGACCCTCACTTGCACGTCGGACTCCCTGGTTCCCACCGGAGGCGATTACAACGACATTGCTCACCAATCTTGCACGCTCGCTGGAAGCACCGCTGGCACCGACCAGATCTCTGGCAGTGCCTATATCGAGCAGGGCTTCGCGTACGACCCAAGCGACCTCTGGCGCAACTGGGGTATCATGATCGTTCTTATCGTTGGTTTCCTGGCTGCAAACGCCCTGCTTGGTGAGCACATCAAGTGGGGTGCCGGTGGAAAGACGGTCACTTTCTTCGCCAAGGAGGATTCCGAGACCAAGCAGCTGAACGAGGAGCTCCAGCGCAAGAAGGACAGGAGAAATCGCAAGGAGGAGACGACTGGGGCCAGCGATGGACTCAAGATTACTTCAAAGGCTATCCTCACTTGGGAAGACCTCTGCTACGACGTCCCGCACCCCTCCGGTCATGGCCAATTGCGCCTGCTCAACAACATCTTCGGTTACGTCCAGCCTGGCAAGCTCACTGCTCTTATGGGAGCTTCCGGTGCAGGCAAGACCACCCTTCTGGATGTCCTTGCTGCGCGTAAGAACATTGGTGTGATCAGCGGCGAGAAGCTCGTTGACGGCAAGCCTCCCGGTATCGCTTTCCAGCGTGGCACTGCCTATGCCGAGCAACTGGATGTCCACGAGCCTAGCCAGACTGTCCGCGAGGCTCTCCGCTTCTCCGCCGATCTGCGCCAGCCGTACGACGTCCCTCAGTCTGAGAAGTACGCCTATGTGGAGGAAGTCATTTCTCTTCTGGAAATGGAAGATATTGCCGACGCCATCATCGGAGATCCCGAGAACGGTCTTGCTGTCGAACAGCGCAAGCGCGTCACCATCGGTGTTGAGCTTGCTGCCAAGCCTGAACTGCTTCTCTTCCTCGACGAGCCCACTTCCGGTCTTGACTCCCAGAGCGCCTTCAACATTGTCCGTTTCCTGAGGAAGCTGGCTGCTGCTGGCCAAAGTATCCTTTGCACCATCCACCAGCCGAACTCGGCGCTTTTCGAGTCGTTTGACAGGCTTCTGCTGCTCCAACGTGGTGGCCAGTGTGTTTACTTCGGTGACATCGGCAAGGACGCTCATGTGCTGCTCGAGTACTTCCACCAGAACGGTGCCGACTGCCCGGCTGATCTCAATCCCGCCGAGTGGATGCTCGATGCCATTGGTGCCGGTCAAACCCCTCGCATCGGCAACAAGGATTGGGGTGATGTCTGGAAGGATTCTGACGAATTCGCCAAGATCAAGGAGGACATCATCCACATGAAGCGCGATCGTATCGCGGAAGTCGGCGCTGCGCCTGTAGTCGAGCAACAGGAGTACGCCACCCCGCTGTGGTACCAGATCAAGCGCGTCAACGCCCGCCAGCAGCTGTCTTTCTGGCGCACTCCCAACTACGGCTTCACCCGCTTCTTCAACCATGTCGTCATTGCCCTTTTCACCGGTCTCGCCTTCCTGCAGCTCGACGACTCGCGCTCCTCACTCCAATACCGCGTCTTCGTCATCTTCCAGGTCACCGTCCTGCCCGCTCTCATCCTTGCCCAGATCGAGCCCAAGTATGCCGTCTCGCGTATGATTTCCTTCCGCGAGCAGTCTTCCAAGGCGTACAAGACGTTCCCCTTCGCACTGTCCATGGTCCTTGCCGAGATGCCGTACAGCATCCTCTGCGCCGTGGGCTTCTTCCTGCCGCTGTACTACATCCCGGGCTTCCAGTCGGATTCGAGCCGGGCCGGCTACCAGTTCTTCATGATCCTCATCACCGAGGTGTTCTCGGTGACGCTGGGCCAACTGATCGCCGCCATCACGCCCGACCCATTCATTTCCGCGCACGTCAACCCCTTCGTCATCATCGTCTTCGCCCTCTTCTGCGGTGTCACCATTCCCAAGCCGCAGATCCCCAAGTTCTGGCGTGCCTGGCTGTACCAGCTAGACCCCTTCACCCGTCTCATCGGCGGCATGCTCGTCACCGAGCTGACCGACCGCAAGGTCGAGTGCACGAGCGTCGAGCTCAACCGCTTCACCGCGCCCGCCGGCCAGACGTGCGGCGACTACATGCGAGGCTTCTTTGTTGCTGGCGGCCCCGGTTACATTGTCAACAACCAGACCAGCGAGTGCGAGTATTGCGCGTACAGGGTCGGTGATGAGTTCTACCAGCCGCTCGGCTACGAGTTTGTCAACCGCTGGAGGGATCTGGGTATTTTTGCTGCCTTCATCGGCAGCAATTTGATTCTGCTGTTCACTGCTGTAAGTTCCACACCACTCCCTGTTTATTTTATATTGTCTCCATGAATTAGTACTAATATGCTTTCTTTGCAGGCTCGCTTCTTGAACTTCAACCGTCGTTAAGAACAAAAACGCGAGAGAAAAGATCGTGCATGCGTTCTGGAGAGGAGAGGAGAGCGAGACTCCTTTTTCATATGAGATTTACTTTTAATCATTTAACAAGGCGTTTTCAGAACGAACAACTCCCGCTGTTGCATTTCAGTTACTAGACGAGATAGATCTCGGATGCCACTTTGTTTGTTCATCCATACAGCTGCAGCTGCTGTTGGTGAGGAGAGTGGGAAAAAAAAAAAAAGCATCAGGATTGAGCTTCCACGCCATTTTGTGGTTTGCTGGTCTTTAGCATTTCTTGGACAGCGCATGGGATACCCCGCGTCTGTTATTATTTTTGTTTGAATCCCAGGTTTTCATTCATACTTGGGATTTTGTTGTTGTTCCCTTGTTTTGAGGTGATGGAGACACGTTCGATTACGATGAAAAGGCGCCCAAGTGATAGAGAAGTCATAATGAGTTTAATGCATCAAATCCGTATCAACATGTGCGAGGAAATGACTCCTCGTTGCAAGGAGCTCGAACGCCCAGTGGAATAAGAATCCGGTGAGTATATGCTAATATCCTGTTACATGTGAAACAGCCCTGGGAGACAAAGTCAGACATAAGGTCACTTTATTCAAAGTGTAGCACACTTTGCGACATTTGTCGCCACCCAAAACTCTGAAATATTTGTTTGTTACAGGTGCATTATGAAATAGCTGGGGAGAAACATGCATGATTTTCTTGGGGCAGAGTGCGTAGGCTTATCCCTCATGTTAAGGCAAACATTCTTTGATATTTCCGATGCCACCAATTCTGGAATTACTGAACTGTGTGACACGTATTGGTTGGTTTGGATATCAAGAGAGGCTTATACTTTGACGTGTTGCGGGCGAATGAACCGTCATCCCAAAAGAAATGGAGAAGGGTGGTTCATATCTAATCCTTGAGGCTCCTATAAGTCAACCAGTCAGTTACCAACTAATCGCCGCGCAACAGCTTGCTACTAACCAGTCCACGCTTTTCGATAACTTTCGCCCGCCCGCTCAACGGAACCTTCGCGCCCGGCAGTGTCCCGCAGCCACTACTCAGCGCAAATACAAAACTCTCGCTGTCCCCGGCAGCTAGCAAACACAACAACAACAACATCACCCCCCGCCACCCACCCGCGCATCTGCCAACCGACCACACAAAAGCAACGAACGCAAAGACAGAACACTCCTCATCCCGACCACCCCCCCACACACACACCTTGACACCGACCCACCCCTCGCCGTAAGACCCCAATCCACGACCCCAATCCACGACCGCAACCGCAACCGCAACCGCAACCGCCATGACGACACCCCCCGTCCCTCCTCTCGTCCCTCCCCCCGCACCGACAACAGCAGCACCGCCGTGGATCCTCCCCAGCGCGCTGCTCACCTTCGCCGTCGCCGCCGTCGCCGTGCTGCTCGCGTACCACCTCACGTTCCGCCGGGGGATCGACGTCGAGCCGCCGCTGGAGTCGCCGCTGGCTTCGCCGCTGGAGTCGTTGCTGGAGTCACCGCTGGAGTCGCCAATGCAGTCGCCAATGGAGCCGCCGCCGCCGCCGCCGCCGCCGCCATCGGAGGATGACGATGACGATGACGACGACGATGACGATGAGGATGATAAGGAGGAGGAGGAGGAAGAAGAAAAACAAGAGGAAAAAGAGGCAGACCGTCCGCCGCCGTGGTTGCCATCTGCGGCGCCGTTGTCATCCGCGCCGTTGTCATATGCGCCGCTGTCATCTGCGCCGTTATCACCTGCGCCGCTGCCGCCGTGGCCGTCGTCGTTCCCGACCACCGATTCGAAACAGGGCCCGCCGATAGCGTTCGTCCGCAATGGTCGCGTCTTTTCTTCCCGGCCAGAAGAAAACGTCAGCGGCGGTGGCGGCGACAGCAGCAGCAGCAACAACGAGCCTTTATGGCGAGCACTCGCAGGCGGCCGGGGTAATGCGATCGTGCCGCCGATAAGGGCGACGAGGCTGGCGAAGGACTTGCGGCGGGAGTGGAGGTGGAAGCAGGACAGCAGCGACAACAAGAACAACAACGGCGACGACGACGATGACGACGACGACGAGACGTCGAAGCTTCTACCGGGGACGCCTACTCCGTCGGGCATTGGCAAGGCGAACGGTTCTCCGACGACGACGACGACGAAGACGACGACAAGCGGGTCTTTGCCTTGGGCTGCTCGGGAAAACGGCATGCCCTGGATTCGGGCTCAGCGGCCGAGGGATGGAAGGAGGACGAGGGCGGTGCCCAGCGTCGAGCGCGTGGAGCCACCGTGGCGGCAGGGAAACGCCGCCGCGATGGGAGACGGTGATGCTTTCGGTCGATGGAGTGAGCACGGGAGGAGGTCGGGGCTGCCGTACCGTGGATACGTGGGCGATGGTGGTGGCTATCTGGATCAGATCTCGGGCACCTTGGATCTGGTGGTCGATAAGTTGACGATGCATTTCGGGGACGATGGCGGCGAGGAAGACTTGGTGTTTCCGATTACGGAGGAAGAAAGGGGAAGCTAGGGGGGGTCCTGTGGGATTGAAGGCGGGTCGATGGGGCTGCGGAGTACAAAAAGCTCGAGGCGGAGCAGGACTGGAACACCGACGTGGTGCGGCATCTGGGAATGGACTGGACTATCAGCCTTTATCTAAATTTTTAGAATAAAAAGATCAATATGATGAGTTCACGGTACCACTGTTCTAGTGACAATTGTTTGTAGGTAAAAGGTAGTTCGTTGAAAAGGTTACTGAGAAGAAAAAAAGGAAGCTCCTCGTATTATGGCAGCAGTTTGTTATCATTACCTGCCCATCAGATTTCGAGCAAGGACGACCGACGTCCTCCAAGTAAAGCAAAAGAGAGAGACGAAGAGAAGAAAACAGTATGACCCATCATAACTGAATCTTCACTCCTTTTATCGCTCTCTCGACGCGCTCTTCCTCTCTTTAAGTGTTGAACAAATACGCAGCAACGACGCCGCCCCAACCACCGCTGCTGTCCGCACTGGTCGCCACCCCGGCGCCACCGTCACTGACGATGATACGTTCTATAGCCTTGACGTTTGTACCGTAAAGATACGTGCGCTTAGCCTCGCTGATCTCAATGGCGCTCTGCTGGCAGTTGTCGCCGTGCTCTGTGCAAGCCTTGCCAACGCCGCCGTTGAAGAAGGCCCACAGCGCGCCGCCGTACAGGAACAGGTCGCTCGTCCCTTGGTTCATGCGCTCCAGCCACGCCACGCCGCAGTACGGATCGCCGTCGCAGCCCGCGAAGTCCGGGTCGCTCTCGATCAGGTTGTCCTGCCACGGGTAGGGCGCGGCAGCCGAGCCGTTGGGTCCCTGCCAGTAAGGGGTCTCGCTCTGCTGCATGGCAGCGTAGACGTTGCGCGCGTTCCAGAAGTTGTACTGGTAGAGCGTGTTGTGCTCCATGCCGGTGCCAACGAGCCAGGTGCCCTGCGTGGCCTCGACAAGGGCGCCGCGGCCGACGGCAATGGTCTGCTCGCCGTACGGCCCATCGAGGTCATGGTCCGCCGTCCAGCCCCACATGTTCTCGATGTAGGCCGACGATGTGTTGGTCAGGTGGAGCAAGCCCCAGGCGGCCTTGCACTGCTCGGGCGACGCGAGGCAGTTGGTCTGCACCTTGGAGCCGTTAGCGCCGCCGATGCGGAAGTGCGTGTTCCACAGCCCGACGTCGCCCGGTGCATCGCCCGCCATGTTGATCTCGACGAGCTTGCAGCCCTGGAGCACGTCGGCAACGGTGAAGAGCATGTCGCTGATCTGCGCCACACCGACGTCGCCGCTGTTGCCGACCTTGACCATGGCTCGGGGCTCATCCGGATTCCAGAAGTTGCTGCCATTCGCCGAGATGGCGGTGCCGAAGGCGTCGCCGAAGATGCGAGTGCCAACGGGAATGGTGATGGTATCGGTAACGATGTAGGTTCCAGCGGGCCAATAGATGATGGAGCAACCCGCGTACTGTGCAAGGATGGCATTGATGTTCTCTGTGTCGTCAGTTTCTCCGTCACCGTAGACGGGTAGACCGTCGACGGCCTTGATGTTAATAAACTTGTCGACAGAGTATTCTTTGTACGTTGGAGGAGCGATTGCAACATAGTTGGTGCCATCAAGAAGGGCAGAGGTGCGCGGAGTCTTGCCGGCCTGGCCATCGGGGATCCAGGAGTGAGCGCCGCTTCCAGGAGTGGGATAAGCGTTTCCACGGAACCAAGTGTCCTCGACGTTCCCAGAAAGAAGAACCTGGCCATTCAGCTCAACTGTAGTGCCGTCATGTTGGATGTTCTCTAGAACGATGCCGTTGGGTTTGTAAGTGTCAACAGAGTGGATGAAAGTGCCGATGTTGGTGGTGGAGGTGTCGATAACAACGAAAGACCCGCCGATGTCGCTGGCATTGACGCCCATGCCACAGTATTCAAATGTGCTACCTGTGAGGACAATATCGTGACCGCCGAGCTGGGCACCAATGCGGCAACCGTTGAACTTGATACCCTTAAAGAGCCATTGCTGACCGCTGGCCCAGATGCCGATGTAGCCTCCGTTGAAAGTAAGGTCATTGATGAGAAGGTTACTGTTGTATCCATCGCCTCCGGGCCATTCGCCAATCCTCATGCCGATGTGGCTAACCGTGTTGTTGGGCATGTTGAAGACGACATTGGTGATCTGGGTGGCCTGACTGACCGTCCAGTCCAGCAACGTAATGGATTGATTGGCAGAAACGGCAGTTGAGTCGAGTACGACATTCTTGAGGCCGACGTAGAAGTTGATGGTGCCGCCATAACGGGGATCCTTGGCGTAGATGGCATGGCTGTCGCTGAAATTCGAAGCAACCTTGAGGACAGGGGGATCGATAGGATCACCGACGAACATAGTGCCTATGAAAAACTGGAGGGGGGTGTTCAGAAGATAGGTACCAGCGGGGAGGTATACCACGGCAGGCTGGCCGGTAGAGCCGTAGCCGTTGTCCTTCTGAGAACGCGGAGGGCCATTGGTCGGACCAGCTGACAGATTTAGCGCGTGGTTCAGGTGGCGCAAACAAAGATACAACTCACCGTTGATGGCATTCTGAATCGCAACCGAAGCATCGGTTTTGCCTGATTTGTCGGCACCGAAGTCCTTGACTACATTCCGGAACGTACTGTAGTCGCCCAAACCAGCACTGAGATAGGACGACAAGCCGTTGTGAGTGATGTCCTCCAGCCAATACGTGGTGGGATTATCGACGGTGAGAGGACTGCAGGCTGCTAGATACGGCGGTCTAGTGGAATTGAAGGCGGAGCTATTTACAGAGGCCGAAGGCCCGCTCGTTTCATTGTAAAGAGGGTAAGGGGCGGCAGCGGACAGGCCAAAGACCAGAGCCACGGACAGCAGAGAGAAAGACTGCATATGGAAAGAGCGAGGAAAATAGAAAGGAACGAAAGAAGACTGGCGAAGGATCTGCAGGGTTGGGTTGCGGGAAGATGGCGAGCGAAAGGGTTTATAAGCTCAAAGTCATCCTTCTCGCCAACGCGCCCTGATCATCTCCGTGTCAGTGGGTCGGCAGATCATCCGAGGGCCTTACTCGAGCGGCTTTGCCGGTAACTAGGCCTGTGTAGGTGCATCGTGTGCAGATACAGGGACAGGGACAGGGACAGGGTCAGATTGACGGGTGGAGGCCTGATTCGGCAAGAGTACGACATGATTCGCAGAATCGGGTGCGACGATGTGTTTGCCGGATGCAGTAAGCATTGGAAGCGTGTTTCTGTGGATTCAACGGAAAGGAGCGACAAATGCGCGGGCGGCAAGACGGCAGGTTTGGTGGGACGGGATCAAGAATGTCCAAGCACTGAGTTTGGCATGGCGGGCGAGGAGGTGCTGAGGATAATTTGGGGGCCCAAGTTGCGCGCCCTGGCTAGCGGTCACCCGGGGTCTGGCAGGGCGACTGGACCCAGGCGGGCTGCCGACTTGGGCAATCAGAGAAGTGTGATCAGCGTCTGTCTTGGGTGCAAATCCGGGCGCTGGCTTGCATGTCGCGTGGCATCTGGGGGGCCACGGCCGACCAGGAATGGAAGGTAAGGCCTGTGTCTCGGTCGTTGTGTGCAACGCCAACGCTCGGTTGGCTCAGTCGCCCTTTGTGGCGCTCACTGACAGCGGTGAGCAAGACGCGCGTGCTCCAAGCAACGGATAACGCGGGACTCAGCAGCGACTCGGGCGGCTGTTAGGACGCATGGCGAGGGTGTGGTGGATGAAGGGGCATCAGGCAGCTGCAGGGGCCGTGTTGGTGGCGCCCGCGAGAAGGTCCGGCCCGAGCAACAGCAAGCGGGCTCCTTCCATCAACGCTCCTGCTGGAAGCTTTTTTTCTGTGTGCCGAACAGCAGGAGCCCACTTCGCCACTTCTCGACATGTAATGATGTCAATGTGGTCAAGGATACCAGCTGAGCGCCAATGCACGCTGCGTCCATACCCGACGTCGATATTGAACCGCCCCCGCACCTCATGGATTCTTCATGACCATCTGCCCAAACAAGCCTTGTCCGTCAGCAACTAAGCAGCTCCGGCCCATAGCGCCTCTTCTGCGGGCGCCACTTGCCCCGCCGCCACCACTATCCACACCACCCTTATCCCCCAACGACGTGACGATGCTTTCTTTCCTAACGAGCCACGCGCCCCGCACAAACACAGCCTCGCACAACCCGGTCGTGCTGGACAGCCCGGCCGCGGGCGCAGGGCCGGTCACGATGCACTTCTACTCGCCGTCTGCAGCGCGGCGAGTGATGCGGCTGTCGCTGCCGGCGGGGCCCGGTCTCGCCTTACCGCCGCCACACTGGCACCGCTACCAGACCGAGACCTTCGACGTCGTCAAGGGCCGCCTGCTCGCCATCTGCGACGCCATCCCCTCGGGCAAATCCGTCATCCACCCCGGCCAGAGCGTCACCATCCCCAACGGCGCCATCCACCGCTTCGAGAACGCCGCCGATCCGAAGAGCGAGGCGGGGGCCGGCGAGGAGCTGGTCTTCGACTTGTCCATGGATCCGAAAAAGGCCGAGGGCGATGAGATCTTCTTCCGCCATTTCTACGGCTACCTCGACGACTGCGCGAGGGCCCAGAGGTCGCCGGACTTCTTCCAGCTCATGCTGTTTTTGTGGGAGGCGGACACCATCTTGGTGCTGCCCTTCGTGCCTCGCTTTGTGAGCATTGGCTTCGTGTGGTTCACCGGCAAGGTCGTCGGCAGGTGGCTGCTAGGCCTCAATCACTTGTATCCAGAGTACTATCGCAAGGGCGCTGCTCCCGCTGCCACCGAGCCCGAGTAAACAAGATTGACTCTTGATGAATAATGCTTGACGATATCCATCGTTGGTTGGATTCGATGTCTGCATGCAATTTTATAGTCTTAAACTCATATATATATTTCAATCTCAATACTCACAATTTTCCAGAATCCACTGCAGCACAGCATACTTGATTATCATACTGGCGCCGCCTAGTCTGCGTTCTACTTCATTTTCTACGGGATGCATCACCATATACTTCAACCGAGATGCGCATGACCCCCAGTCCATGCCCCATCCATGTACGTATCCACATGACCCCCCACCACCCCCACCCCGTCCAGCGAGCCAAGTCGGGATGAGGCCTTGACGAGAGCGGGGCGGGATGCTCCACCCCCAGCCTCTACGTTCGAAGTTGTGTTGATCGAAATGTTCTGCCCAGCGGATAGGAGAGCGCGGAGGTGGAAGGCCTTTCCTATTCCGGTAAAGGGAGGGCGGCCCGATGGGGAAAGCGATCTTTTTTTGGGTCGTCCGCGACGTGCACGGGCGCAATTTGAAGCTCCTGTTCCCACGTCATGATTCACGATCTCCGTGCAAAGGCCACGCTGATTTCACTGGTTGATATTTTTGTTGCGGGTGGGAAAGAAAAGTTAAATAGATGGCAACGGTGTCGGGCGCAATCACGTTTGAATCGGGTGTCCTCTATATTGACAGTGGTACAAACTCATTTTTCCCCTTTCACACACCATGAAACTACGACATCTATGTTGACAGTACAAACTTGTTTTTTGCCCCTCCTTCCCTCTAGCCCACAGACGCATTGCATTGTTACAAGACAACCCATCCTCCCTTTCCCTCTCTCCCCTAATCACAAAACCTTCGCAACATCCGGATTGCTGCAAAAGATGCTAAAGCAAATCTCAGCAATGACCTTCCCGGCCTCCAGCAGCCGCCGCTCCTTCTCCTCGAGCGTGCGCACCTCGGGGTCGGCGCTGATGCGGTGATACGCCAGCACCATGCGCGGGATGATGAAGGCCTTGCCCGCAAACTGCGTCGTGCGCAGGCGCTCCTCGGCGACCTTGACGAAGCGCTCGATGAGGGCGACGACGCGGCCCTCGACGCTCGGGAGCGTGCGCACGAGGTTGGGCGTGATGGGCGGGTAGTAGCACAGCGATGTGGACGACGAGGGAGACGGGGGTGAGGGCACCGATGGTGGTGGTGGCGGCGGCGGCGGCGGGCAGGGCGTGGTGCTGGTGCTGCCGGGGAAGTGGGAAGGGCCCGGCGGGAGGGTGCCGTCGTGCTCGTCGCGGATGAGCTCGTGGCAGAGGTAGAGGGCGGCGTAGAGCCCGGCGTTTTTGAAGAGCATGCCCGAGGCGTGGAGGGCGGTTGTGCAGATGTTGTCCGTGCGGTTGTTGTTGTTGTTGTTGTTGTCGTTGCTGATGGGACTGTTGCGGCGGCTGCCGTCGGGCGAGTTGCCGGCGCTGGCGGCTCCGTGTTGCTGGCGCTGCTCGGGCGTCGCCGGGGCGGGCGTGATTTGCTCGAGTATGGAGAGAGCTGAGGCGAGGGAGACGTTTTGGGAGTAGGCGTATTTGGGGTCGCCGGCGATGGCAAAAGGGATGTGGAGAGTGAGGAGGTAGCGGTTTTGGAGGAACCTGAGGGCTTCGGTCTGGCAATTACGTGGTTCCTTTTCGAGGCCGTGGAAGGACTTGGAGAGTTGGTTGCTGAGGCTGAGGACTTTGTCGTAGTCATCCTCAGGGATGATTGCATTGACGGAGCATGCGATTTTCATGCGGGTGTAGAATGAGCTCAGCATGCGATCTTGGATGGAAATGGCACCGCTGTCGGAGCAGCAATTTCGTGTCTCCCTGGGGACTGTCGGCAACGCAGTATCCCAATCACCGATTCGTAGAGTGGGCTTCATGCCGGCATTCAGGCAATATTGCAGATCCAACTCTAGAACAGTGTAGAATAGGCGTCGGCGCAGTTCGTGCTCGTCAGGTGGGATGCCGTAAAGTTTGCTTGGGTCTCGATGAAGGCCCATGGCCAAAGCATTCTTGACAAGCGCGCCGGATGATACCCACTCGGCGGTTTCGCTGAGCGAGTATATCTGCCTGAGGAGAACCACAAGGAAGCTTCCTTGTATGGTGCTTATCATGCGTTCATTGGTCTCGGCGGCAGCTCCTTGCCATGTCAAGCCCAAACGCCACCATCTGATGATCCTGGAGCGAGGTATAGGCCTCTCGTCGTTAGGTATAGTACCATTTCCGGCACAGATGACCAGAATCAGGATGACAACGAAGACAAGGCTTGCCTGGGTTGGGGCTTCCCAGAAGCTCTCATACTCGGCGCGAAATTTGGGGCCGTCGAAGAGAGGATACATTCTCTCAATGCTCTGGAAGTAATTGGAAACACAAAAGTCTGCAATTTCCCGGGTAGGGACCTCCGAGTACAGAGCATCGGGAGGTAACTCATCCTGATCGTTTGCCAGTAAAAGCTGCTGGCTGGTCAGGCGTTTGATGCGGATGACAGAGACGCGCTCGCTCTTTTGCCAGCTGGCTCGATCGGAGTGCATGTAGGACATGATGGTACCAAACTGAACTTATCAGCACTCGACGGTAGAGTTGAGGGCGGTAGTTGGAATACCTTTGAAATGAGCCAGGGTGCGCTGCTCCTGCCAAAGTAGACGGTCTCTCCGTTGGCCAAGTAAAGTGCATGATCTTCGCCGGCTCTTGGTTCGAGTGCTGGGTTGGAGGCTGACACAGTGGGGGCTGCGGGTTGGAGAGAGGCACTCGCATTCTGCTCAGAAGTAGAGGGTGGTCGAGGGAGGGTGTAGGGGGACGCTGGGAGAGGGGTGGCTAGCGGAGCGGCAGGGTGGGAGGGAGGACGATGCAGGGAGCGGTAGGTGGTATCATGGCTAGCGGACAGCGATTCTGGGGTTGCAAGGTCGGCTGGCTCCGAGGGCGAGTGGTATGCGGATGCGAGCGGCAGAGCGGAAGTGGGTACGGGAGGGCGGGGTGCAATTGAAGGGCTGGCAGTGCGGCAGTCTCGGCCACGACTGGCCCTTCCCGGGCTGGGGGCGGCGGGGGCTGGTGGGACATGCAGCGGATAGGAGCACTGGGTGTCCCATCCTCGGATGCGGCATCGCTTACAGGGGCGCTCGTGGTCACACTTGACCTTGCGGCGGCGGCATTGGACGCAGCTCAGCTGCTGTCTTGGCCTCGGCGGCTGAGCGGCCTCATCGGCGTGGTCCATGTTTAGTGCAGCGGGGACGGGCGAGCAGGGAGACAATCAGGGCTTCGGTGTGCGCGGGAGCGACGAAGGGTGGGTCTTAAATAGCTCGGCCTCGGCAATGCCTCTCGGATCTCGGTCTCGGAGCCGGTCATGGAAGCTGCTGTTGCTGCCTCGTCCGCGACACGACGCGACGCCTTATCTATACCTATACTCCAGCCTCCCACCACATACATGATGCTGCGCAGATGTAGCTATGATGCAGCCTGTGGGTTTGATCTCGCTCCTTTCTCGTTTCGAGAGCGTGGCTAACTGGCAACCCAAGTCTGGCGCAATACCTCTGTGAGGCAGATGCGGACGCTCACGTATTTTGGAACCAGCTGTGCTCGGAGTAGAATTAACGTCCAATCGTCGCGAAATAGATAGCGTTCCAGCGGTCCAGCGTTCCAGCGGTCCAGCGGTCCAGCGTTCCAGCGTTCCAGCGTTCCTCTCGCACATGACGCGGCAATGACGCGGGAGCAAGGAAGCAAAAGAGCCCCCCAAATCGTCGCGTGTCTGCAGCTCCGACATGGCGGCGACAAACAGCGTTTGACAAACCAGATCTCCACCTGTCACAGCGGGGCACGCACCATCGCAGCCCGACCATGGCCGTTCTGGTATGTCGTTGCCGGTCTTCAAATTGCCTCTTCCGGTGAGCCCTGACGTCACGCATCGACGTAGAACTACGACCACGGCGGCGAGAAGCCGCTCAATCGCGAGCCTCCGCTCGAGAAGTTGATTTCCAGGTAAGCAAGCTACGCTCTCAGTCGCCAACCCAATGCGTTTGTCTCCGGCCGTGTCCACGCGAGGTACGAGCATCTTGTCATGAGACTGATTAGGCTTGACGACTTGTTGCGGGCGTGACTGCCAATAATCACTCGACTCTGTCGTATTGACCCATTTCTGACGCCACCTCGTTGACACAGCTTCATCACCATCGAAGATGGCTACGATCGCAATCACGGGTATGCTCCCTCATCTACAAACTTGACAAACTGCCCTCACCGCTGCGCAGTGCAATCCCCAACATTGACGCCAAAACCCACCGCGTCACTGTTGATGGTGCCGTCTGCACGCCCCTCTCACTCTCCCTCCAGGACTTGCAATTTCTTCCGCAGCACACCGTCATCTGCGCCCTCCAGTGCGCCGGCAACCGACGCCACACGATGCGCACCGAGATGAAGGAGGTCAGCGGTCTTGACTGGTTCGACGGCGCCGTCATGAACTGCAAGTGGCGCGGCCCTCGTCTGCGTGACGTCTTGCTCAGCGCCGGCGTGGGCTTTGCCGAAGCGGAAGCGCAGCACGTCGCCTTTGCCTGTCACCAGAACCCGTGTCAAGAGGACGAGTGGTACGGCGCGAGCGTTCCGCTACCGAGGGCGATGGCCGAGGATGCCGACGTGCTGCTTGCGCTGGAGGTGCGTAAGATGCGAGATATTGCCCTCGTCTTCCTCTTCCTCTTCCTCTTCCTCTTCCTACTACCGATAAATACAGATGAACGATGCCCCGCTCACGCCCAACCACGGCTTCCCCGTCCGCATAGTCACGCCTGGTATCGCCGGCGCCCGCTCTGTAAAATGGCTTGATCGTATAACCGTCCAGAACCACGAGTCTCCCAACCACTACCAGCAGCGCGACTACAAAATTCTGCCCCCGGAAGTCGACTCCACCGACAAGGCCGAGGGCGTTTGGGATCGCGTTCCCGCCCTTCAGGACATGCCCGTCAACTCAGTCATTGGCGTTCCGGCAAATGGCTCGAAATTGGGGCGGGACACGGAAGGCATGATCGAGGTGAAGGGATATGCGCTGCCAGGGGGAAGCTCGGGGCCGGTAGTCAGGGTAGAGGTGAGCGCGGATGAGGGGAAAACGTGGCAGGATGCAGAGCTATTGGGAGATGAGCAGTATGAGGAGGACGGGGCAAATCTGAAATGGGCGTGGCGCTTATGGCGAGCGAAGCTCAAGGTGGAAGAAGGGAAAGGTAAGATGATGTTGAGCCGGGCTACTGACGAGGGTGGGAACGCGCAGGAAGAGCGGTGCCAGTGGAATCTGAGGGGATGCGCCTACAATGGCTATGGAGAGGTCAAGCATCTGGAAATCGTTTGAGCACAATTTTCTTTCGTCTCGATTTAGCTCTGGCCGTAAGTTTCTTAGTCGACGTCGTTTACCGTGCCGACATTCAGAGCCAAAGGATAACGCTAATATGATGTGTGAGAACAACGGGGTGGAAGCTACTATTCTCTAAGCTAGAAATTGCAAATCATCTCCAAGTTTTGCCCTTGCGCTCTCCAGGACTTCCACATCTCAGTTGGCACAAATTGCCGCGCCTATAAGACGTCTGGGTATGCCAGCAACTGAGACGCATGGCATGGTGAGTTGGGGTCGAATAGCCTAATCCACGACGGCCATGGCATCATGTTTTGTGCCTATTGTGTTTTTCCTATTGTTGGCCATAACGTTTCAAGTATGCCTCCGTTTCTATTGACCCTCACGTGCACAATGGCACCGAGTGAAACAAGACAATTGTAAGAAGCTCACAATAAGACGATGCTTTGCACAAAACTTCTATGTCTCCCGCTCTTTCTGCAGACATTCAACATCAGTCAACAGCTGCCACTACCACTGCTTCTTATGGATCCCACGCAATGGTCTTCGGGCTTTACTGGCACGCCCACGCTGTCGATATCACCGGCGCCTCGCAGCACCTCACGCAACTCGCGCAACTCGCGCAACTCACCCGCTCCAGCTCAGCCATACACCATGGCTTCGTCTTCGTACCCGCCTACTTACGGCTTCACTGACCCGACCGTCCCCAATCAAAGCACTCCAAACCCGCACCAACCTTCCGCGTCAGGAAGCCCGGTACCAATGTCGACGACCGCTCACCCTCAGAGTAACCATACAGGCTATCTCGCGGCCTCGTCTCCCGTCATGCAGACTCCGGCAATGGGCTTTCCTACATTTCGCTATGCCGCTAACCCGGGCATCAAGGACCGCTTTGGCATCGCAGGCCAAGCCGAGAGTCAACAACAGCAAGCGCTCCAAGCACAGTATCAGCAGCACTTGTACCAGCAACAACAGTTCCAGCAGCAGTATGAGCAGAACCAATACCAGAAGCAGCTGTACCAGCAGTACCAGCAACAGCGCCAGCAACAGCAGTATCAGCAACAGCGCCAGCAACAGGCGCAACCTCTGCACCAGGCTTCCGCTTTGGTTGGCACCGTCAACCAGCAACTCTTGACTGTACCTCAGCAACAGAGGCATCAGCAGCTACAGCAGTTTTCCTCACCCATTCCCCCACCCACGGCTGCCAATCAACAACAGTATCTTCAGCCTCAACTGCTCGCGGCAGCGTCACCGAACCAGATCAACTCCCAGATAAGCCAACAGCACAACTTCACAAGCAACGAGACCAGCGCGCCAGCTGCTCCCGCCGCGGTCTCGCCCAGCACCACCGTCTTCACCACCGCTGCTCCCGTCGCCGATGCCCCCGTCACCGACTCCCCTGCCATCAGTTCCCCTTCCACCGGCGCCGTTCCTGCCCCAACCACCACCACCACCACCGCAGCAGCACAGCAGCAGCAACAGCAACAACAACACCACCAAAACCAACCCCACCACCAACCCACCGACCACATCAACCTCAACCCCAACCTGATGCCCCCACCCGCCCCGCTCATCGAGCCGCACCCGCTCTCCAAATCCGTCGCCTCCCTCGTCCTCCTCCACCACCCCCTCCCCCAGCGCGCCGTCGCACAGCTCTCCATGACCACAGCCTCCAGCCTACTCCGCCTCTTCGCCGACTTCGAATACCGCGACCTATCAGCCGACCACCACCACCAGCACCGGCCCAGCGACGTCGCCCAGCTGACGCCGACGACGCGCGCGTGGCTGGCGGCGCACCTGCGCGAGCTCAACGCCGCGAGGCGCGTGAGCGCCGCACGCCTGTGCGCGCGGTGGCAGCGGTGCGTGCGCGAGCGGTGCGTCCGCGTCCGCGTCGCGGGTTCGCGGACCGGGGGCAAGGTGGAGTGGGTGCCGCAGGAGGGGCCGGAGGTGCCGGGGGGCAGCGAGTGGGAGCTGAAGATGTTGGATTGGGAGGCGCGGGAGGCGTTGGGGAGGGTGGAGAGGCTGTCGGAGGAGGATCGGAGGAAGGGGCGGGCTTTCGTCATGCCGTTGATCAGGCCGGGGTGGGAGTTCTTGCAGCTGAGGCAGGTGAGGGGGCCGAGTGCGAAGGAGTGGGAGGATTTCGTGGTGGATGATGTGGGGGAGTTGAGGAGGCAGAGGGAGAGTAGGGAGAAGGAGGAGAGGGAGAGGGAGGAGAGGAGGGTGGCGGGCGAGGATGAGGATGGGGGGAGCGGGGATGATGGTGGTGGTGGTGATGATGAGGTTAGGGTTGTTGGGTCGAGGGTTCTGAGCGATGAGGAGATGAGGGCGGTTGCGGCGCAGAGGGGGGCGAGGGCTGCGAGGCAGTCGGCTTCGACGAAGAATGTTGCTGCTGCGAGCAGTAAGCCGAAGAAGGCGTCGCTGAAGTCGGCGGCTCAGAAGAAGACGCAAGGCAGGAAGAAGAGTGCCGCAGCGAAGGCCAAGGAGAAGTCTTCCAAGCGCGTGGAGTTCAGCCATGTTGCAGAAAACGCCGGCCAGACCAACGTCACAGCTCCTATACAGTCGGCTCCGCAGGTAGCGGATTATCCTCCCATCTATGGCGAGGCGCCTCAGAGCACCAACCAGGACACCTCCGTTGCTACCGCCGACGCCAGCAACACTCCAACTGCTCAAGTGTCTGATTATCCACCCATCTACGGCGAGGTGCCTCAGAACACCAACCAGGACACCTCCGTTGCTACCGCCGCCGCCGCCAGCAATACTCCGACTGCTCAAGTGTCCGATTATCCTCCCATATTTGCCGACGACACCACACCCTCAGGACTACCCGACTACCCTCCCATTCACGCCACCAGCACTGCCTCCCCTGTGGTTTCCAATCACGGTCCCACTCACGCCACCGACAACACAACCGTCGGCGAGTCCGCCATCTCTCCCAGCACTCAGCCCAGCCCCACCGCGACCGGCGCCTCGAACGCCCAGCCTCCCTTCATAGGCACTTCGATCGACCCCCCTAGTATCGGCGAGTCCCTTGGTTCGGGAACAAACGATGCGACTGAAATTTCGAGCGGGGCTTCGGGTTCTGCTCTGCTGGGTAACCAGACTTCCGCCGACCCGGACAGCCACAATGGCGGCGGCGGCGGCGGCGACGACGGCAACGTCGAGGCTGAAGGAACGATACCGCCGCATGTGGATGGCGTTTCCAAGTCCAACAATCATGGGGACAATGATGAGCTATATGACCTCTTTAAGGGTCTTGGCGATGAGTGAGGAAGGAGAGGTGCGGTCGATCGTGCTCCTCGGAACTTTTTTCTATTTCTTTTTTCCCTCATCGCATGCGTACGCTTGTTTGACAAGTGTTGCATGGAGATTGCTTAATTTCTTGTTTTGATTGTCGTTCACCACAGGGGGCCTTGGTCTCGTAGGTCGACAAAGTTTACTATTTAGACGTCTGGGCACACATGGACTTTGGATAGAGGGTCCAAAATATCCGAGTAACATCACTTCATAGCGCTTCTGGAGCCCATATAGCCGTACAATGGACCACATGAAATCTGATCTCTTTCACGGTGGACGTCCAGACATAGACGTGAACTTTGTGAACACTTCTACATTGGAGGTAGATACTCAAGTGTCCATATACAAAAAGTACGAGCCCTGTGACTACGAACATAGATACAGGCATACCCCATGTAACTAGAATGCGACATTGGTGTAGGCTACTGTATCTGTCAAGGCAACATCGAGCGAGCGAAACCGTAAACTTCACACATAATGAGGAGAAATCCATACCGCAGTAAGTAGAAGCAATCAACATTCAGGTCCACACAGCTTTTGCTAACATCGCGCTTCTTCTAGCGCCTTTTAAAGCAAGGCTCTCCGTCCGCAACACCTTCCTATACAGCCCACGCCAGCCACCTCCATCAAACCGTCTCTCTCCATTACTTCTTCTGCTCCGCTAACCATTCCTCATGCAGCTTCTTCTGCCTCTCCCACTCCTTCCTCAACTTCTTCGTCCGACTCTTCGGCAGCTCCTCTCCCTTGGCGTCCCTGACCGGCAGCCCCTCGTCATCCCACGCGCTGTACTCGGCCGAGCGGAACATCTCGAGGTGGCTCAGCTTCGCCTTCTCGGCGAGGGCGGCCTTGCGCTCCAGCTCCTCGCGCTCGCGCTTCTCCTTGGCCGCCAGCTTGGCCGCGGCCTGCGCGTCCTTTTGCTCGCGCGCGGCGATGAGGTCCGCCGACAGCGGGCGCACCAGCGCGGGGAGCTGCTGCGCGTCGCGGTCCTCGAGGTAGATGCCGAGGTCCCAGAGGTGCGCGTCGCGGAGCCTGTCGCACAGCGACAGGAAGTCCTTGGCCGGCGCCTGCTTGTCCGCCAGCGACTTGACGTCCTCCTGGAACTGCGTGTAGACCTCGGCGTACGGGACGGCGTCGGCGGGCTGCTCCGCCGCGGCCGGATCCTTGGAGGCGAGGTCTTTGATGGCGGTGACGTCCATGGTGCCGGACTTGGCGGCGTCGCGGACGGCGTCGCGGAGGGCGGAGACGGGGTACACGAAGGGCTGGGCGGGCGCCGGGATGTCGATGCCGGCCCAGCCGATGCGGTTGGCGTCGCTGAGGCCGGCGATGCCGTCGAGACCGAAGATGGTGACGACCTTGGTGATCCAGCGGCCGATCGTGAGGGCCGTTGCGTCTGATAGCGAGGCCTTTGTAGCTGCCGAGTTGTAGTCTGTAATCAGACGGGAAACAACTTGCATAGCGCCGGGGGTATCGAACGAATCGCAGAGTGTCTTGTCGAGTTCTGTTTGCGCAGCACTGAAGGCCGTCTGAAGAGCAGAGTCCGCCTCGGCCGACGCCGCGTTTTCGGGCGAAGGATGCCTCTCAAGGTCCTTGACCTTGAAAAAGAAGTTGTTGACCTTTTCCTCCCAAGCGGAGCCCTCCTTGACGAGACCCTCGGTGATTTCGACGGGCTCCTTCCAGCCGCCCAATAGGAAAACGATGCGCAGGGAACGAGGAGTCCAGTCACCGCGACCCAGCGCTTCTCTGATGGTAGTGAAGTTCTTGAGGGACTTGGACATCTTTGACCCGGAGATGGACAGGTGTCCCATATGAAGGAAGTAGTTGATCCACTGGTGGCTTTGGTGGTCGTGCTTGCATTCCGCCCAGAAGGCTTCGCTTTGGGCCAACTCATTGTCGTGGTGAGGAAAAGCAAGGTCGATACCTCCAGAATGGATGTCCACCTTCTGGCCGAGGACATCTGACGCCATCGCAGAACACTCAATGTGCCAACCTGGCCTGCCCATGCCCCAAGGACTTGGCCATGCCGGCTCACCCGGCTTTGATGACTTCCATAGAGCGAAGTCAGCATCCGAGCGCTTCTCGGCGCTCTTCTTGGTGAGGGCGCCTTCTCCGTCAGCCAGGAGATCCTTGTCATTTCTGTTCCACGGCTCTAGGCGTGCGTAGGAGTTGCCATCCTTTTCAAAGGCCTGGATGTCAAAGTACACAGAACCGTCTGATGTGACGTAGCCGTAGCCATTCTTCACGACCTTCTCCACAAAATCTACGATTTGCGGGCCGTATTCAGTGACGCGGGTCACCACGTCTGGATCCAGGCAGTTCAACGCGCGCACGTCTTCCATGAAGCGGCGCTCGAATTTCTGGGTCAACCTGGTAAAAATGCTGTGGTCGTTGGCGTCTATTGTGTGGCCGTACAGGGAGTCGAGGTATGGCAGCAGGACATCTTCGGCCTTGGTGTAGAAGTCCGTCACGCTGGTCTTCTTCGCATCCGCCAGAATCAAAGCCTCGGCAGCGGCGGATGCTGTCTTCAGGTGCATCTTGACCTTGGCCTCCTTGTCACCGGGCGGACCATCGCCCTCGACCGCCTTACCCGCCAAAACGTGTCCATATGCCTTCTTTGCCTCTTCCGCGTATTGCTCAGGCTGCGCGTCGGCAGGAAGCAGAGAGAGGTTCTTCTTCAGGTAGGCCTCGAAAGCCTTCTTCGCTACGGACAGCGTCTCGTCGTCCAGCTCTGGGTGGCTGTCGACATATTTTGCGAGTATATACTGTTGTCTGCCGCGCAGAATGATCTTGTCGTCGACGTCGGTAATGTTCATGACGAAGCGCACGTCGTATTTGAAGTAATCGCGCATGATGCGGCGAATGATGTCGGTCGAGACATAGTTGCGGGCATGGCCCAGGTGGGCATCGTCGTAGACGGTGGGACCGCAGGCGTACCAGGAGACCTTGTTGCCGTCAATGGGCACGAAGGGGACCTTGGAGCGGGTCAGGGAGTTGTAGACGTGGAGCGGCGGGAGATCAGAGCGGGCGTGCGGCGCCTGCCACGGAGGTTGGGTGCGGCCGGACATGGTGCGGGTGAAGGGCCGGCGGACCAAGAACGAGCGGATCCGGAGCGCGAAAGTGAGGCTTTGTGGGTGCGGGCGGCGGAGTGGCAACTGTGGCATCTATCTCATTGTTGTTCGTGTCCCAGCAGTGAGTCAGGACAGCACGTCTTCGTTTTGGGACGCACAGCTGCAAGCCCAGACCCTGGCGCCGATCGGCCGCGGGGCAAGCTCGTCCGCGACTTTTTTCGCCCGCCGAACGTCACTACTCCCACATTCCACCAGACGCCCGCCATGCCGTCCTTTCGCCCTTCGCCCTTCCTCGACCCCGGCGCAAAGACTCGTGATGGTCAACTGGCCCTGGTCCATCTCAGTCGCGAGCACCTCACTCCTGTCGTCATCAATGCCTCTCCCGACGCCGAATCCTTGTATGCCGAAGGCTGCGTCGTCAACACCCGTTTCGGCTCCTTTCCCCACAGCACCCTGGTGAACGTGCCATGGGGCATGCAAGTGCGTGCCGCCAATGTAGACACCGGACGTCGCGGAAGGAAGAGCAACAAGAAGCGGAAGCGCGAGGAGAATGCCCAAGGCGATGACGACGACAGTACTGCGTGAGTCCACCTTCACTTGTCTGCCGGGACAGTTTTGTAACGTTTGAGTAGGAAGGATGTCGGCTTCGCATCCACCGGATTCACCCATTTGATCCCTCCGACGCCCGAGACTTGGACCATCTCGTTGCCGCACCGGACACAGGTCGTCTACACCCCCGACTACAGCTACGTTCTCCAAAGGTTACGAGTCAGGCCAGGGGATACCTTGATCGAAGCAGGAGCTGGAAGCGGTTCATTCACGCATGCCTCCGTCCGCGCGACCTTCAGTGGCTACCCTCTTGCCGAGGCGGAAGAGCCGGCGCAGGAGCCGGCGCAAGCAAACGGCGCGGAGGGCGGCAAGAAGAAGCGCAAGAAGTACGGCCATGTGTACAGTTTCGAATACCACGAGCCGCGTGCCGTGACACTGAAAGAGGAGCTTAAGGAGCACGGAATGGACCAGCTGGTCACCGTCACGCATGCCGACGTCTACAACGACGGCTTCAGTGCTCCCGAAGACGGTACCGTCCCCCAAGCCGACGCCGTATTCCTGGACCTACCCGCACCGTGGATGGCCCTCAAGCACCTCACGCGCAACCCTACCTCCGCAACCTCCGCCAACACCGCTTCAAACACCCCGGAACCCACGTCCGAAGCCCCTGCAGGTTTCCGCTCGCCGCTCAATCCCAAGAAGGCCGTCCGCATCTGCACCTTCTCCCCCTGCATCGAGCAGGTCCAGCGCACCACGTCCGAGATGAGGCGGCTGGGCTGGGTAGACATCGAGATGGTCGAGGTCCAGCACCGCCGCATCGAGGTGCGCCGCGACCGCGTCGGCCTGCACGAGGAGGGCCTCCGCGGCGTCAACGCCACGCCCGCCACTGTCGAAGAGGCGCTCGGCCGCCTCCGCGAAGTCGAAGGCCGCATCAAGAACTTCCACGAGACTATGCACGGCAGCGCCGCGGCAGCGGCGGAGAGCAGTGAGCAAGGGGGCCCGGACTCGGACCTTGGAAAGGGTTGGGGCAAGGAGAGCAAGGAGCAGCGGTTGCAGCGCATCAGGGAAGAAGAAAAGAGACGGAAGGTCTTCAAGGAGGGCAGGCTGGTGCATCGTACTGAGCCCGAGATCAAGACGCATACGAGCTACCTGTGTTTCGCGGTGCTGCCGCGGGAGTGGACGCCAGAGGATGAAGAAAAGGCGAGAAGGAAATGGGCAAAGGGTGGCCCTGCGGCTGAAAAGGAGGCGGCTGAGAAAGAGGCTGCTGAAAAAGAAGCGGCTGAGAAGGGTGCTGCTCAATAGAAGCAGACGGGAGAGAAGGACGCTGAAGAGTAACAATCGTCGAACCCTACTTTGCCTGGCTTGAACAGGCCGCAGTACGCTAGACATTAGATCAACATGGCTGTTAGCAATGCTTCTCGAGAACGCTGTCGCGAGACCGTGTCAGCATGCATTGTCTCAGCTGTGCGACTCAAGCGGCACAATATGACAGTTGCTTCCATTCGCGGGTATATTCATAACACCGTCGTCTCTTAAGCGACGGCTGCGTACATTATTCAACCTCTGCCGCCACCAACTTTTCCTTGCGCGGCTTCCCATTCCAGCCTTTCGGCTAGCACCTCCCAACACCTCTCGCCGCCCGCCCTACTCACGCCCCTCAAGCCCGCAATGACGAATGCAAAGTGCTTCTCAAACGCCTCTTTCATCCGGCCCAACCTCTCCTGCATCGACCCCCTCTCCCTCACCGCAGACCTCTTCCTCCCCTTCTTCCCCACACCCCCGTCCTCGCCATCCAACTCCGCACCACCACCACCACCACCTTCCGCCTCATCTTCCGACGACTCGTCCGACACCTCCGCCAGCGCAACCTGCAACCCACTGACCCTCCTCCCCCCCTTCTGCACACCCGGCCTCTTCCTCCCCGCCACCCCACTAACCCTCCTCCTGCCATCCGCCGAACCCCCCACCGTCGACCGCCCCCACTCCGCCGCCGCCGCCGTCATCATCCGTCCCTCCTGCCCTTCCTCCTCCTCCTCCTCGCTCGCGGCGACGAGATCCGCAAACGCGACGCACAGGTCCAGCAGCTCGACGAGCGCGCCGTGGAGGGGCGCCAGCCGCGGCGCCAGCAGGCAGCGATCCTCGAGCGCCGCGACGTGCGCGGCGTGCACGGCGGCCATTTCGTCGATGTCGGCGGCGCGGGCGAGGGCGGCGCGGAGGCTGGCCGTGGAGGCGGCGAAGACGGTCTCGGTGAGGTAGGAGTGCAGGGTGTCGGCGAGCCAGAGGAGGCGGTGGCGGAGGTGGTATTGGAGGTGCTTGTGCTTGGCGGCGGCAGCGGCGCGCTGGTTTTGTGGTGTTGTTGTTCGGTGGAGGGCGGCGGTGCTGCGCCAGAGGCTGGAGGTGCGGAGGACGTAGCGGGCGCGGTAGACCTGGAGGAGCAGCACGAAGACGCGCTGGTAGGTGGCGGTGGAGTGGCGTTGGATGACGTTGACGATGTGCCAGGGGAGGAAGTAGTCGACTGCGATGGCGGCGAGGGCTTTGACGCTGCGGGGGCTGGTGCTCTTCTCCTTGACGGACACTGTGCGGATCGCGAGCTTGTCGGCCAGGACGCTGGGTACTGTTCCGTATATGCTTCGTGCAATCTCGCTCATTACGTAGCGGTCGTTCCAACCGCGGCGTCCGCGATCGAGCTTTTCGAAGACGGTGTCGGCAAATGCCTGCATGAGCGAGCCGTCCTTTGATAAGTAGATGAAGTCTAGTGCATCTAAGGACTCCCAAAGACCATAGCCGGAGAATAGCCTCTCGCGTAAGATGGAGGATGCGAATGTATACTTGCTGCGAATCCAGTCCTCGAAGGCGAATCCAAATAGTTCGGAGAAGGGTGCCAGAGGGATTGATGAAGAGTCGAAAGTGCTTGCGCCACATACAGCCTCGAGGTCCAGTCGTGGCTCTGTTACATCCGACGAATCAGAAAGATGATGGCCGAGTTCTTTCAAGAAGATGACACTCTTGCCAGAATTGAAGATTCTCTTCGCTGCCGGATGCAAAAAGCTGGGAGCGTGCAGTTTGCCCAACTGGTCACGTCGAAGAATGAACTGATCGTGCCACAGCGATGCTGCTTCACTGGATTTATCCACTGTACCGACGAAAAAGATTTGATCATTGATGCCAAGTTCGCCCTCCTCCATCCAACGCCGGATTGGCTTCAGGTAAGTTTGCAAGCACCGGAAGAAAATTCGCGAGAGGACAGAGAATAAGTCGGCATCTCCAGCCATCTGGGCCATGTTGATTTCATCATACAGGCCTTCTAGTAAAAGGAAAGGGCTCCGTTGGGCACTTTGTGAAGCTTCCGTGATAAGCCTCCTGATGCGTAAAAGAGGACTTGCTCTTTGCCGGACCTTAGTCGTCACCGCAATCAGGCTGACTGTCACCGGTCGACCAGAACCAAGGCAACAGTCTTGCAATTGCGCAACGAACGTATCAAAGGACCGAAGCTCTTCAACTATGGCTGCCCTGAAGGTTTGAAGGAGAGCAATCGTTTGCTCAAACTTCACCCAGAAACGCAACTGCAGAAGTGTAGTGCCAATACCCGCGAGCTCTTGCAACTGGTGTTGCCAGGTAGGGATCGCTGTATGGCTTAGAGCGTAGTTCTTCGAGAGTTCCATTCTCCTCAGGTCTTTGTTCAGAGTAAACAGAGACGCGGGCACGCCACGTAGCATGAACAATGTCTCTCGCACCGCTTGAAGCTCAGTGATGTGGGTTTCTGGCTTGGGCAGCATTGAGTCACGCTTATGTGATTGCCTCCAAAATTGAGCTTCTTCGATGCCCTGCAGGACAGAGGGATCAGGGGAGATGATGCATGCCTCAGCAGCAGCAGTGAATTCGTCTTCGTCAACGACGGATGAGGCCGGAGTGGTGTCCTCGGTTGCCGCGCGTTTTCTCTGTCGCGGCGCAGGTTCGGATTGCTCATCTTCGGAAGATTCGGCGGCATAGTCAATGTCGTCCCAAATGCCCTCCTCGTCCAGCGGATCATCGGCAATGATCTCGGCCCATGTGAGCTCAGGTGCAGGCTTCGGTGGCTTTATCCTCTCAAGGTCCTCCAAGCTAGAGTTCTCGACGGGGCGGTCCGACAGGCTAAGGAACAGGGCTAGGATATCCGGCGTCGTTTTGGTCTGCAGTCTGAGCAACTCCCTGACGCGATCTTCCAGGGCCTCGGCCAAGTCCTCGCGGTCCCGGACTATGAACTTCTCAATAAGGCCCTCGTAGCTGGATTGCACGTCGAACTGGTTCACGCGCGCCCACTGCTGGGACCGGAGGCCCCTCAAGACGGCATCTCTGGTTCTTCTGAATTTGCGCGGGTTGTCCTGCAACCAAGTCAGCTGTGCGGCAGAACGGGCGGGTGCAGACACGACGGACCGAAGCGGAGGGTCCCACGATTTTGTATATAAGCTCGGTGGCGGCGCTGTGCAGGCTGGCAGAGTGCGCCATGGCTGTGGGGGATTACATGGTGGTTGCGATGGGGTTGTCGTTGGGTACGTCAGGCGCACGGCCGGGGGAGGCGCGTCGGCGCGGGAACAACAGCGCCGGCAGAACCGCGGCAGGGCACACGCGTACCACCGCCGACGCCATCGCCGCAGGAGAGAGCTGGCAATCCCGTCCCTCTACATCGCCATCTCTCAATCATGGCGCTTCCACGGGGTATGCGCGCCCTGGCCGCCGTCACCCTCGTCCTCTTCATCTTCGTCCTTTTCCAGGTATTCCAGGGTCCCACGTCGCTGTCAGGACCCTCGCACAAGATCGATGATTGGGTTAAGGATCCCCAGAGTGATCGTAAGCTCGCCTCCACACTTGCCTCCGCCTATCGCTGCTGACCGCATTGTAGCTTCAGGAGAGCCCGCCGAGCCGCTGCGACGAGTCGAAGGCAACAACTATGCCGCCGATAACCTGAACTCCGACCGCGTCAACGCCACCATCATGGCTCTCGTGCGCAATCAGGAACTGGACCAAATGCTGATGTCCATGAGGGATTTGGAGCGCACATGGAACCACAAGTTCAACTATCCCTGGACCTTCTTCAACGACGAACCCTTCTCCGATGAGTTCAAGCGCAAGACGAGCGCTGCCACCAAGGCTCGGGTCCGCTATGGTATGTTTACAACAGGGGTTGGCTGTGCATTTTGGCCCTGAAGGCTGATGAAGGATTGCAGAGCTCGTCCCCAAAGAACACTGGGACGTGCCATCGTGGATCAACATGGACCTCTTCGATGAATCCGCCGAGCTTTTGAAGGAACAAAAGGTCCAATACGCCGAGAAGATCTCCTACCATCAAATGTGCCGCTGGAACAGCGGCATGTTCTACAAGCACCCCGCCCTGAAGGATTATCGCTGGTACTGGCGGGTGGAGCCGAACGTACACTTCTTCTGCGATGTTGACTATGACGTATTCGCCTGGATGCAGGACCACAACAAGACCTATGGATTCACCATCAACCTTTACGACAGCCCCCAGAGCGTGACCACCCTCTGGCCTGAGACTCTCAAATTCTTGGCATCCGACAACCACGCCGAGTTCTTGCACTCGAACAATGCTATGGACTGGCTCACGGACAGCAAGCGTCGCGAGCAGCACAATCTCCTCGCCAACGGTTACAGCACTTGCCATTTCTGGAGCAATTTTGAGGTCGGCGACATGGACTTCTGGCGTAGCCGCCCGTACGAGGAGTACTTCCAGCACCTGGATCGCTCTGGTGGCTTTTTCTACGAGCGTTGGGGCGATGCACCGGTACATTCGATAGCACTGGGCATGTTTGAGGACAAGAGCAAAATCCACTGGTTTGTTGTACCTAATCACTTTGAGGTAAAACCATTCTGACATCACTTTCTCAGGTTCCGCGACATTGGCTACCAACACATCCCTTTCTTCAATTGTCCCACGTCGCCCAAATGCAAGGGCTGCACCGGTGGCAAGTTCACCGACGGTGAAGCCTGGCTCAACAAGGAAGACTGCCGGCCGAACTGGTTCAAATTTGTCGGCACCGATTAAAGCACGACCGGATCTTTCTTGGACTTACTGATTAGAGCGGGCTTGGGGCGGCGTTGGCGGGAAAGGAGAAATAATGCGGGATGATTGGGAAATCACTGAAACATGATGAACAACGGCTGCTACGCAGAGCTTTCTTGCGAAGCCATGTCATCTAACGGATCATATCTTAAGCGGCTTACTTTTGGCCATTGTAATATTCTTACAAGTATACCCCTCGAACGCTTTCCAGAGGGATGTGCGAAAGCGGATAAGGGCGGCAATTTGGATTCCTTTCTTGAACGAGGCTCGTTCATAACCAGTCAGACTTCCGTCACATACGATTTGCTCAATGCCTCCAGCGGCAAAGCTGCCCACTGCATACATCAATCTTAGGAGCTCTGCTGGAGCGAGCTGACACCTCACCCAGCCTGCTCGAGATGCCTCGGCGAACGTGACCAGTGACAATTGTAACGCCTTCCTCATATCGGATGGCATTCGCACAGTACTATATCAAAACTGTATGCTAAAGCCTCGTCGTATCATATCGTAGTATCACCGAGGCTGAATTTAGAGAAAAGCAACTCAAACGTTTTAGAGCTCCCATGATAGAATCAAAAGTAGTATCCCTTGCAAGCCTTACGGATGGATAGCTCTAGATACAAATCCATACGTTTGGACCTGTACGTCATAAAATTCATTTCCGTGATCTATGTTCTGCTTCGTGGAACTACTGTCCAACAGTGATTGATCCTTGTCTTACGTTTTTTTTCTCGCTGACTTTCTCTACAAAGGGACAATGGGAGATCCACCGGAAGTCTGAGAATAGAGCAACTATCCGCATTCTTGCGCCAAACGACGAATATAATAGGAGGGTCTTAGTGTAGAGACTTGACCTGCTATCTCAACGGCGCTGCACAATAAGAGAAGTCACACACCGAGAACCGGAGAACGCATACTCTCAGGGTTCAGCGCCCATCTTCATGTATCCCCTCCCCCTTTTGTTGTGGAGTGATGGCAGTGGCTTGCCTTCTGACCGCAAACGTTTTGAGACAGCAGCCCCTTCGGGTACACCGGCAACCCGGTTCCCCCTCACTGCATTGCCTGCATCGGCCTCGATGGGCTGTTGCCCGTTATTCGAACGGCTCCATATATGAGCGCACTGCTCCTTCATGCCGGACGCGTGTTTGGCGGTGACGGAACGCCTCGTTGATAGTGGGGCACGAGAAGGGGGTTGATCGACTAGGTTGTGGTTGGCTGGATGTTTCTGAATCCGAGCTGTCCGAACCCGAAGTTGGCACGAA